AACTCAAGTATTCAAGTATTGATTTGCATTAAACGGGAAACAATCCATTCTGTTGCATAAACACACTAAGCAACAAGAAATGTATCGCAGCTAAACTAATGAGGATACACTGCATTTTAGAATATATCCAAATTCTAAATCTGACTTTTGCCTTACATCAAAAATAACTTTTAACTTTATGCTTAGTACTTAGTTTCCACATCATATTTTGCTGTAGTTTTGAAAAAAACCATAATTCTTGTTATCGAATTTATGCAAATGTAGTTAATTTGATAGGGTGACGCTAATAATTCAAGAGTTGAAGGTAAATTCATCAGACATTTCAGGATGTTTTAGTACTTGAAACAATGTCAAGGGAAAAATAACATATATGATTGTTATACAAGCATGTACACACGTCAATTGATCTGCGTAAATTAATATGAGTTTACCATAGTCAGTAAATGAGAGCGAGGATCGGCGACACGACAAGCTACTCGAATACGAGCGTCCCAAACCCCCATTGATTATAAGAAGAAGATTCAATTTGAAGTAGCACATGTATTCTACATGCATTAAGAAAGTACAAGGTCTGAGTCCAGATGAGAATCAGGATTCCGGTACGGGTCATAAAACGTTACAGATAATGCGTATTTATACAGTTAGGGTGACCAATAGGAAAAAACATTGAAGTCTGTGACATTGATAGCTGCGATGACCAAAATATTGATCAGTAGGAATTGACCAATAGACGTAGACTTACAAAAATCATTCTCTTAGGATATTTGATGAACACTGAAACAATAATGCATGTTTATGAAAATGAATTTTTTGCTAATACTAACTACATAGTTTGATACATAAAAGTATTCTGAGAAGATTTCTGTGAAATGATGTTTTGAGAAATAATCAAACTTAGAATTGTTCAAACATTAGAGGGAATAGTAAGATATATGCTAATAATGCATGAATAACGCAAATACAATTTTAAAATTCTAAACATGTTCAATTTTCATTTCATCTATCAATAAAGCTTCAATGATTTCGAGAAAAACGAAGGTGTTTGATGCTCGTATAGTATATTTCTATTTAGATAACGTTCGAATTTAACAGCGGTATTATGAAATCTATCAGAAGTTCGGTTTCTAACTTGTTATGGGTTACACTCTTAGGCAAATAATGAAATAGTTAGGATAGTTACATTCATCATGACCTTTATGCGAGCAATTTTAGAAATCTGTCTCATTCATTTTGAAATGTTGTGATAGAACAGTGAGAAGACGTAATTGATCTGAAAAATGTGATGTATTTGCGCTATACATTCCGAACAATCTGGTCACACATTTATTTGTCAATTCATTTTATATGAAGATCAATGAAAGGTCAATTAAATAAAAGTTCAAATAGATATAAGGTGATAATTGTAAATAAAGGAGAATGAAAATTAAGGTAATATGAAAAGAATAAGAAAGGGTAAGAAAATTGTCACATTGCACTAGGCTTAAAGATTACCAGGGTAAATCCAAGGTTATAACAAATTTTCAAGGTAGAGCTTTGGAGGTTTGTGTTTTTACACATATGAAATCATCAATCAATCATCGTTAGACCAACATTAGAAACCTGGAAGCACTGGACGACCGTTTCGTCCTGGTATGGGACTCATCAGTAGTGCGCATCTACGACTCCTGCTCCTCTCAGGATTCGAACCCGGGACCATCGTTATTCTGCGCGAACGCCTAACCATCGGACCACTGGTGGTCTAACAATGACTGATTGATGATTTCAAATGTGTAAAAACGTACTGCTGATGAGTCGCATACCAGGACGAAACGGCAGTCTGTCAGTGCTTCCATGTTTCTGATGGTGGTCTAACAATGATTGATTGATGATTATGACAAATTGTTTCTGTACACAAAAGGGGGGTTTTAATTTTGGGACAGCCAAGGCCTCTATAAACCTCAAAATTCGTCCTCCAACATTTCTATACAATATTTTGAAGGCTATCTTGATGTCAGTCATATGCTCTGTCTTAATTAAGTTTTGCAATCGATGAACATGGTGAGAAATAGAAATGTATACAGCAAATACATCACATTTTTCAGATCAATTACGTCTTCTCATTGTTCTATCAAAGTTTATGAAAGGGGCTAATTGTTTTACACTTTGAAATAAATACTTTCTTATGTATTGGTTAACAATACAGTCAAATATTTCTATCTTGTTTACTTTGGAAAGGATTGAACATGATCAACTTTTATGTGGAAAAATTCTTAACTCTTTCTTGAAAAAAGTGCTTTAAAAATAATATCTTTTAATAATGGATTCTATCCTTGAATCGTATGAACACTAATATACAGAAGAGAATTTCTCTCAATCTGATTGGCTATCTAGTTAAAACTTGAGGCTAGCGACACCTGAATCTAGTTGTGACTGAATGTTCCTGAGGCGGAATGAAGATGGTTATGTGATCACCTGATAGGCTGGCATACAAGTGAGCATGAGGGAAGACGAATTGGCTGGAACACGAATTGAATTATTCCTAATTCAGATGACGTACATACATAAATGAATATTTAGGCAGCACAACTATAATGCTCAGTTATGTTCAGACTAGACCATTAGGACAGAAAAATGGAACCCATCTATCGATTACAGATTATAGTTGGTTGAACTGTTAAGTAGATCGAAAAGTAAACATTGTGAATTTAAAGACTTTGAATAATGCAGTGTTGAATAGTCAGTGAGGTCGTTCAAAATCCCTAGATCAATCAGAGTTAGACATTAACACCATTGGATGGTTAGGCGTTCGCGTACTATACCGAAGGTCCCCGGTTCGAATCGTGCGAGGTGCAGGAGTCGTGGATGAGCACTGCTACCTGATGAGTCCCATACCAGGACGAAATGGCCTTTCTCCGGTGCTTCCAGGTTTCTAATGGTGGTCTGACAATGATTGATTGATGATTTCAACTGCGTAAAAACACAAACCTCCAAAACTCTGCCCCAAAATAAAATTCGCTTTACCATTCAGTCAACAAAAATCAAAATAAAATAAATAATTTAACCTAGAAAAAACAGCTCGCCTTAATGTCAGCCATTAAAAAAAGTGAACAGCGCTTTTCATCAGAGCAATTTAAAATAAATGGTAAAATGCAGTTTATGAAACAAACGAAGTTTGCCACCTATAGTGTAGAATAAATACTGTCTAAAGCAGAAAAGCAACATTCATAAAAGATAAGAGGAAGATTCTTCGATACAACACAACATTCGCCGACCAAATCACTCTTGATGAAGATGCCTCGGAGGACGTAAAAACCTGTATATGTCTGGAGAGCATCATCGAAAAGCAAGGTGGATCTGATGCAGATGTGAAGACGCGGATTAGTAAAGTAAGGGAAGCATTTCTACAATAGAACAACATCTGGAACTCAGAATAACTGTCAACAAATACCAAAGTCAGAACTTTCAATACAAATGTCAATATAATTCTACTGTATGGAGCGGAAACCCGCAGATCCAGTAAGACATCATTCGGAAGAAACCGATGTATATTAACAGCTGTTTACGCAAAATATTTCAGAGAACAAACCGGAGTCGAGTGCAGGAGAAAATCGGGAAGACGCGTTGGAAGTGGATATGACTCACGTTGAGGAAAGAATTCGACCGCGTCACAAGACAAGACTTCAATAGGAACCCTCAGTTTCAAAGGAAAAGAGGAAGGTCAAGGAACACATTACCTACAGAAACGAAGACATATGAGAAGAATGAACAAAAGTTGGACAGGACTGTAAAGGGAAGCCCTGAACACAGTAGGTTGGAGAATACTGATCGGCGGTCTATGCTCCACTGTGGGTAACAGGAGTAAGTAAGTAAAACAGAAAAGATCAGTAGAAACCAGACTGCTGCTGTGAATGGGATATTTGATTCGTCCCATGAAAAAAGTGTTATGATATTTAAAGTCAATAAAAGTGATTGGAAACGCAACTTAAACTAGTAAAACGTATTAAAAAAGAAGTGTAATCTAGTGTTGTAAAATCTTAAGCATAATGTGAATAAAGCCAAATGAAGTTTAACATAAACGTTTGATAGGATGATTATTAAAATGGTTATTTTGTCAGATACAAAATTTACAAACTTCATTACCTAACCCACTTTACAATAAATCTTTTATCTTTTTGGACAAGAAATTATAAATGAAGCTATTAATAACCACAGCAATGGGTTACATCTTTAGATTTTTGTAGACAGTAACTTCCGAAGACAAACGAGCGAAGTCTCGTTGGATGCTGACTCAGTGGTCTAGAGGTTAGGCAGTCGCGCACAAGACCTAAGGTTCTGGGTTCGAATTGTGTGAGATTCAGAAGTCGTGGATGCGCAGTTACTTGATGAGTCCCATACCAGGACGAAACGGCGGTCCAGTGCTTCCAGGTTTCTAATGCTGGTCTAAAAGTGATACAGTCGTAATTTCAAGATAAAACTACCATCTCTATTAACACTCTAAATGAAGAAAAATAGATAACTATTCAATTTAATATCATTTTCATAATTGTTTAAAAAGAAATCTAATACGAATTGTACTGGTCATACTCTTGTAACATTTAAAATTACAAGCCAAGTTTCCACAGCTTACACGAATTAAATCATAATATCAGTCCAATCTATGCAACTTAATTGAGATCTAACTTCAGGCTGCTTACCGATTTCTACATATAACTTTAAACAATCTATGTAGGTGTTCTGTTTTATGCATTTGTTTTCATGTTATGCGATTATGCAATTACACTTCAAAGTTAAAAATGTGTTCAATTACACTTAAAATGTTCAATTATTGTTATAGATTATTCACGAACTGTTTGTATATATGTGTTGTACATTTTGTACAAAGTACGTTTACGCATGCATGCAATGATTTTAAGAGATTTCGGTTTGGATAAACAAATACTAGTCTTCTCCTATGAATGACAGTTAATTTTTTTATTATTTACTCCGTAACAAATTTATATTCTGTTGAACATTGAAAAAAATAATTTTGTTCCTGTTTAATTCACTGTCGAATTATGAACACTTCGGTACAATCTTTTTTAATTGTTCTGTTGATAATAACTACAATTGAAATTCGTAAGTTTATTTATAATCATTACTTTGTATGAATCACTAAGCTTAGTATGATCAGAGTTCTAGGGAGGTGTACATTTGTTTTAAACTACTGAATTAGCAGTCCTGTCGAAATGAAAATCTTGAATAACTTAGTTAAAGGAGTGCTTGCTAGCGAAACGCGACTAAAGTATCAGTCACAACATTTAAATTCATGTACTTAGTACGTATCAAAGAGCCATTTTAATCGAACTTGTGATATTTTAGATAAATAATATGTTCTTTTTACAATGAAACAATCTGATGAAACACTCGATTATCGAGCTGATGGAGCTGTAGCTTAGTGATTAAAGCGTTCGAGTTCTGATCATTTCTTTCTCGGCTGATAATCTGCCCTGTAGACTTTACTTTGGGTAATTATATATTGTGGTACAAAGCCTGTTATGGCTTAATTGCATATAGAGACAAAAAAACATGAGAAAACCAACTATTCATTGATTAACAAGTTGTCATACTTTCTTACTTACTTACGCCTATTACCCACAATGCAGCATAGGCCGCTCACCAGTTTCTTCCAACCAACTCTGTCCTTTACTTCCCTCTCCAGTTCTGTCCAATGTTTGTTCATTCCTCTCATATCTTTCTTTATTTCTCGGCGTAATGTGTTCCTTGGTCTTCCTCTTTTCCTTTTACCTTGCGGGTTCCATGTGAGGGCTTGTCTCAAGTTGTCATAATGACTAAAAAAGCTACAAATTTTAGTGGGAATATATAAAATATCTGCGAATGAGTGAGGCAGTATCTAAGTTTTCAAACTTTTTGCAAAAGTTACTCAATATTTTCAAAGTATTTTCCAACACTTCACTTCACATCATGATCAGTAATGATGGAAATACAGTGAGCTGTGTGTTCCAGATGTTTGCTGCCCGCCATCTATATCTCTGAAATGTATTCACTTGCCGTTTTAGTCTTTGTAATACAACGGCCGAAATATAAATTGAACATTTGTAGTGAATGGTCAAGGTGCTATTGTCATATCTCACCTTAACAAAATAGTTTTGAAAGTGTGAACATGGTGCCTACTACACCGTCGTAATGAAGGACAAGTTTTACTGATTATGATTTCGTCAGAGTTCCTATATTGTACCGACATACTTATCCTTGTACTTAAATTAATATATGAAAATTCTATTGTACTGTTGAGATGGCAAAATCATTATCACTCATAAATATGATCAGAGTAAATGTTCAACTTCTTTGTCGTATTTATTGGTAAATATTTTTCCGATGGATGGTGGCTAACATTGTAAGCCACGATTCACGTTTTGTCCTAGTTTGGACTCGTTAGCTGGATGTTCCTGCGTCGTGGAGAGTTGATTTTCACTCAAGAGCTTGAACACAATACCGTTCGCTTCGAATACCACAGCTAGCCACCTCTAATCTCTGGCTGATAATTCTTGTAACTTAATGTATATGTCCAGGCAATCCGTACAAGTATGCGAAATGCGATTGATCACGATGCAGTCCTAACTTTCAATGAAAAGATTTTAACAACTATAATGCAAATGTATTAAATATAAGTCACTGCTTTTTAAATTAATTCATGAAATTGAATTTATGCAAAACATAATCAGTTTTGTGTTTACAAACTTCATTTTTATAGAAAACGTTAGAAGTGCATGTAAGTGAGGTGTAATTATTGAAATAGTAAATATCACTTCGTGCATATATTCTGTTCAGTACTTGTGTACTAATTTTTTTCTGTGGAATTCTAAAATTTATTTATCTGTTGATGACACGGTGTTCAACCGACCGATATTGATCTATATAACTCAACTTTGTTGAGGACGTTAGATCCCCAGAACCTGGACGTGGGTGTATAGACCACATTTTCACACTACAATAGGTCCTGGAACACAGACATACATTTAGGCGTCCTACAATAGTTGTCTTCCAGGACCTTAAGGCGGCATTTGAATCTATGGATTGTCAGGTTCTGTGGAAGTGCCTGTCGTTAAAAGGTGTACCAAAGAAATACATTAACTTTATACAAGCTCTTTAATCGAACACAACTGGTGAGAGCATATGGCGAACTTGTTGGGGACGTTAGAGCCCCAGAACTCGCTTGATAAATGCCTTAATTTCGGATTTCACATTCATCATCATGGGCTGATCAGTTGACCTTGAGATTTCATTTCCCACCAGGAAAATCCTTAGCTATGATTGGTTGTTGTGTATTTGAGTGTGCTATTTTTGTGACTCTCCCAAGGACATTTCTATGATGTATGTGTGCTTGAGATCATTGTATTTGCTGCGTGTTTGTAGAATACACTTTCCACTCTGTATCAGGACTTTTTGGTTAGTCATTGGATCAGGATAGCCTACCTGGACGTTGGTTCATTGTCTCGTTCGCATTTATCGACTAAAATGAACCCCTAATAGTTTCAAGGATACCTAGTGACGAACCTAACATGCTTGTAACCCATAATAGTGAATACTTTGGTGATTTTATCGGTAATAGATTAATTCAGTAGAGAAAACTTAATATTCGAAAATTGTAAATATCTACTGCATTTCATTCTCATTGAATTAAATAAGACAGTAATCCATGGGAGAATTTTATTTAAGATAAAGTGATTAGTATCCACATTTCTGAACTTATTACAAAAACTAACCAGAATTAATGAAACTGATACAATTCAATTGGAATGAAAGAAGCTGCCTTGTTTTAACTATCCACCATCAAACCTCTCACTTGTATATGTTAGGTATCTTTCAAAATTTTAATTAGTTTTGAAACTGTGAATGTTATGAACCCATTATACAAAATTGATTGACAGTCAGTCATCTTTGAATGAATTTATTGAAATCTGTTTGCTGTTTATTTATAACAAGTTGGGAAATGTATACAATTAATTTCTTATTCAAATAGTATTACCGTGATTAATTTCAATGTAACTAACTAATCGATATAACCTTTTACCAATGGATGTCATGTGTTTACTGGTCACACTTAACTCAAGAAGGAATTCTAGGAGATCTCTTCAGAAGCTGTGACCAGTAGAGGTCGACAGTTTTGGCAGTCAGGCGATATCACACCAAAGACAATAGACGACAGTGATTCATCGTCGTTGGTTGGTTGGTTGAAGTTAGACACTGACACCATTAAATATGGACTTAGGAAATTAAGAGGTTTAACATTCTAGCTCGAAACCAAGGGTCCTTAGTTCGAGACCAGGGCTGTGGTGATACTAGGACGAAACAGCCATCTAGTGCTTTCAGGTTTTTGAATGGTGATCTAACACTGATTGATTCATGAAACTCAACAATCTACACCATTATATGCTGATAATTACGTCAATAAATTCAAATACCTATTACGAAACATCACTTTGATTTAGTCAGAAAGAAACCTCCTTCAAGTAAGAACTTATTTTTTTAATTAGATTATAAAAGTTGCTTCTTCTAAAACAAAATACTTTTTATATGAAACAATATTGTTTTCCAATGGTCCTAGTATCCAGGATTAAGTTTTGATTTGTTCTTGAATGCCTGTTACCGGAGCTCTCATCTTCAACTCAGCATTTCATTGGACTACATTTGGATATTTGAATCGTTTGGTACTGTTAAGTTTATTGAGTTGTCTTACGACACGGCTGATGTACGTGTGAAATCGAGGTTTAAAGCAACAGTTTACTAAATAAATGACTAGATTATTACAAACCATATGTAGATTTGTCACAAATCTCAACTAGTGAAGTGTCTGTGACCAAAAACGCATTTTTATGACATTAAAGATTGTCTACAACCTACAATGGTGTAAATGACAGTCAGCAACTGTGTCTACCGTCGATAAAGACTTTCATAAATCAAAATAAAGACTACGATCACATAAATAATGCATCTGGTAGCTGTTATAAAACTTTGAACACATAAGATGATATCAGTGTAAATCAGATGAAGTGAAGATCATAAATGAAGCCACGAACTGTAAACCTTAACTTCTTTGTGATTGATAATCAGGCATTCTACTATTTTTTACAATTTAATAATCCAGAAAGATACGTACGCATAACTATAATTTTCATGTTGTTTTACATGTGTTTGAAATATGATTAAAATGGTGTTTTTCAACAACCGTCATCATCTCTCTTCGAATTTTTAAACTGTTGGATAATACTGCTTGTTAACTAACATATCTATCACCCTATAAGAAAGCAAACGTTTTTAGGAAAAACCTTGCAAAAAATGATTTGATACATATATACTTGTTAGACATCATTTTAAACTAGTTTTATATTAGTATAATTCAAAATTTAACTGATGAGTGTATCAACTATTGTTGCATTTAAAAATACCGTTTCTTAGCTTATAGATAGATTCATCTCAAAAACTGTTGATTATTCAGTTAATAAAAATATTGATAATTTAACAACAATAATAATATTTATAAATGTCGATATTTTCTAGTGTGATTTAGTTTTCTCAACTTACTTACTTACGCCTGTTACCACCAATCGAGCATAGGCCGCCCACCAGTTTTCGCCAACCAACTCTGTCCTGGGCTTTCCTCTCCAGTTCTGTCCAATGTTTGTTCATTCCTCTTATATCTTTCTCTGTTTCTCGGCGTAATGTGTTTCTTGGTCTTCCTCTCCTCCTTTTGCCTTGAGGGTTCCATGTGAGGGCTTGTCTTGTGACGCGGTTAGGTGCTAACCAGAAAAAATATTTCAAACCATTTTTACTTTGCCCTGGGAGTTGGAAGAACAATTATGACGTCGCGGAAGTCACGAGGCCGATGCCTCTTCTGACAACCAGAGCAACCATTCTTTTAGGTACATGGAACGTTCGTACATTGTGGGAGACTGGAAGACTATTTCAAGTTGCGGCACAAATGAAAAAATACAACCTCGAGGTGCTCGGCATCAGCGAAACGCATTGGACACAAGTAGGACAACTGAGACTAGCTTCAGAGGAACTGCTGTTATACTCTGGTCATGAAGAGGAAAACGCTTCACATACACAAGGAGTTGCACTGATGCTGTCCAAACATGCACAAAAGGCACTGATAGGATGGGAATCTCATGGACCGAGGATCATTAAAGCATCCTTCAAGACAAAGAAACAGGACATTACAATGAACGTCATCCAATGCTATGCACCTACCAACGACTACAATGACGACGTTAAAGATCAATTCTACGAAAGGCTTCAGTCAATCGTCGAGAAATGTTCACCAAAGGACTTGACAATTCTGATGGGAGACCTGAATGCCAAGGTTGGAATGGACAACACTGGATATGAAGACATCATGGGACGACGTGGACTGGGAGAAAGGAACGAAAATGGTGAGAGATTCGCAAACCTATGTGCGTTCAACAAACTGGTCATCGGTGGCACACTACTCCCACACAAACGCATTCACAAAGCCACATGGATTTCACCGGACCACACTACTCAAAACCAAATTGACCATATCTGTATCAACAAAACGTTCAGAAGGACCATGGAGGATTTTTAGTTATATTCCTTGAACAATACTGAATCATGCATATTTTTCATGAGAAATAAATGGTTTTCGAATGTGATACATTGAATATTATATTATTCTATGTTTTGCGATCACTTGTAGTAAATGTTCGGTTGTGCAATTCTGAAAAAAAAATAGTCTGCTGATTTATATGTATGGTATAGCAGGTTGAAATGTATAAAATTGTAATGTTTGAAAGTAGTCTTTTGATTAGTATGTTACATAAAACCTTGGGGTAAGATGATTGTCAATATTTTAAATAAAATTGATAATTGTCGTTTATTAAAACAACATTATTTTTTATTAAACAGGATTTGTAGTTCTAGAAAATGTGTACGTTGATTATAAAAACATTATTATTGATAATTTAACAACTTAAATTTAATAACGAAACTGGTTGTTCACATTATAAAAGCCTATGAAAGGAATTTTAAATTATTTATGACTATAATGATGAAACTTTTATTGTACATTGACACTATAAAGAAACATTGATCATCATCTTGTTTATATCAAGTGTTTTTCACTTCGAAAAAAATTCATTATTCAATATTCAAATATTTTGCATTGAAGATTTAGTTTGGCTGTTAGTAAATTTTTTTTGCGGCAGAGTTTTGGAGGTTTGTGTTTTTACACATTTGAACTCATCAATCAATCATTTTTAGATCACCATTAGAAACCTGGAAGCATTGGACGGCCGTTTTGTCCTGATATGGGACTCATCAGTAGTGTGCATCCACGACTCCTGCTCCTCGGATGATTCGAACCCGGGACCTTCAGTATTGTGCGCGAACGCCTAACCATCGGACCACTGAGCCGGCATCCAACAGTGTTAATGTCTAATAACTCTGTCAGTAAATTGTCACCACTACCACAAGAATGAATCTATTGAAAAGTTCTTGATTCTTAGTTACTTTTATGAAGCAATAATGCTATATTCATAGATCCATAATGCCTACCTAAGATTTTCAATGTAAATGAAGTTCGTGAAAAATGAGAAAGTGTAATTAATTTAATTAACGACTGCGGTGACAAATTGAACAAATGAATGCTTTTAGTACAAATAAAGAAGTACGTGTAGGAAAAAATGTTTTCTTTCTAAGAAAATGATGAAGTGAACTCATCTAAACATCATGGATATCTTTTAGTAAAGTGGTTTACAATGTAACGTTAAACCTTTGACTGATCTCACTCTATTTGTTTTTGTAAAAGACTGTAAGCATATCAGTGTAACTGAATCTTCTTATCTCATTTACTTTTAATCATCTAAACTATAAGAAAATATTGATTCACCAATTTTATTCAACAAGTAGAACTCAGTCTATGTTCCGGATATGACAACTAAAACTGATTGTTAATGTCAGCCACGAACAATATCTGGAATAGAACACAGAGACGTGAAGTTAAACATTGATGTTGACCAGTAATAACTTATTATTTAGTATACTCGATCAAATAATCCCCTTTAGGTCATCTGGATAGCATCGAATTTATCATTTCACAGGGGACTGAGTAATCAAAATAACCATTATGCTTCAAACGTGATTGATCTGTAATTCTGTTTTTCGTTTTAAAATAAAAATTCAATAGGATTTTTGCACTTTCATTCATTATTCATTTAATGATAATTCAATGTTCAACATTATTTAGGACAGCAACTGAGAGATTCAAGTAAGATCAAATTTTCAAATGAATGTACAACTACATTAAATTATACTACTAATGTGGTGTGAGCTACTTATAAGTAGTATATGACGTGAGTGTAAACGTAATATCCGGCAGCATAATATGGGGGGAAGATCAAGAAAGGAAGAGTTAGAACACAATGGAATTTGTATGAAACGCATGAATAGTGACAATGGATTGATGTTTTGCAACAGGAACAGTCCAGTTCGATAGGATGAACTGATCTGTTGCAAATGAACGATTTACGATATGGTTTTCCGATTTTACTGAGTAACTCTGTAAAATGCCCCACCTGTGTTCTCGTTCAATACGCTAACTTAGTAATAAGTATTGTGTCATCTTCAACCGTCAAATACCTATTACACATTTTTGAAACCATGAATCGATCAATGTTAGACCACCATTAGAAACCTGGAAACACTGACAGACGGCCAATTCATCCTCCTCAGCAATGCACATCTACGACTCCTGCACCCACAGAATCCGAACCCAGGATCTTCGGTATCGTGAGCGAACGCCTGACCGTCGGACCACTGAGGAGTCCCATATCAGGACGAAATGGCCGTCTGTCAGTGCTTCCAGGTTTCTAATGGTAATCTAACATTGATCGATTCATGGTTTCAAAAATGTGTAACAATGTTCACAACCCCGTAATCCAAAATAGCTATTAACTATTTTATATGACATTTACAAACCACTAGTATATGAAACTGTTTGTTTGACTTGAACAAAGGAACATATAATTTTGAAATTAGAAACCAGTAACATTTTGACCAATCACATTTTTTTTTTATCTCATTATAAAGTAATTAGCTTCATCTAAGATCTAAGATCTAGATCCTTCTAGAACACTTTGTGCATGATTTGTACTACTTAACAGATAATATTCTAGCGCTTAGCAATGATACTGGAGCAGCAACCTTGCATTTCAAACTAAACCTTTTTGAACATACTAGTTTTATGATCACTCATGATGTAGATGACTGATGAGTCTTACAGTGAAATGAAACAACCTTGTAATGTTATCAATTTGTACATTCAGGTATATTCTGGTATGACCAGAACATCTATGATAAATTTTAGTGTGGAGAAGATTTGTAGCTCAGGTGGATGGATGATTGTGGTGGTGTTTGGTTCTGAACAACAACATCATCAGAAGAAGAAGAACAGTGAAAGCTCCACAACCAAAACATCCAGCTCAGAGAACCAAACACCATCACAAATTTTAGTGTGTTCATTCATTCTCCAGTTTAAACTGGCCACAATTCACTTGATCTAGACAGAAGAAGAAAATTCTTTGTCATAAATTAACTCAGTTGAATTTCATCCTTTTATTTTTTTATTATCACAGGAAACTTGTCCGGCATTGTTTGACCAGTTTCAGCACTTGGATGGTTCTTATTGGATAAAAATAAAAACATTGAATTGATTATTTAGCTTTGCTCAATATAAGATTTGTGCATGTTTTACATACAAAGTTTTACAATCAAAAATAAACTGAGTAAAGTTCTTATGATTTTGAGAAATTGTCTTATTTTATTTTCAGTATAGAACAATACATCTCTGTGTGTGCGTGAAAGTAAAATATTTGTAATAATTCGATTACTTACAGTATCGATTAGTGTATATTTGATTGTGTGTGGATGCTTATTCGCTTAACAAATGTCTAGCCTATTGTTGCTTGACTATAAATACTTAGTCATTCTTCAGCTCATGAAGAGTTGGCTCACTCGCCTTCTTCTATTCGCTCCGCAACACCGTATTTAGCTTCTTACTACTGCCGTCGCACAAACGCAGAAGTGGATAGGAAGATTTATTTCACTGCACACTCGATTCTTCGTCTACACTGGAGTCAAGTCGTGAGCCACTGAAAATCAACAGTATGATCGGTGTATTTTATTGGCCAAGAAAGGGTTTTCATATCTTACCGTTTTATGTCACACATAGATTTTTTCACAAATACACCTAAAAACGAAACCTGGAGGTCTATTTGAAAGATATTTCAAGCAGTAGAAATTTTTGTATGACTTGCCACGGTCGCCCAATTAGAGAAAACTATGAAAAACTGATCATTTATATGCGTATATGTCTAGTGGTGGATAGAAGAGCACATTTTTAAATTACTCGTTCTGTCTCACTTTACCATGGTCTAAATTCGCAGTTTTGACCTGCTTGTTCATAGTTTTCTCCTCATATTTCACTTCTAAGTTTAGAAAAATGGTTCCTTTCTAAGAGTAATATTAGAAAAAAGTGTTATTTCTACCTAGAATTCTTGGTTATTACTCAGACATCTTCTTCTTCATGAAAAAATACGTAATCGATTTTCAAATAGCAATGAGTCAAATCTTAACAAACCGACTATTTCGATAGCAAGACACTTATCCACCTCAGGAAATACGAAATGGCCGCATAGCATTGTTAATTGATTAAAGTTCGACATATCAACGACATGATGGCCGAAAAGCGAACTAGACGCTAAGCACCTGCGAGTGAGACTGTTGACCTTAAATCCTTTCGATTGTAAGTAAGCACTGTTGGAAAGTTCCGTACTGGGATAAAACAGATCTCCAGTGCTTCCTGATATCTAATGATAGTTTTGTTAAGGTCGTTTAAATTTGTTATAACAAATTTGAGCTTTAGTTATTTCATTTTTAAACACTACAAAAGAAGTCAATCAACCTTCTAACTATGTGTTTTATTTAAATAGTAGTCACATTATCTCACTGATCTGAATGATGACATTTTTACCGTTTGAGTCAAAGCAAACTAACTACTATCTTGATCAAAACAGCCGAGATTACTGTAAACTCCACTGATACTTTAAAAACAGAATTAATTATGAGTTTCCAGTTTTATTGTTAATCAACACCTTTGAAAATTAGCGATCAAATTACTGAAAAGAAAACCCGGATGAACCAACTCATAAAGATAAACTCTTCCATAAAATACTTCTAAATATCAGCTCAAGAAGTATCATAGTTTAGTACAAATGTGTCTATGAAATTGCGAAACATAATATTCTTCTACTCATAAAAAAGATTTAATTCTAAGAGACAGATTAAAATTGTGTATCCTAAGATTTCAATTTCATTGTATTATCCATTTTTCACCTATGAAATTCCAATTAAAATAAATATTCATCTCCACAAAACTAAAGAAATCAATAGGTATTGTTGTAAGTAAACTGAAAACTAGTTATCCGTGAGGAACCTTCTCCTAGTTCTAGTGGGTAGTCGTGACCAGTGGAGTTCAACCCTGTTCTAGTGTAGACAGTTACTACCGAAGACAGTGTATGAGGTTGCGAAAGTCCGTGAATTGATCGAGGTTAGACATTAACATTTCTAGATGCCGGCGTTCGCGAGCAAGATCGAGGATACTGAGCTCGAATCTTGTGAGAGGCAGGAGTCGTGGATACGCACTGCTGATGAGTGCCATCCCAGGACGAAATGGCCGTCCAGTGCTTCTAGGTTCTTAATGGTGGTCTAACATTGATCGATTCATGATTTCAATAAGTAAATAGTTATCTCTTAATTCATTAACTCTATCGAAATGAGTTTAGTTGGATAAGAGAGAAGCCCCTGTTATTCTTTAATAATAATGATCTGTGGTCAACGGCGTAATGTCGAATTGAAAGGTGGTCACAACACTTGATAATTGAAATAAAATTGTCATCTGACAGAACTTAATTGTTATCCATACGCCACTGACATAACTTAGTCAGCCTAAGTATAATATAAGGGAAGTGGATAGGAAGATTTATTTTCATCACATACTCGATCATTCATCCACAGAGGAGTCAAGTAGTGATCCGCTAAAATCTGTCCTAGGCCACATACAGATTGATTGATTTATGTGGAGAGCATGAATATTCACTTGCTGCTTTGTACCAATATTCATGCGTTCACGTAGTAATAATAATAATAATAAACTGTTAGGTAGATTATAATAGATTGTAAAACAGAAACATTACCACTAATCAGTAGGGTATACTGATACGAAAATTTCACTGATTTCTGGCATATAGTAGTAACGTATAATATTCACTTCTTCATTTATGTCTCATCTTATCACTGTAACACTTCGTTTAAAGTTTTTTTGACTGTACAACCTGATGATGAGTTTGTTGAAGATAGTTGTTCGCTGAAAAATTCTTTACAGTTGAATGCAAAAAGATTGTATGCAGTACAGAGAAATAGTTTCATCTTATCAGTCAGTAAATTGACTATTAAAATGTCTGCTTTATTCGTCTAATTTTTTCCCTACGCATTATGTTATCATCGAGCAAAAGATTGGTTTCAATTCGTAACTATATTTTCGTTTCTTCAGATCGATAATTGTCGGCATCTATTTACCGAATAGAATATTCATTGTTCAACTATTTTTATGGTAGGAGGGATTTTTAAACTTTCACAATATAGAAGGTGACTAGTTGTATAGATGATGAATAGATATTTAATTTGATTATCTTTCCCTTGAGCTTGTGCTTAATCACTTTTCTTATCAACTGGTTGGTTGGACATAGTTCTGTTGATCGATTAATGTCATTCTTCGATCTCAAGTGAATTTGATTTCTCTAAATTCCCATTTTACTGTATATTATTAGTTCAGTATTTTGTCAATTTATCAGAAGTATTGAGTATCCATGACCAGCAAGGGTATAGGATATTGGCAGGTTACTGGTTTTAGATCATAGATGTCTCAGAATCATTGCTCATTTATGTTGGGACTATCGAGCAAACAACGCTATAGTTAGGAAACGAGTACTAGGTAAGGATTGCCAATCAATAGATGAAGTAGGGAAACTTGATCACCTGAGGTGGTTGGGATATGCGTTGTGTATGTCTAACCACCGACAGTCTCGTTAAGCTATGTGTTGCGATGTAGGAATAGGTTGGACGAAAGCTGGGGGCGGCCAAACCACAACATGGCAGAAATCCATGAAGTCATTGATAAGTGGACTTAGCGATGTCGGTAGTTGTCGAGTACCTGGTTGGGGTCCGCGAGATGATAGTAACCGATGGTTAGAGACCCTGAATGACATGGCTCAAAACCGTTTGCAATGGCGCAGGTGCATTCACCCTTTGTGTTCTCTCAAATCCTAATCTTCTGAATTCATCATCACCTCTTTCTCTTTCTAAAGTTACCTCACAGAATTATACTTCTTGAATTACATCTTCGAACCCTAATCTCTCCGATAACTGCTATTACTTCTACTACCTCTACTATTATGGGATTTGAATCGACAATTGCTTGTCTGTGCTTATGTGGTATGGCGACTTGAACTGATGTACGTACGTACGTACGAAGTTCTACGTTATATCTGATTAACTGACTGAACTCTTCTACTACTACTACTACTACTACTACTACTACTACTACTACTACTACTACTACTACTATGAGAGGTGTTCTGTCACGTCTACCAGCTAGTTATCTAAGGTTCAAAGAAAGACTGTAAAGATGACTGTTTTATTTATGGATAGTGTTTCTCTCAGCTGCCAAAAACTATTTTTTAAATGATCGTTTATTTGTCGTTCCATAACATTATGTTGATTAGTTTTGAAAATATTATATGTAAACTACTGTTAAGTTGTTGTTTCGTTACATTAGTCTATAAATTTTGTTTTAAGTTTAGATAATCCATCTAGTTTGATACGCTGATGTTTTGTTTTACTCTTATTCTTTGGTTAAAGTGAATAAATTAGTTTATGGCTAAGATTATCACATATCACTAGAAGAGCAAAAAACGTAGCAAAAATATTTACTGGTCTCTCTTTCTCTCTCATTTGTTTTGGCGGATTATCGTTTATAGAACATACATTTAATGGGAAGAAAGTGTGCACTTTTCATAATTAATGTTGTCTAGTAAATGTAATTAATTATTATCAATAAAAAAAGTGAATCAAGTTTGTAACGCTAATAAAATCAACAGGTAAATGTTTATGTGTCGAAAGGTGATATGCTTGAAACTATTACGAATTCACGTTACTCGGTAAATGGGAGCGGAGACAAATGATCCAGTGACACGATAGGCTACTCTAATCCATTTGTACCGGGCCCGGCTAACTAGATCAAGAAGTCTTGAAATGGTGTAGAAAATGTATTTTACAAGCATCCACAAAACATGAGGTTCACAAGCACACAAATCGAGTTTATCTAAACATGATAGAAGCCTTCTTGGGAGAACCACGAAAATACCGTACTAAAAACCACATCAACCAATAACGGTCAAGGATTTTCCGAGTGGGAAATGTAATCTCAAGTTCAACTGATCAGCCCATGAGCCGAAACACAAAATCCGAAATCAGCGCCTTTTCCAAGTGATTTCTGGGGATCCAACGTCTCCAACAAAAGTACCAGTCCATTTACGTACATTTTGAACAGATCTGGAAATTACTAGCTTTATCATTGGATGTGTTCAAAGGACCTATTGACTCATGTATACTTTGTAATTGTATTCAAATTACGACATTCGATCCACTGAATCGATGTTAAGATACCATAAATTTCATACCTTCTGAATTTATAGTCTTAATTCAATAAGCTGTTTTAAAGCTTCGATTGTATTCTACGGCCCCGTAACTGACATATTTCAGTTATTGTAGTAGTTTTTAATTCTTAAATATACATACATATATAACTGATTGTGATCGTTTTGCCATTCTTCGTGATATTAACAATTTTTAAAGTGTTCAGACACATTGAGCTGTGTTTGTGAAGTATTTTCTGCTTATCTATTCTTTAAAGTTGTGTTTACATTCAGTTGCATTCATTTTCTTCGTATTTTGCGATATCCTACCTGTAATTTACGTTTCTACGTTTTCGGGTTTCTGCATCTTTTGTGTACTTCCGATTCATTTCTAGATGTTTATCGCGTAATTAAAGTCCCAGCTTTGAACATTCTCATATTTACAGTTTTAATTTCTATCTACTATAATCGCTACTATGAATAATCCAACAATGATTTACTGCATTTTTAATCAATCCCAACAACATTGTCGTCACATTTACATCGATCATACGCCTTGATATTGTTATGTTCCTCCTGTTTTAGATAAACATCAATACACTGTACCTTTCTCTGTGCATTTAAGTTATTTTATTTCGGTCTATTCATGATTGCATAAATCACATTTCCTCTAATTATGTATAGAATGTCTGAAGAAACTTGAAAAAAGCTTCTACATTTATCTGTCAACTAAATGCAAGTAAGGGAATCGGTCTATTATCCCTGTTATTCTAAGTTTCATCAAATCGAACGGTTCTTGTTATTTACTGTATGCAAAACTGGCAAACGTCTGTGCATATTACGGTCAAGGTCAACAACATGAAGACTCGTTCTGAAATGATTATAATGGCGATCATTGCAAGTAACCGGGTGAGATAAAAGCACTACAACCTGGCATTGACATTCCTAGTAAACTGAAGATCTTGAGTGGCTTAAATCATACTGATATCTCATATCGGATGAATACAAACAAAACCTGTAACAATACAGTTGTTCTCAATGTACCAGACTCTCTTGATAGCGATCAAGTGACTCAGCCCAAATGTTATGTACTTTTATATGACGACATAGAGAATATCATTAAATGTAGTGATCAGTTTTACTTAGGTTGGTATAAATCCGCGAATGCGAATGAATTTTTTTTTACTTTCGGATGTAATCGTACAAAATTCAGTCTTCAAGTATATTATTGTTCTGGGGAGTAAAATACTATATCACAACATAATTAACAAGAAAAGCTGTTGAACATTTTACAGTATTAAGAGTATTGTAATAGTCCAGTTTGAAAATGGCTGATTTTGAAATCATTTCTTCATGTGAGTTATCCTCCTCTTAAGTGTATATCAGTCTGTTCACGCTCGACTCATCATACAAATATGTAGCTACAAACTTTTCAATTATAGTTATCTGATCAAGCTTTGAAGCAAACTAATTCAAGGTAAGAGTGTCGGAATGTTCAGTCAGTCAGATGCAACGTAGAACTTCGTAGGTAAGTACATCAGTTCATGGTGCCATACCACATCAGCACAGAGAGATATAATTGTCAATTCAAATCCAACAGTAGAATAGGTAGTAAAGGTATTAGAAGTAATCGGAGAGGGTAGGATTAGAAGATATTATACAACAAGTATGATTCAGTGAGAAAAGTTTAGAAAGTCAAAAGTAGAGGTGATGGAGAATCCAGAAGATTAGGATTTGAGAGAATACGAAGAATAAATGCACCGGCGCCATTGCGAACGATTTTGAGCCATGTCATTCAGGGTCTCTAAATCGATTATTATCATCTCGCGTACCCCAACCAGGTAGTCCACAACTACCGACATGGCTAAGTCCACTCGTCAATGATTTCATGGATTTCTGCCATGTTTTGGTCTGGCCGCCCCTAGCTTTCTTCCAATCTATTCCTACACTACAAAACACAGCTCGTCGAGGCAGTCGGTGGTTAGACATACGCAACACATGTCCCAACCACCTCAACTGATGAAGTTTCAATAATTCATCTATTGATCTGCCATTCTTACCTAGAACCCGTTTCCTAATATCAGCGTTGCTCACTCGGGTGTCCCACGATATACGAGCAATGCTTTGGATACACCTATGATCGAAAACTAGTAACCTACGAATATCTTCTACTCTCACTGGCCATGTTTCACAGCCATAAATTAAGACGCAGCGAACTGCTGCACAGTACACTCGACCTTTAGTCAGCAAACGGATATCTCGCCTGCGCCATAAGTGACGCAGGTGGGCAAAAGCCAATCGAGCTTTCTGTATCCGAGCTGAGATTTCGTCAGTCACTAGGCCATCAGCACTGATGAGACTCCCAAGATAAGTGAAGCGGTCTACACGTTGTCGGAATGTTCAAGAATATTCTATATACGGAAGTTACAACTACTGGTGGAAAATCTTATACCAATCAAATCACTACAAAGTGCTATAACTTGAAAGTGAAATTTAAGCTTGATTAAACGTGAACTACGTACATTAATTTGCATGACATTGGGTAAATTTGTAGAGATATAAAATGGTATGCAGTTGTCAAAGATTACGAAATGTTCAAAATACACCAACCAGACTAGTAGATACTCGTCGGTCGATTTTCAAATACACCGAATATTTTGAAATTATCATTCTACATTGATGTTTATTTTTATGTTTTGACAAACAGATTATGAATAATGATCGAATTGTAAAAGTGTCAGTTCCAGTTGTTATAATTTCATCCAGGATTTGTACACTGTCTAGCTACCACACTTTCCTAAATAGATTCACTCAACAACGTCAATCATTTTCTGAGACAAACTTGTGTATGATCATGACTTTATCATCTCATATCTATTCAAGACTTTTAAGTTATCGTTATCCAGAACGGAAAACTGTTCATTTCTGTATGTACAATACGTTTAGAAGAATTGTTATGCATTTATCGTTTACGTATAATAAGAAGCGCTTTTACATAAATCGTATCGTAAAATATTATTTTACACGGTGAAATCATCAATCAATGATTGTTGGACCACCATTAGACACCTGGACGGCCGTTTCGTCATGGTATGTGGCTGAGGATGTTAGATCCCCAAAATTCGCTTGATAAATGAATGCCTTATTTTGGACTTCACGTTTGCGAGCATGGGCTGATCAGTTGACCTTGAGATTTCAATTCCCACCAGGAAGATCCATGGCTGTGACTGGCTGCTGTGTATTTTAGTGTGCTTTTTTCTTACCTGTCCCACAGACGTTTCTATGATGTAATAGCTTCAAGCGTACCTAGTGATGAACTTAACAATCAGCAGCGCGCATCTACTACACCTGAGACTCGCAGGACTCGAATCGAGGACCTTTGGTCATGCGCGCGGATGCCTAACCTCTGGACTACTGGTTGAGTATACCATACCGTCTCATACCATGACGTAAAAGCCGTTCAGTACTTACAGGTTTCTAATGGTGGTCTAACAATATGACTGGTTGATGATTTCAGTGTGCAGAAACACTGATCTGCATAGCTCTACTTGGAAAAGAAACATATTTTTTTGTAAATTAATGTACTTTTTTTAGAAAAAAAATCAGATACATACGTTGTATTTTATGTTGTTGTTCATATTTATTTTTTTAAATAGTCCTCTTTTTTTGTGATGAATAAAACAAAAACTTTTTGTCATTATTCCATTTTAATATTATCGTACACATAAGATATTCATTCTTTTAAGAAGAGAATATTTTCGCCAGATTTTTCAAATTCAAGAAACAATGTTTGAAGAGTAGCCTAGATTATTAAAAATAAAAGTAGATGAATATCATCAGTAGGTTGTTTAAAAATACAAAAATAGCATGTAGTAGATGAATGAACAAAGTTCAGTCGGCAGAAATTATTCATTTCAGATGAGAAGATAGATAATTGATGTATACCGACTGAGATGTAAAGGTATACTATCCCTAACTCTGATCTCATATGGTCGAAAAAAAAAAATTTCCGTATTTCGAAAAAATCACATTACCCGACATGAGACAAACGGTGAAAAGAGTGTTTGAGTCAATTCACATCAAGCTGAGCTGCATCTCTTGCTAACCTATACCATACTATTTGTATACCATATGCTAAACTACTGAAGATTTCTAATCCAACTAGAGGTTCACTGTGAACATTGTGGATGGCTTGGCATTGCTTTAGCAAGTATTTCTAACAGCCCATGTACCGATTTCATTGTTACGGATGGTTGTTTTGTAATATTCTCGAGGGCCATTATCATTGGAGTTGCCGTACTGCATATCACCATTGTTGATAATAATCAGTTTGACAGTCATGTAAGCAAAATGGGTCAAATTGGCCTGTTCATGCAGTGCACATTGACTGTGACGCGATTATGGATCGGAAATAATCACTATATATGTACTGGTGAATGGTCCATCAGGGTGTCAGGTACCTGTGAGGTGGTCACACCACGGGACTGAGCCGAACCGTTCTCATTAAAATGTTAATACGTGGAGAGCCTCCTTGATTCTACTGAAAACCATTGTAAAATTACCCTTGCCAATAAAGGGTTAATTTATATAACTGAATATTAAAAACTAAGATCAAAGATAATAAGTACTTATATGTTTAAACTTCATTTAACATATAACGAGATCATACAGATTAGTGTTCGCTTATTTCAATTGATTAAACTAAGTCATGAGGTTGCGCAACTCCGTGAATTTGATCAAGTTAGACATTAACACCGCAGGATACCAGCTCAGTGGTCTAACGTTAAGGGCGTTCGCGCACGATACTGCAGGTCCTGGGTTCGAATCCTGTGGGGTGCAGGAGTCGTGGATGAGCACTGCTGATGAGTCTTATACCAGGACGAAACGGCCGTCCAGTGCTTCCAGGTTTCTAATAGTGGTGTAACATTGATCGATTCATGGTTTCAATAATGTAAACTAAGTCAGTTAATTTAGTTTGAATGAATAAAATGTTTAGAAAAAGCATACTTGATTAGACAGATTTTTTTTCAATACAAAAGTATTTTAGCATTGCTAGTTGCTCAGATAGTATTTCAAAAGAATGTCAAACCGGTTCTTGTCAAGTTTTATCCTATTCATTTAGTAATTCCCTGATGCTGTGTTTATTCAACATGTAATTCTGTAAACTAATCATTCAAATACACACAAAATGAAGTGTTAGTGCACTTTGTTGAATAGTTAGGAATTGATTTTTAACCTTGAGAAAATGTCTGTTTTTTTTAAAGATGTCTGCATTATTCACAGGAGGAAATAAGTTACAAATATGAATATATGAACTAAGTGCTTTTCACCAATTTAGCACTGATTGGACTGAAACAATCAATTACAAGTGAGACAGTAGTTTACAACTTCTTGTTGATTAGTATTCATTATAGATCTCCGTATGATTGTGAAGTAACAGCTTATTTAGTGGAATATTTTGTCGGGTTTCACATTCTATTCACATGAAGATTGAAATATTAGACTAGCATAGACTGTAAGTGATCATACGTTTCACTTCTGTGTGTTTTTTCTATTACTGATGATTTAAAGATGTTTCAGTACTCCATTTTAAACCATTCAAGCAGCGATCTGTTAAACTGGAAAGATATCCCTTCTGTTATCCATGATCGCTTACTCAAGTAGAGAATAAAAATCATGCTCATATGATTTTGAGATGGTGGAGAAAACTTGTAGGTCAGGTGGATGATTGTGGTGGTGTTTCGTTCTCTGAGCTGGTTGTTTTGGTTGTGGAGCTTTGATTGTTCTTCTACTGAACAACATCATCAGCACAATCTTCAGATAGAAGTGAAGCATTCGAATTTCGCCACGTTTGACCTGTAGCTTGTTCTGCTAACCTCGATCTTGATTGATTGCTGTTCACCTAAAACCTGTCGTTGTTTTCACATTTGTTTTGATTGTATCCCCTTTTTGATCTGTTTCTTGATCCTATGTCCCCTATGATTTTCCTGATTGGTTGATAAATTGGGTCAATGTTGATGTGTTTGTTGATTGCTGATTGACCTGAGTGCCAAGCTTCTAAAAATTCTCTAGTGTTCTTTGTCCTCCCCCTATCCAGTATTTCCACATTGTCCCAATCGAAAGCTCCACAACCAAAACAACCAGCTCAGAGAACGAAACACCACCACAGAGAATAAAACTCTAATCATGTTAAACTAAAATAGTTTGAGATCATCATGTCGATGATGACTTTATTCGCACTGATCAACAATGTCAACCAATCAGTTTGCACTCATCAAACAACATAACTATGGAGATTCAAGAAAGTTCGAGAAAGTGGGGTAGGTTAATTTGAAATTGTCAACATACCATAATCTATCGACGAAAGTACTACAAGTGAATTTTTTTTTTGAATAAAAAGAAAATTACAAGCTAGTGGTGAATGATAGAGGAGATCATTTCAAAAATTTAAATTTACTGGTTGTCTCTAATATTGTGGTGCGAGCTACATATAAGTAGTATATGACGTGAGTGTAAACGTAATGTCTGGCAGCAGAAGATAGGGGAAGATCAAGAAAGGAAGAGTTACAACTAAAAGGAAACGCATGGATAGTGACAATGGATAGATTTTTTGCAACAGGAACAGTCCAGTTCGATATGATGGACTGATATTTCGCAAATGAACGATTTACGATATGGTTTTCCAATTTTACTGAGTAACTCTGTAATTTTCGTTAAATACAATTCGGTTGCCCCACCTGTGTTCTCGTTCACTAAAATATTTCTATCCAAAGTGATGAAAGTCTAGTTGAAGTCATTAAAACTTCTTGATTCATCAGTAGCTTACAAATGAGAAAATTAGATCAAAACTATGCTGTCTCGATAGAACACAAACTGCATCAACCAAATCACGCTTGACGGAGAAGCTTTGAAGGATGTGAAAGCTTTCACATAATATCTGGGTAGCATCATTGATGAGCACGGTGGATCTGATGCAGATGTGAAGGTGCGAATTAGCAAAAAAGTGACAGCTTTTCTACGACTGAAGAACATTTGGAACTCAACATATAACTGTCAACTAACACCAAAGACAAAATTTTCAATGCAGATGTCAAGATAGTTCTACTGTAAAGGAGCGGAAACTTGGAGAAACACAAAAGCTATCATCCAGAAGCTACATGTGTTTATGAACAGTTGTCTACGCATGATACTCCGAATTCGTTGGTGAGATAGCATCAGCAACAACTCATTGTAGTAGAGAACAAAACAGATTACATCAGAGAAAGAAATCAGTGATGTAGGTGGATGGAACACATAGTGTAGAAATTACCGAACTGCGTCACAAGGTTAGTCTTCATAGGGAATCCTCAAGGCCAAAGGAAAAGAGGAAGACTAAAACACGCATTATAGACATGAAAAGAATCAACAACAATTGGGTAGAACTAGGAAGAAAGGCCCAAGACGGAGTCGGTCAGAGAATATCGGTCAACGTCTATGCTCCACCAGGGTTAACAGGTATAAGTAATCAATTGAATATCTGAAACCAGTATTAACATCTGAATGTTTTATTCAGTAGACAGTGTCAGTTTACTACTTACTTACTTACTTACTTATACCTGTTACCCCCAATGGAGCATAGGCCGCCCACCAGTTTTCTCCAACCAAGTTTACTACTTACACTTTACCTTATTTCTTTAATAGATAACCTCAGGAGTTGTAGTTACATGTGGAAGAGTTTCATATCTGGATACATAATATGCCCGCTAATCTTGTTTTCTTTAAAACAAACTAATTTCTTCATCGTTTAGAATCACGACAAAAGAAAAACAATTTATATCATACGATTTTTCAAAAAAAGCCATAACATAGCAACCAGTAATCTGTCTACTAACCTGTCTTTTGGTGGGTTGTATTCTATGGAATAAAAAAAAATGAAGCAGTAATTCGCATGAATTAATTGACCGAACGAACAAGATTAAAAGTGTTTTCAAAGGGCATATTTTAGAGGTTAGGCGTTCACGCGCAAGACCAGGTTCGAATCCTACTAGTTGCAGCAGTCGTGGATGCGCACTGCTGATGAATGCCACAACAAGACGAAATCGGCCGTCTAGTGCTTCCAGGTTTCTGATAGTGGTCTAACAATGATGGATTGTCGATTTCAATATGTAAAAACACCGATCTCCATAACTCTCATTGAAAGAATAGTTCAATGCTAAAATCTGGTTTAGTTATTGAGATTATTTTTTTAATGGAAAAGTTTTATTGACTTATTTTATTCAGTAAATGAGAAGACAATAAACTATCACTGTTGTAGAATATGATCTATCCAGTTCAAAATAATTCAAAACAAAACTACATACCTTCAACTCCAAAAATACTGTTAACTGTAAAATACAATAACAAATGAGAAAATGAATTTGTTATTTGGTTTGTAATGTCTAATGTGTGAAGAATTCCCTCTCTCTCTCTCTCATATACAATAATGATATATATCACAACGAAGTGGAGATTTACTTATGACAGTGTTACGCCTGCATGTAAACACGTCAACTTGATATACTTGAACTATTACGAGTTTACCTTAGTCGGAAAACGAGAGCGAGGATCGAGGATCCGGTGACACGACATACTACTCAAATCCGATTATCCCAACCACCCATATTGAGTAAAAATAGGAAGACTTGATATGAAGTAAAACCTGTATTCTACAAGCATCCAGAAAGTACGAGGTCCGAGTCCATAAGAGAATCAGGATCCCTGACTGGGGACCCAGGATCGGGTCCTAGTCATCAAAAGGTTACAGATCATGCGTATTTATACATTTTGGTCGAATGAGAAACAGCATCGAAATCTGTGACATTGACAGTTAAGACGACCAATAGGAAGCAATATTTGAAGTAACATTGATAGTCAGGACGACCATAAAATTGACCAGTAGGAATTAACCAATAGGAATAGACCAATAATTCTCTTAGGATATTGGATGAATATCCTAACAGACAAATAGTCAAATAGCAATAGCTTATCTGAGATATTTATATACATATGTATGTACACATAGGCATTTACAAGTACACTACACTGTATTTCAGTTCATTTTAATGTAAACTGACTTAAATTTATGTGTATTTGGTTTGCTCGTTAAAAACTTTATGATCGATTAAAATTCTTAATCACTGGTACAGATCAAATCATGATCCCGAATGATAGACTGAAGCATGGAGATGATGCTTCAGTCTAACGATCATGTTCACTGATTCAATATTTGACCAGTTGATGTCATGGTAGTGAATTTCTTGATCGATAATGTGTCACAAAGAGTAAATGTTTCAGACAAAATACAAGGTCATTTTGAATCTATGTGTTTCTTCATTGCAAGGAATATCATTCGATTTGAATGTGTTTGAAACGGCTACTATTAATGACAAGTATTTTAAAGCTTTCCGTGATATCTAAAAACAGAATTATTCCATGATTTTGTCCTAGGGTGCAATGTCAGTTTAAATCATAAAAGCTTTTATTTTTTCACTTCGTAATAAACTACTTACATTTATTGACTATTCCTAGAATTCGGAAAAAAAAATACCGGAAAACATTAGACTTAGACCTCAAACGTATATTCCTGAAATGTATTCTTGTTAACATTGATTCGCAACTCATTACTCATTCAGTAACATGAAAATTGATTTATTCTTGAGGACAAACATGTTTACTTAAATGAGAGGAAGTTTTAGATGGATAGCTTTCTTAGGTGGAGTTTTATTCTCTGAACTGGATGATTTGCTTGTGAAGCTTCATCTTTGCCTGTAGGAACCTCGATTACCAGTTAGACAGCATGAAATTTTTTCCTTTTTCAAAATATGTGGACAATCGGGAACACATATTCAAATAGAAAAACGTTGGATAATCATAGCATGCTATGATTAATGCCAATTAGCCAATCAACAAACCGATCGAAATCGATCGAATTCATCGATCGATCATGATAATATTAATAATGGACAAATATAGGATCAAGAATCCGATGAAAAGAGGATAAAATCAAAATAACCATACAGACAGTGACAGATTAAAGGTCCATACTAATTAATCAAGACTGAATTCCATTCGGACAAAGCTGGGTATCAATTCTACTTGAAGTTTGTGCTGAAAATGTTGTCTATGAAAGCTGCGCCATCAGATCATTTAGCTCAGATAACTTATCACCAACAAAAACCATCCATCCAAGAAGCGACTCGACTACCTGGTTAAGGTCCGCGAGATGATAATAATCGATGGTTAGAGACCTTGAATGACATGGCTCAAAATCGTTTAATGTCGAGGTGCATTTATTCTTTGTGTTCTCTCAAATCCTAATCTTCTGGATTCTTCAACAACTCTAGTTTTGATTTTCTAAACTTTTCTCATTAAATAATCCTAACCTCTCCGATTACTCCTAATACCTTTACTACCTCTACTACTATTGGATTTCAATTGACAAATACATCTCTGTGCTGATGTGGTATGGCGACATGAACTAATGTACTTATGTACGAAGTTCTACGTTGCATCTGACTGACTGACTGACTGACTTCACTATCGATATACTAAAATTCAAGCTGTTAGATGTGTTTGAATCATTCAGAATGAATCGACTAAATCGGATAAGTAAAATGTAATGTAGTCATGAAAAAGATTTGAATGAATCATAAACAAAGTAACGTGAATGCCTAGATAGTTTCAATTTCATAGTAAACTTATGATTTCTGTATTATGGTTATTCTTAGAAGTCATATCAATCTTCAGATAATAATTCAATATTTTGAAAATGCATAATAACTGCATAACTCCGCCTGGAGCCCCTCTGAGTCTAGGGCCGATTTACAGGCCTGGATAAAAGAGGGTTGACCATGGGATCAGTGAGCCCATCCCATAACTGTATCTTTCCTAGTGCAGTAACCTATTGAGTTTGTATTCAACAGGAAACTTCAGTCGACTTAAATTAACTAATGTGAATTTTATTGTCATGAAAAACTTACTTTCTTTCAATGAGGCTAGAAAATTGTTTTAATTAGTGAGAAGATTACATTGGATAAAATACCGGTAAATCATATTCACAAAAAAATAGCTAGTGAAATACCTTGAAAGTAAGATTGTAGAACTGTTACAACTCAGAAAATAAGAATTAGCTGGACTGATATTTACATTCTAGCTTCCAGCTGAGGCATAAATTAGCAAAAAGCACTGGAGATGAATACGATACACATTGTGTAAATCAACCGACCGCATCACAAGTCAAGATCTCATAAGGAATCCTCAAGGTCAAAGGGAAAGTGTCAGACCAAGAAACACGTTACGCTGAGAATTGTGAACAGATATGAAAAGTATGAACAACAATCGGGTAGAACTGGAAAGAACAGTCCAGGACAGAGTTGGACGGAGATTCCTGGTGAGTAGCTTATGATCCACCAGGGGTAATAGTCGTAAACAATATGGTACTAAAATTATAGTTAGTAGTTGGGATGGCTGTAAACAGGGATTTTTAAATTAACATGGGAAATGTATACCCTTTAAAATCCATAAATCAATAGTAGGGTAACAGCGCAGTCTGTCGTTAAGAGATGAGTCAAATAGCCGTACACTGAAACAAAGGCTCAAATCCGTTTTCACTAAAACTTAATATTCAGCAAATGTCATTATCATGGAAGAAACAAGGTCAATGATTCGTTGAATACCTAAAACGCATATAAACGATCGCATCGCATCTCATTGTGTTTATCAGTTTGAATGCGTGCGTCATCATTCATAAATAGGGCGGATTAATTGTGATTTCCAAATTAGGGGGCTTTATGACGCAGCTGGGTAGTGGGGGCAACCCTGTTAGCCAATTTCGGGTGGTTGGCGTAACCGATAACAAAGTGTTTTGAGACTCGACTCCAAAACCAAAAGGACTGACCGATGTGTATACTTGAGTACTAGCGGTATGCATGTAACGCACGAGAGACAGTCTGTGGTAGTGAATACGGTCAAAGGAATGGTGACTGTCTGCTGCTCTGCTAGGGGGCGGTTATACCCTGAGTATGCAACTCAGGGATGCCTGGGTGAAAACTCGTGTGTCTCCAGTGTACATGACCTCCAGTTAAGTGTACCTTTATGTGCGTCACGAGGTATATGAGGTGAAACTCATGTACTTCTAATATTCATCCAACGTACACTTTCTCCAGGTGTTACGTCCGCCTGTTGAGATCCTTGAGGTTATGATTTCATACAAAACACATCGATGCGGTAAGTGTGAGTACGAGTAGATGATAGACATCCATCATCCTCTATTGCCAAAGGCATAGTTGAAATAGGTCATGAGGTTGATCTTAACTCGTCTTTAGTTGTTCATGCACGTATACTAAGGTTTATTGAGTTCATGTAAGCAAAAACAGTTTACATTTACCCTAAATATTCTTAACAACAATATACATGGGTGATCAGATTGTTCACAATGTATTGTGCTAATATATATCAAACAGTTGTGATAATCTTCGTCTTCTCATTACACTATCGAAATTCCAAAAGTCAATGAGCATCTCTCGTTACATAGATTGATCACTCTACACAATAATAGACAGCTGGCACATCAAACAACACTAGCTTCGTGAGGAAATTCTCGGAGTTCTAGTAAGAAGATGTGACCAATGGAGTTCAACCCTGTCGAATGTAGGAAGTAACTACCAAAGACAAATGGGTGAGGTCGCGCAAAATCCCTAGATCAATCAGAGTTAGACATTAACACCGTTAGATGCCGGCCCGGTGGTTCAATGGTTAGGTGTTCGTGCACAATACCGAAGGTCCAGGGTTTGGAATCCTGAGAGGTGCAGGAGTCGTGGATGCGCACTGCCACTGATGAGTCCCATACCAGGACTTGACGGCCATCCAGTGCCACCAGGTTTCTAATATTAGTCTAACAATGATTGATTGATGATTTCAAATGTGTAAAAGCTCTAACTGTAAGTATATAACTATCACAATTTGGATGATCATGTAAATTGCACTTGTTGTTACTCACGATTTTTAACCTCTATGCCGTTGTTGTTTGTTGCTGAAATCGAATAAAGACATAAAACTTTCAAAGTTTACAAAATAAAAAATTATAATCTATTCGCTAGTTAAGTAGAAGTAGAAACCAAAAATGTCCTCGTTCAATGATCAATGTTATTAGGCAATGGAAATCGTTCAATTAACAGCACAGATCTTTACATGTCATATTTCCTTCTTTAAAAGTCGTCACAAATTGACTATTATACATTACACCATGAAGTTAACAACTTGTAAGTCAAAACTGGGTCATTATAATACGTTTTTCTGCATTGTGTACACATGATTATCCTTGAAATGGGAGGACACTTTTTCACAGGTGATCAGATCAGCTTACTGGTTTTAACATGTTTGCTTTTAATTTGTTGAAATCTCATATAACTACCAAAAGCTGTGTAAACCAATGTCAATAGATGTCAAACTATACTGATTTGACATTTTTTGTAAATTCATAATATTTCTCTAATTCATAGATATGAGAAATGTTTTCTCATTGATAAAATATGCTTACAGGTACTGTCTGATGATCGAAACCCAGAAGTCACTAAAATGTCAAATTAGATTAACAGACAGACAGATGATCAATTTTCTTTTTCCAATAAAACTAGTTGTTTTATCCGAGTTGAATTAATTTATATTATAACCTATAGGACATATTTTTATAACAGATGTGTCAACTTAGTGTAGTGGTGTTATATTGATCTAATGATATAATGGTACACACATAAACAGGATTTTTTTGTTTTGAAATTCCTCCAGTTTCATTTTCAAAGTAACCAGAAAATGGACTCGGACTTTGTACTTTCTGGATGCTTGTAGAATACACACGTTCTACTTCAATCTATATCATTCTCAAGTAATGCTTTAAATCAGACCATTAAACTGAAATACCACTTATGGTTTCAATGATATGTGGATTACACACACATTACTTTGCTGTTAGATGAACAGTTACAATCACGCTATTTTTAGTCAGACGATGCAACTAACTTTCAGTTTACAAAATACAGATCAAAATCTATATCTCTTACAATAAAATTTAACACAAATTAAATTCAAATGAAAAAGCATTTCAAGCATCTCAGCATCTATTGATTTTCGGTAGATTTTTTTTCATGAACATTCCACTCACATGAATTCCACATACCTAGTAAAACAATATGGCTTATTATTATGAGTCATTTCCTAAATAAAGGCAGAGATTATGAGGAATGCAGAAGCTTAAAATTTCATAGAACACAAAGAGTGGATGCACCTGCGCCATTGCAAACGATTCTGAGCCATGTCATTCTGCGTCTCTAACCATCGATTATTATCATCTCGCGGACCCCAACCAGGTAGCCTGCATCTACCAAACTGACTCAGTCCACTTGTCAGTGACTTCATGGATTTGTGCCATGTTTTGGTTTGGCCGCCCCTAGCTTTCTTCCAACCTACTCCTACACTGCAAAACATAGCTCGTCGAGGCAGTCGGCGGTTAGCCAAACGTAACACATGTCTCAACCACCTTAACTGATGAAGTTTCATTACTTCATCTATTGATTTGCCATCCGTACCTAGAACTCGTTTCCTAACGACAGCATTGCTTATTCGGTTGTCCCATGATACACGAGCAATGCTTCGGAGACATCGATGATCGAAGACTAGTAACCAACAGAAGTCCTCTACTCTTAATGGCCAAGTCTCGCATTAGTACAGTAGGATGGAGCGAACTGCTGCACAGTACACTCGTCCTTTGGTTAGCAAAAGGATCTTTCGCCTACGCCACAGGTGACGTAAGTTGGCGAAAGCCAATCGAGCCTTCTGTATCCGAGCCGAGATTTCGTCAGTCACCAGGCTATCAGCACTGATTAGACTCCCCAGATAACACGTTCGACTACTTCACTCCCTATCACTAGTTCAGTTGCCGATGTAACCCAATCTTGAAGCAACATTTTGCATTTCGAAGGGGAAAACCGCATCCCAAACATGCTTGCATTGTTGCTTAGGGTGGTCAGAAGACTCTGCATTTTGTCAGCGTCTTCACCAAGTAGGACAGCGTCATCGGCATATTCTAAGTCGATAAGCGAGCCTCCTGGTTATTGGTCTACTCCTGAAAATTCAGACGAGGTGCATTTAAAAGCTCAAATATGGTAGGAATCTATCACTTGCTGACACAGAGCTGTATACACAGTAAAGCTCTCTCTTAAAGAATCAAACCTAGGAGTTTCAATTCTCACTCTAGTCCGCTCATCCATAATATTACTGGGTTTGAATTTATTGGGGTACTCATCCTCAGTGGATTTGAAATATAAACCAGAGATCTTTACACTTCATTGATTCGTGATGAGTTCAAGAGATCAGAATTTTGGCAGTAGTCATCAGTGTAGAAAGTTAATCGTCAAGCTACATCAGTGAATTTACAAATGTGTAAACTGTAGGATGCTAACCTAGTGAGTGACAGAACGGCAAACTAACGAATTAAGTCCATGTACCACATTAGTTGTCTTTTCAAAGACTTTTATTCCGATGGCAAATATTTTTCACAAGTTTTAAACTCTGCTACATTATCTATATCACTAGTAAACAAACACTGTAATCTTTGCTTCACGTGGTAAACGATACGCCAATGTTACAAAAAGTATTTATTAGTGCGAAATGTTTATTCGAGAAAAATTGTAGATCAGATTAGTGAGTATCTTACAACGGAAGCGCTTCCCCTGTACTATATACACTACTTAATAAAACTATGGATTTCAGTACATGACAATTAATTATCATTTCTGGCTTCTTTTACGAAACTGTTAGGATATTCAGCTAATATCCTAAGAGAATTATTGGTCAAATCCTATTGGTCGATTTCTATTGGTCAAAATTATGGTCGTTATAACTGTCAAAGTCAGATACTTCAATGTTGTTTCTTATTGGTTGTCCTGACTATCAGTGTCACTTCAAATGTTACTTCCTATTGGTCGTCTTAACTATCAATGCCACAGAATTCGATGCTGTTTCTTATTCGACCAAAATGTATAAATACGCATTATTTGTAACGTTTTATGACCACGACCAGGGCTAGGGCTGAGTTATGGATCCCTAGTCCGTGATCCTGATTCTCCTCTGGATTCGGACCTCGTACTTTCTGAATGCTTGTAGAATACAGGTTCTACTTCATATCAAGTCTTGTCTTATTTTTACTCAATATGGGGGTCGGGATAATCGGATTTGAGTAGTATGTCGTGTCACCGGATCCTCGCTCTCGTTTTCCGACTAGGTAAACTCGTAATAATTCAAGTATATCGAGTTGACGTGTTTACGTGCAGGCGTAACAGAAACCAAAATGACTTTACAATGTATATAATCCAGTTACATAACTGAAATTCAACTCACGTCTAAAGAATGATGGTTCTAATAAGAAGGAAAAGCTTAGTTATCATCGAGAAACTTGTTTTTTAATTAAGTAAACATAATTTAACGTAGTTCAATTATTTCGATGAAACTTTAATCGATTTTATATGATGACAGACAGTTCATTGAGTCATGTTCATTACTTTGTATTCAACTCATAATGAATTTCACACACATTCTTTTTTGTTTAAATCTACACAAAACTTGATTTTAGAATATTTTTATGATCTGCATTGAACGTTGAACATGTTCAAACTTCAATTATTCTTTTTTTTCACAGGGATCAAAGTTAACTTGGTGAAATTCGAATACTTCACTTCTGCTATCTAAAATTTGTGCTGATGATGTTGTTGTTCAGTAGGAGAAGAGGCGAAAGCTTCACAACCGAAACATTCAGCTCAGAGAACGAAACACCACAACAGTAGTATGAAATCACTTTTAGCATATTTGTAATGATATTATCAATTAAAATGTAATAAACTTTTGTATGAAAGGATATTATTCATCCTTTGCAACTTTTGTTTAATCACATTCATGTCAGATTGAAATTGTCGAATGAATTCATTTTTGATTTTCAGCTGTGAGTTTTGTCAATGAAATAACAAGAATAAAATGAATCGTTTCTTTTTTTCCAACTCAATCAATAGCTTACGTTCTGTTTGGGCTAAAATAGAAAGGTCAAAATAATACATTTTATAAAGTAAGTTGAATGATATCTAACGATTCACTAAGGAGATTTAAACAACGGAATTATTACATTTTGTTATACTAAAAACTCCATCTTGTTTAGAACCGATAAAGACTTTCCTTCATTCCACTTCCATCAATATTCTTGGGCAAAAATAACTTCGAATTTCAATTCATCATACTACGTTATTCTTATGGAACTAGTGTTTATGGTTAATAATTAATTCTGTTTCAATATTCAATATACACAAAGTCATTTAAGTCAGGAAGATTTTCTTTATAAAGATCATTGAAGTTATTCACCGATTCAAGTTGGATCTCTGTGTCTGAAAGCAACTTGATTAGTCATTCGTTTCTACTCGTGAACTCAACTATCCTTCACTCCAATAGACCTGTTACCCCCCAATGGAGCAAAGGTCGCCGATCAGTACTCGACAACCTACTCTGTCCTGGGCCTGCCTTTTTCAGTTCTGTCCAATTTTTGTTCATTCTTCTCATATTTGTCTCCATTTCCCAGCGTAATATGTTGTTTGGTCTACCTCTTTTCGCTTGACCTTGAGGGTTCCAATTGACGGCTTGTCTTGTAACGCAGCTGGGTACTTTCCGCGATGCCTGTCCTATCAATTTGTGTCATCCTATTATTCATTAGTTATTATCATAGCATTCGATAATTCAGTCCTTCATATTCATGATATTAGACAACAATCGTTTCTTTGTAGACAAAATGTTTACACTCTCATTTAGAGAAAAAGTGAAACAGTGTAAGACAATGCTTTAGAAACATGACAAAAATAGATTTTGTCTTTAGTTTTATAACTTACTTGTTGTTGGAGCAGTTGCAGCTTTACTCACTTAATAAAAAAAACAAAAACTCTTTTACAGTTATGTTACGAGTAATTTATAGGTTATGCAAAAATGATCATATTTATCAAGTAATTAGAGAACACTATTATTACACTAATTGTGTGGTGCTGTGGTGCGAGCTACTTATAAGTAGTATATGACGTGAGTGTCAACGTAATGTCTAGCAGCCGAAGATGGGTGAAGATCAAGAAAGGAAGAGTTAGAAACAATGGAATTTGTATGAAACGCATGAATAGTGATAATGGATTGATGTTTTACAACAGGAACAGTCCAGTTCCATAGGATGAACTGATCTTTTGCAAATGAACAATTTACGATATGGTTTTCCGATTTTACTGAGTAACTCTGTAATTCTCATTTAATACAATTCGGTTACCCCACCTGTGTTCTCGTTCACTACAATTGTACTGCTGATTTGAAACATAAACTTGAAATAATCATTCTGTCAAGTATAGACCAAAAGTAGTGATATTTTGATTATCTCTGTAAATAATACACTCTCTTGTTCTACTACCTTTCTATGACCTAAATTGTTCATTCTATCCTTAAATCACAATGATACAAATACATCATTTCAGTGGACTAGTTAGTTGTAATATTTATGAAATTGAAAGTTAAATTCTGATTCCTCATTGTAAAATTGTAGAGATTGTTGAGACGAATGATAGCTCACTGTTAGAAACCTGGAAGCACCAAACAGTCGTTTCGTTCTAGTATGGGACTCTTATGCAATGCGCATCCATGACTCTACTAGCGGGAATTGAACGCTGGGTTTTCGATCTCGCTCTCGGATGTTTAACATCTTGACAACTAAGCCGGCAACATGACTGTCATCCATTGTTTTGAACTACATTGATCATGCTGCTTCACAGGAACTCTGTGAATCCCCTTCATGAAGCTAAGCACTAGTTAGCACATGATAATTCTGATGTGTTGTTACACAATATCATTAAACACTTTTCTGTTTGTTATAAATAACACTGCAAAGTAATACTGAATTAGTCAATCTCAACAAAACTGTCCATATACGTTTGAAATTATCACAGTCACAAGTAACTAGTATGGTATTCAGCTTACCAGGAGTGTGTGATACCGCGGCTAAATGTTTTTTAAAAAGATCATATTTTTACAGTTGAAATTTAGTAATACAGAGTATTTGTTTAACATGAATTTGATTTAGTATGACTGGATCATTTACACAATAAGTTCACACACTGTTCATCTAGTCAAGAACCGTTATGCTATCGAAGAGTTGCTACATACTAGGATTCAACTGAATATATATATATATATATATACAGAGTTCATAAATGCTTCTTTCTCTAAGTGTACATAAACTCATTCATATTATTCTTCCTGGACGCATTTACAAATATGGTAAAAGATACCTTTCAAACAACAAGCTACACATTTCTCACACAATAAATCATACACCGTTCTCTGATGAACCTATGAATTTACTGCAGTATCATTCACTGCAGTCAACTCTAAACAGACATTCATTTCGTGAATCGAAAATGATGTAAAAACACACAATGTTTGCTATTCTGAATTTCTCTCAAAATCAACATAAATCTTCATCACTTTATTTCATTTATTGAATTTTGAATGTTGAACACTTGAAATGATCTTGTGATACATCCCAATTTATAGAGAGATCCTCTAAAATTACTGATTGCTTTGAGTGTCGCATTATATCGATAAGTATGTCGAACTATAAAAGATTTCTACTTGAGAGTTGCATATGATAGAAATGTTGAATAAATTATTGACTACCAAAAATAAAAACATTGAACAATGTTGACAAGGCATATTGTTTGTTTAAATTAAATGAAGATTAGTAAAACACAAAATTTACTTGGCACAATTTTTGAATCTATATTTGATACAAATATCACTGCATAAGTATCTGTTGACAGTTAGTTATATGACTTTCATGTTTCATGTATTCATGAAAATGTGAAATTTAAACGAGTGAAGTAGATTTCAAATTGTTTACTATACATAGAAATTAATACTTGGACATATATTTGGATATTAGTGACCGCATTGTTGAGAAATGTTTCACGGTAATTTATAAGTATACATTGTCACTAACTTGCTTATAGTGTAATGTTATAAAAAGACATCGAACTTCATCAGAATTTATGTATTTCTCAGTTTATCAATGACACATGTGTTTCTCTTCTACACAGTTAGTTGTTATACAATGTAAATGATTGTACTAAAACAGAAATGTATCTATAAACTCACTTTGAGTTGCTTTAGCTAAAATCAGGGATTTAAACGATTAATTACTAAATTTACAACAATTTTGCTTACAATCATCACTCGCCTTCTTTATTCATTACATCACTGCCCTCCTACTCTACATTAAACATCCTAAATGTACTTACAGTTGTAAGTAGTTACCATTCAACATGTATTGGGATATTAGTGACCGTATTGTTGAGAAATGTTTTACGTCAATTTATAAAACAGTATTTCTATTTCAGTATATATATATATATATACATATATATATATATATATATAATCACGAACTTGCTTATAGTATAATGTTATAAAAGGACAACTAAATTCATCAGAAGTTGTGCATTTCTCAGTTTATCAATGACACATGTGTTTCTGTTCTACACAGTTAGTTGTTATACAATGTGAATGATTGTACTGAAAGAGAAATGTATTTCTAAACTCACGTTGCGTTGCATTGGCTAAAATCAATCAGTTAATCGATTAATTATTAGATATACAACAAAATTTAGATACAATTTAACTCTATGAATTTCATAAACGACATAATGACTCTACGATTAATCTCTACCAATTGAACAATGTTTTACTTCCAATCATAACGAAATGTTTTCTGTCATAATTTATCTGTTTATTGCGTCAATGCTCTGCTACTTTTAATAACATGTCCTAAATGTCAGTCAGTCAATCAGATGCAACGTAGAACTTCGTACGTAAGTACATCAGTTCATGTTGCCTTATCACATTAGCACAGAGATATAATTGTCGATTCAAATACAATAGTAGTAGAGGTAGTATAGGTATCAGAAGTAATCGGAGAGGTTAGGATTAGAAGATATCATTCAAAAAGTATGATTCATTGTGATCAATTTAGGAAGACAAAACTAGAGGTGTTGAAGAATCCAGAAGATTATGATTTGAGAGAACACAAAGAATAAATGCACCGGCACCATTGCAAACGGTTTTGAGCCATGTCGTTCAAGGTCTCTAACCATCGATTATTATCATCTCGCGGACCCCAACCACGTAGCCTACATCTGCCGACACGACTCAGGCCACTTGTCAATGACTTCATGGATTTCTGCCATGTTTTGGTTAGGCCGCCCCTTACTTTCTTTCGACCTATTCCTACACTACAAAACATAGCTCGTCGAGGCAGTCGGTGGTTAGGCATACGCAACACATGTCCCAACCACCTCAACTGATGAAGTTTCAATAATTCATCTATTGATCTGCAGTTCTTATCTAGCACCCGTTTCCTAATAACAGCGTTGCTCACTCGGTTGTCCCAGAATAAACGAGCAATGCTTCGAAGACATATATGATCGAAAACCAATAACCTACGAATATCTTCTACTCTCACTGGCCATGTTTCACATCCATAAAGTACGACGAAGCGAACTATTGCACAGTACACTCGTCCTTTAGAGTCCTAAATGTGCTTACAGTTGTAAGTAGTTACCACTCGGCAAGAGAGTTTATAGGAACCTTAAATGTTCATTGGTTTTATAACTAAGTCATCTACTCTCGCAGAAACTTTACACTAAAACTAACCCCTGTAAACTGGACTCAGTCCGAATAGTAAAACATGAAATAACCTTGTACCTGAATCATGAAAGATCTGACCAACATATTGTTGTAATTATGGCTTTCAATGTTCAATATTCTCCAATTCTGTTTTACTTTTCCTAGTTGTACATGACGGGACTAAGGAAGGGCACTACGTTCACCGCTGATACATACATGAACAAGATACAAGAATGAATAGTTCCTGACTGACGCCATGCATTGTCTTTGAAGAATGTACAATAATTTAAAAACTAGAATATTTAAAGATAATGTGGCATGACGATATTTACTCCGTTACATTAAACATATATGTATTTCTATATTAAGCTGACCATTGCCTGTAAGCCGACATGAATTCTACTACAATCATTATTTTCAGTAATATTGTGGTGTACGCTACTTATGTTCACATAAGTAGTATATGATATCAAATGGAAATAAAACATCTAACAACAAAAGATCGAGAAGGAAAGCGTGAAACCGAAGGCGATAAGTAGATGACGTAAAGTGAACTGAAGTCTGAACAGTCTAAATGTAAGAACACTGAAATCTGAAACAAATAAGGATTGATTTGGAAATGATGATTCACGGGAAGGTTTTGTAAATATGCCTAACAACTCTGTAGTGTACTCGCCTGAGTTCTCGAGGACAACAATATCATTTAGTCTATTGTCACTAACTTGCTTATAGTATAATGTTTTTATAAATTCAATTATTCACAAATTATATAAAATGACGCCACTTTTATCAGACGCTTCAATGACTCATGTGTTTCACCTCTACACAGTTAGTTGTTATACAATGTAATTGATTGTACTAAAAGAGAAATGTATTTCTAAACTCACGTTGAATTGCTTTAGCTAAAATCAGGGATTTAAACGATTAATTACTAGATTTACAACAATTTATTTGCAATCATCACTCGCCTTCTTTATTCATTACATCAATACCCTCCTACTCTTCATTAAATATCCTAAATGTACTTACAGTTGTAAGTAGTTACCATTCAACATGTATTATGATATTAGTGACCGTATTGTTGAGAAATGTTTTACGTCAATTTATAAAACAGTATTTCTATTTCAATATATATATATATATATTATCACGAACTTGCTTATAGTATAATGTTATAAAAGGACATCGAAATTCATCAGAATTTATGTATTTCTCAGTTTATCAATGACACATGTGTTTCCCTATTATACAGTTAGTTGTTATACAATGTAAATGATTGTACTAAAATAGAAATGCGTTTCTAAACTCACGTTGCGTTGCATTGGCTAAAATCAATCAGTTAATCTATTAGTTACTAGAGTTACAACAATGTCTTACTTCCAATCATAATGAAATGTTTTCTGTTATAATTTATCTATCAGTCGACACACTCTATTCATTGCGTCATTGCTCTGCTACTCTTCATCAAATGTCCTAAATATGCTTACAGTTGTAAGTAGTTACCATTCAACAAGTGAGTTTGTAGGAACCTTAAATGTTCATTGGTTTCATAACTAAGTCATCTTCACTTGCAGAAACTGTACACTAAAACTACGCCCCCTGTAAATTTAACTAAATCCGAATAGTAAAACATGAAATAAACTTGTACATGAATCATGAAAGATCTGACTAACCTATTGTTGTAATTATGGCTTTCAGTGTTCAATATTCTTCGATTCTGTTCTATTTTGCCTAGTTATGCGTGATGGGACTAAGGAAGGGCACTACGTTCACCGTTCATACATACATCAACAGGATACAAGAATGAATAGTTCCTGACTGACTCCTTACATTACAGTTAGGTATATGGAGGATGTGCAACAATTTAAAAACTTGAATAATTAAAACAATGTGGCATGACGATATCTACTCCGTTACATTAAACATATATATTTCTATATTAAGCTGACCATGCCTGTAAGCCAACATGAATTCTACTACAATCATTATTTTCAGTAATATTGTAATGTACGCTACTTATGTTCACATAAGTAGTATATGATATCAAACGGAAATAAAACGTCTGACAGCAAAAAGATCGAGAAGGAAAGAATGAAACAGAAGGCGATTTGTAGATAACGTAAAGTGAACTGAAGTCAGAACAGTCTGAATAAAAGAACACTGAAATCTGAAACAAATAAGGATTGATTTGCAAATGATGAATCACGGGAAGGTTTTGTAAATATGCCTAACAACTCTGTAATGTTCGCTTAAATATACCTTGTTAATGTCCTCGCCTGAGTTCTCGAGCACAACAATATCATTTAGTCTATTGTCACTAACTTGATTATAGTATGTTGTTATTATAAATTCAATTATTCACAAATTATATAAAATGGCGCCATTTTTATCAGACGTTTCAATGACTCATGTGTTTCTCTTCTACACAGTTAGTTAGTTATACAATGTAAATGATTGTACTAACAGAGAGATGCATTTATAAACTCACGGTGAGTTGCTTTAGCTAAAATCGAGGATTTAAACGATTAATTACTAGATTTACAACAATTTATTTGCAATCATCTTAATTTACCTACAGATAAAATCACTAGCATTCTTAATTCATTACATCAATGCCCTCCTACTCTTCATAAATTTGTCCTTAATGTACTTACAGTTGTCAGTAGTTACCATTCAACATGTATTGGGATATTAGTGACCGTATTGTTGAGAAATGTTTTACGTCAATTTATAAGTATATATTATCACTAACTTGCTTATAGTATAATGTTATAAAAAGACATCAACATTCATCAGTAGTTATGTATTTCTCAGTTTATCAATGACACATGTGTTTCCCTTCTATACAGTTAGTTGTTATACACCGTAAATGATTGTACTAAAAGTGAAATGCATTTATAAACTCACTTTGAGTTGCATTGGCTAAAAACCAATCATTTAATCCATTAATTATTAAATATACAACAGAATTTAGATACAATTTAACTCTATGAATTTCACAAAAGACATAATGACACTACGATTAATTTCTACTAATTGAACAATGTCTTACTTCCAATCATAACGAAATGTTTTCTGTTATAATTCATCTATCAGATGACACACTCTATTCATTGCGTCATTGCTCTGCTACTCTTCATTAAATTTCTTAAATGTTCTTAAAGTTCCACAAGCGAGTTTATGGTAACCTTATATGTTCATTAGTTTTATAACTAAGTCATCTTCACTTGCAGAAACTTTACACTAAAACTACGCGCCCTGTAAACTTGACCTAATCCGAATGGTCCTGTAAATTTAACTAAATCCGAATAATAAAACATGAAATAACCTTGTACCTGGATCATGAAAGATCTGACCAACTTATTGTTGTAATTATGGCTATCGATGTTCAGTATTCTCCGATTCTGTTTTATTTTGCCTAGTTATGCATGACGGAACTAAGGAAGGGCACTACGTTCACCGTTTTCTTCATACATGAACAAGATACAAGAATGAATAATTCCTGAATGACGCCATGCATTGTCTTTGAAGAATGTACAATAATTTAAAAACTAGAATATTAAAAACAATGTTGCACGACACTATTTACTTCGTTACATTAAACATATATATTTCTAAATTAAACTGACCATGCCTGTAAGCCAACATGAATTCTACTACAATCATTATTTTCAGTAATAAATATGATTTAGTCTATTGTCACGAACTTGTTTAAAGTATTATTTTTTATAAATTCAATTATTCACAAATTATATAAAATGACACTATTTTTTATCAGACACTTCAGTGACTCATGTGTTTCACTTCTACACAGTTATTTATGCACTGTAGATGAATGCACTAAAACAGAGATGCATTTCTATACTCACCTTGAATTGCTTTAGCTAAAATCAATAATTACATCGATTAATTTACATATAAATTTTCTCCATGAATTTCATAGAAAAACACAATGATACTACTATTAACTGCTACTAACTCAACAGTTTGTTTCGAATTTCCGATCATAACCAAATTTATCTATTGAACGAAATTATTATAACATAAATAGGGTATTTTAATATTATTAAGGAAATAGAATCCAGCTATACTATGTCATGATTTAACCATTACTGTCATAAATGAGAAATACTTGAAGGGAATTTTTCATTATTGTTTTATTAAAACACATTAACACAATATCTCTTCATCATTGAATCAGGTTGATCTGTTTCGATAAATGTGTGTGTGTATGTTATATGAAATGCCTAAAATGAACTCATTCAAAAAAGAAATTCTATTTGAAGAGATTGATATTTAAGAATGTCAAGTTAATTTAGCCACCACAAAAGTAATGCATCAAGAACTTACCATTTATTCCAACTAAGCATAAACAAATGCAAAAGAAACCAAATGTCAACGGATTCATTATATGTGTAAAGAATGGTTTTGACTGATGCTTTTAGAGTTTACAATAGGAAATATGAACATTTTATAGAAATTCACTAAAGTTTATTTAAACAATTTGTTGTTTACACTAGATTTATTTGAAGAGAGAAAAAGAATGAAACCGTAATTTAAGAGTACACAAGATCAAATTTCAATGAAAACATTTTTTTCAAACACACACACACAGAAAAAACAATGGCGGAGTACAAATAGTTATTTTCATTATAATTTTTATTTATTTGTTTTTTGGTTATTTATGAAAAAGGATACAATTTCAATCAAATAAGTATGTAATTTCAACTAAATATACATTTTGTTCAATGTACAATACCTGAGTACATTTTATGAGTGATGTAGTCGTGATAATTTATGATTATGTGGTGCGAGCTACTTATAAGTAGTATATGACGTGAGTGTAAACGTAATGTCTGGCAGCAGAAGATGGGAAAAGATCAAGAAAGGAAGAGTTAGAAAACAATGGAATTTGTATGAATAGTGACAATCGATTGATGTTTTGCAACATGAACAGTCCAGTTCGATACGGTGAACTGATATTTTGCAAATGAACGATTTACGATATGGTTTTCCGATTTTACTGAGTAACTCTGTAATTCTCGAATAATACGATTCGGTTGCCCCACCTGTGTTCTCCTTCACTACAATTAGAGTATAAAATCTTCTCAAATATTTTCAATATCGTGTGGTGAAATTCTGTGATAAGTTAAAATTAGACTTGAAATTTTCACAATATTCGGCATAAATGAAACATTTGTTAGATAGTAGTAGTTTCTCGACACTCTTTATTCAACTTAGCTCAGCTTAGAACTTTTTTAAGATGACTCATCTAATTATCGTTCCGGTCAGGATGTCTGTGTTCATAATTTAAAATTGATCAGTACTTTTATCGTTCATCTCAACTAAACTGATAAAATCAATAATTGTTGATAATGTCCCTCATTTTGTCATTACTGTTTAAAGTAAATGAGTTTCATCTCTTATATGAGTGATGTTCTGTTGTTGAATGTTTCGTGTGATGAATTCGTACAGTAGTGTACGAATATGAACAATTGACAAGACTCAGTATTAAATTGCAATAGTTATTGCTGTCAAACAATTTTAAATTATTCCAAATGTATTTTTTAAAAAATATTACGATTTTATACCTACAATAATATACGTTTTACAAGTATCGTATAAAAACACTGTCTACTTTATCAGACTTTTTGTCTAGGAATTATTGAAGAACTACTTGAAAAACAACTCAATATCTATCCAAGTAAGCCAAGCAAATGATACTGTCATTTCTTACCATTGTCTAAGCATATTTCACCATGAAGTATTCTCATAGGTTGATACAGTCAATTGTGTTAGGGTTAGTTAGTTTAATTAGACTTATGGAGATTAGTGTTTTTACACATTTTTGAAATCACCAATCAATCATTGTTAGACCACCAGCATTAGAAACCTGGAAGCACTGGATGGCCGTCAAGTCCTGGTATGGGACTCATCAGCCGTACGCACCCACGACTCCTGCACCTCTCAGGATTCCGAACCCTGGACCTTCGGTATTGTGCGCCAACGCCTAACCATTGGACCCCTAGGCCAGCATCCAACGGTGTTAACATCTAACTCTGATTGATCTAGGGATTTTAAGCGACCTCATCCATTCGTCTTCAATAGTTACTGCCTACATCGGACAAAGTGGAACTCCATTGGTCACGTCTTTTGACTAGAATTAGTTAAGAATAAACTCAATGAAAAAATAATCCAACTGTTATGACGTATTATTATTTGTGTTAGAACAATGTAAGATTTTATTTACATTTCATTGTGTACTTATTATTCAGATTACTTATTGTATTTCAGAACTTAGAACTATTATATATGATAATGTAAGTTTTACTTTATTCATACTTATACAATAAGAACAAAAGCTATACTACAAACAAGTTGAAATAATGTATTTCGATTGATGTATTTTGAAATTCTAGTTATGTCTTTTTCTCTGAAAAACACAACTAGACAGAGAAGGTTTTCCTACCAGTAAGACTTATTTATTCTTGTATCGATTAGGAGTCAGAGAGGTTTACCCATAAATGTCTTCACTCAGTTTTGATTGCAATAGAAATTTGACCTATTGATGAGTAATGACTTCTAATGGTATCTATAAACTTATATGAACCAGTGATAATAAGTTTATAAGAAGGACATAGAAGAGGATATCTTCCACACAGGTTTTCTGAACACGTTTTTCAGAGCTTAGAGCCCCTCTGGGCCAACTGACAATTTCAAACCTGGATAAAAATGGAGGGTTGAGCATGAGATTGGCAAATCCATCCCGTAAAAAACGAACTTGCTAAAAAACGGGGGTTACAAGGTCTTTATTTATTCGGGAGACCGTTCCAAAAATGAAAAGATATAACCTGTAGGTGCTTGGAATCAGTGAAACGCATTAGACTCAGGTTGGAAAATTAAGAATAGTTTCCGAAGAGCTGTTGATGTACTCCGACCATGAAGAAGATAATGCCGCACATACACAAAGCGTTGCACTAATGCTGTCTTAAAAAGCACATTTGGAAAGGGCTCGAGGATTCAGTCACTTCAACATGTTATGCGGTCCTGGGTCACCATAAGTACCGTCACAAGGAATAAGTCGCTGTTGGTACATTTGATAAAATTTAAGGAAGGGGCAACAAGAAATATGCACTCGACATCAAATCAACAATAGCAGAGAAAGTCAAGCCAAAGGCCGGATATACAGAGGCAAAGGAGTGTCAGAGTCGACAATCGTAAATCTGAAGGTCTAGCAGTGACGGTGGAACAGGCTGCGAGGGAAGGAAACATCAGAAAATTAAACACTGCAACAAAGAAGACCGGTGCCAGGCAAGGTTGCTTACTCTCACTCTTTCTCCTGGTGATCGACTGGATAATGAAGAAATCTACATCTGGAAGGGAGTACGGTAGCCGTTTTACAGGTAGGGTGCCGATGGACGGTCTAGACTTCGCCGATGACCCGGCTCTATTGCACACGCAGCAACAAATGCAAGAGAAGACTACCAGTGTAACAGCTGCTTCCTCAGCGACAACCTACTGCGAGAGAGAATAAACCCGATTCCATCCGAAGGAGGAAATCAGAAAGAAGCTCTGGAAGTCGATAGGACACACATTGCGAAAAGCACCCAACTACGTCACAAGACAAGCCATCACTTGGAGTTCAAAGGAAAATATGAAGACCAAACAACAAATTACGATGAGAAATAGAGACAGATATAGGAATAACGAACAAAATTGGACGGAAGTGGAAAAGGAGGCCCGGGGCAGAGAATGCTGATCGGCGGCCTGTGCTCCGTTGCAGTTGACACGCGTTAGTAAGTAAGTATGATCTTATTATTGCTCACGTACTTCGTTAATTTGATTTGTTAACATTTTGAATGATCATACCGTTAGCTATCAGTTTCATTACGCCTTGTATCCTTATTGGTGATAAGTAGTAATTATAACGCACATCCCATTATGCCTTATTGTCTTGAAGCATTGATTTTAACTATGATTATGCATATGTTTTTTGTTTCATTGCTCTGGATATTTACTTTTCGGACAGTCATCTAAAATTTATTGACCTTCGGTCTTGCACGCACCTCCGGATCAGTGGGCCGGGATCCAACGGTGTTGACATCAAACTGTGATCAATCCTCGGATTTTGCGCGACCTCACCCATTTATCTTCAATAGTTACTGCCTACACCTGACAGGGTCGAATTCCACTAGTCACGTCTTTCTTACGATCAAATACATTTGAAAATTTGTCATCATGAATTCAATAAATTTGGGAGATTCAGGGAGAAACATCCGAGAGGTAAAAAAAACATATATTTACCTTCTTTATGTTTTCACCGTCTTTCTCTAAAGTTTAAATATCATCGCTGATATGAAACACCTTGAAAAAATGTCATTTTGAAAGCTAATAACTAGGTTTCTGGCAAAAATTATAGTTAACTTAAGTAGACTTTTGTAAACTGTAATCAAGAATATATGAAAACTGAATCAAAAACCAGGTGAATGCTTACAAGAAAAATCATGATGGTTCTCTTCTTCAAGACACTAAGATTTGCCCAAAGATGCTAGAATTTTTTTAATGGATTTTCATAATTATGATCATAAAACACTCCCAGTCATATTTGACATGCAAAGGTTTGATAAAAAAAAGTGTAAAAAACATGAGCGACAGAACGAATATCAGCAATAGAATACTAAGGGTCAATCAATCTTGAGCTATGACCCTTGAAATATCTTACCTTTGACTTCTACATTTACATAACATCTTAACACAGCCATTCTATTCTACTAACTAGAACTTTAAACTAGACCCTAGATGAGATCACTGTTTAAAAAATTACTATTTCACTAGCATCTGTTTATCTTACAATCGGCATACTTGTGTAACGGAATGCTTATACAAAGATAATGCATTTAGTGAAGTGTAAACACTTATTATTGTGCTTAATTGTAACAATAATTGTTTTATTGTACTCCTTTTTGTTTAACTTTACTAGAAACACTTACTTACGCTCAACTTTCTGTTTGTGTTGTTTTCATTCTTCGTTACATGCTGCTCTTTATGTTGCCCACTTTCTTGCTCGAATACATTCTCGACCCTGAACTTATTTATCTATATAATACCGGGCTGGTAATCAGTATTTAGTGGTGATCATAGTCAATCTCGACTCTATCATCACTAAAATGTATGTAGGAAAAACTTTAATCACTGAATGTTCATTCGTCTTTTATAAAAAGATGACATTTATTGGCACACTTTAAATGCTTTTAGACAGAGAAAAATGTATTAATTTGGTAGAAATGTATACGAAAATAACTCATCTCTGTGTCAAACAAACATTTTAAACCATGAGTGAATTCATTTCGTTGGAAACATAATCAGGTGTTTTACATAATATCTGGAAAGCAATTATTACCATTGAAAATATGTAAATTTAAGGAACTCTAATAGCGTTTTAGAAAAATAAGATTTCATTCTGGGAACAACAAATCGGAAACATTGATTGTCAAGCTATTGTGAAATGAGGATTTATTTATGTACGTCTCGTCTGAGAAAATCACCTCTCACCGCATAATTCATCGGATTAACATATTACTATTCGATATACTAACTGAATTTCCACAAATCAAGGACACTAGCTTGACAGATTTTACTCATTTAGCAGTCACTACATCCAATCTTGTTTTCCTGAGACCAGTCAAAACTGCTTTCATTAACTTCTTGATAAATAGGCCAAGTATAAAAACTTCGATTTCAGGATGATCAGCCTCACAACTTATTTTCCTGCAACTTTTGACATCGTCTACAGACAACAATGCCGATGAACTAAGTCGTCTTGGCGATTCATCGACGTAGAGGAGAATAATTAGGGGACTTAAGATAGTGCGTTGTGGTCCACCGCTTCTGCCCGATTACCTTTTAAATAGTGTCACATATACTCTCGCCCCCCGTTTTCGGCTACTAAGGTGTTTTATTCAGTCTTGTGTAGCAGCTCTTATCCCGAAACTCGAGAAAACTCCACATAAGCTGTAACTGAAACAGAATGACAAATGTTTGTCTAAAATCTCCGGATAGAAACTTGGGCAGTCTTAACTCGCAATAAGTAAACGCGAATGTTTATTCCAAAACTCGTATAGCTCAGTAGTTAATGGATAATATGATTCTACGTGACTTAATAATTTAGCTCAAACTATTTTTCGAAATAATTTATTAGTATGCTGATAAGACTGAAATGTCGGAGTTAGACACAATCTGCCTCTTTCCACAAATAACTACATGGTTATTGAGATCATTGTTCCAATCCCTGGGAGTTGAGTCTGGGAAGGTGGCTTGTTAAACAACACGTTAGTGGTTCGGCAATACTGTCCTCTAGGAATTCATTAATAATAGATGTAACGCATTAGTACCCTTGACTTACCAGGTTTAAGATTAATTGGCAACAGCAGGCCAGATTCTTCAGTCACATGCACTGGTTGTATAGCTGATACCTCGCTGGTGCGATTATGAGGATTGCTATTATTAATTCCCGCTGAGAAAACGTCGCTGAAGCAGTTCGATGATGTTTCAGCCTTGGATGTCTCAGCTAGGATATATGAACTTTCGTGTAACATAAATGACGGAGTTCCATACCTACCTCTGGTCCTTAGTGCGACTACTGCATGCCAAATTTCTTTCTTAAGTAGTTGTTGGACGTTTTACATGCATTTCGTACTTTTCGGCATTCATATCGAAAACATTCCTGACCCGCTGGCGAGAACAAACTTCAGAAATGTATCCTACTCCGCCAAGGTTTCCTGGTTTCTCTATCAATCCATGGAGCGTATTGTGAGAGCTTAAGTTCTGACAGTTGGATGAGCGAATATGTCGCATATGCGAATGTGGTTTTCAGCTCATTCCACCTAGATTCGAACGATCCATCTAGATTGGCTGACTATTCAGCTGAAATAACATAGTCTCTGATTGTCGGGGTGATAGATCACAAGAAATTCTTGCGGCGTAGAACAGATCAGTTACGAGCAGTATATGTCTGCAACGTAAGGTAAGCACTTAGAGGCTACTGTTTGCTAGAGGAAGTAAGTACTGCATATCGATGGCAAGGTCCAGTAGTAATGACTCATGTTCTAAGTCAATATACATCGGTTGTACATTGTAAAAGTGCACGATGAATAAGAATTGGCCATCTACTGACGTCGAAACACCAACTAGATACAATGAGCCTACTTCAGATGTTACTTGGGATAAACTCGTTGGCCAAAAAACATGGAATACCGTATATTATTCCTATGATTACTAAACTATGCCTAGGATTGATCATACAACAAGCAACCTTATATGAGCCACTACCATTCACTATTATGTGCTGGAGTGTATACGGAATTTATCTCCAATATGAAATAATACGCCTCCCTTGCGATTTATACCTATCACTTTTGATACATGTATATTCTGTTATAATTGTGAGCCAAGTTTCTGTGACAATTAATATATCAGGACTGAATTTATGGAACGTCTAACTTAGCTAGGACGTTTTATTTCTGAAGTTACGATAGTTATTATAGAACACAGTGTGTCATGGGAGTAGTTGTGTAGTGAATGAGAACACAGGTGGGGCAACTGAATTGTGTTTAACGAAAATTACAGAGCTACTCAGTAAAATTGGAAAACCATATCGTAAATCGTTCATTTGCAAAAGATCAGTTCATCCTATGGAACTGGACTGTTCCTGTTGTCAAACATCAATCCATTGTCACTATTCATGCGTTTCATACAAATTCCATTGTTTCTAACTCTTCCTTTCTTGATCTTCCCCCCATATTATGCTACCAGACTTTACGTTGACACTCACATCATATACTACTTCTAAGTAGTTCGCACCACAGCACCACAGTTGGTTCCATCTCTAAATGTCTAGGAAGTATCGGCGCCCATATTCTGACTACTAAATGACGCCGGATCTCACGCTTTAATCCTATATTTTACATCCGCGTTTTTAACGCAGTAGTAGTGTTTCTCCAGTTAATAAAATCCTCAAATGTATACGAATATTTGAATCAATAGTTTGGTAAGATTTGTGTTTTCAGGCCCAAATCAAATCTTTTTCCGCTCTTAAATCTATTCAGTGACATGTTCAGTAATAGCATTGCTACCAGCTCTTACACTATAATAACTAGGAAAACTAGTAGAGGTGTAAATTCAGGGGTTAGTAATGAGTCGAAAGTCCCAGTCTTGGGTGATAGAGTAGTGAAAGACTCAAAACGTCACTTGAAAGTATACCTCGGAGTAATGTGTTTAATTCGAATAACTCCCCTCAAACACCTCTACTGATTCTACAACAAAAAACCAGGACGACACTGCCTGACGGAATCCTGCTCCTTGTAAGTCCACTAGGCAAAATAAGATTTGGAGAAAAAGGCATCCTAAGACTTATTCGACTAAGCGTACTGTTCAGAAAGCACATATATGTCACTGTATTGTCTGCTTGCTGCCAGTTAAAACCAGCGATGTTACATTTGAATGTAACTTCTGCAGTTTATGAGTTCATTGTAGCTGCGACACTGCACTACCTATGGGTTCCATTTGAGTTACCACTATCTGTGTTTCCGGGTGTTCGCCCTTAATGCAAAGCTACTGGGGCAAAATTGTTAGCACCATAAAAGACACATACTCCAACCAAAAAGAAACCTACGAATACTCCCAGATAAACTGAATTCTCGCTGCAAAAAACAGACTGAACAGACAATAAAGGTAGCCGCAACCCGAACCACCATATCAATGAAACTACTTGTTGGTAAGTTTAAAACGTGGATTGTTCTCCGAATAACCGTACAAAAATATCAATAATCAAGCTCAAAGAAACCCAGCGGTTTATATTTGCTCAAGAAATAGATATTGGATATTGATCAGTTGGTTACTATAATTCAAAAATAAGCGTTATTTGAGGATGTTCGAAGCTCCACTTTTCGTGAGGTCAAAGCCTGCCACAAAATCGAAATCTGGTTTTCTCTATAATATTTATAATGACCCATACAAGTGGTAAGTTACCGCATACGTAAAATTGGATTTGTAGGTCGCTTGTGAAAAGTGTCACGATGTTTGCTTCTGGAGTTTTTGGTTTTCTGATCATACATGAAATCGTCAATGCTCCTATGGAAGCTGTGTAGACATTAATTTTTGTTATTAAAAATATAAGACGTTTTCCTTATGTGTTATAGTTCTTACTTCTTTGTCTCCCAGCATATGCTAACGGAGATTTGTGTATTTCGAAACATGTTCCTATATAAACTTTGTCCTTAGGTGTGTAGTCTCAAATAATGGACAGTAAAGCTGGAAAAATAGACTACGGCAATCCGTTTGACTGTGTTGAGGTTTCTCGCACACGGTTTAAGCAGCTTCAAGACCGTCAGTTAAGGCGGCGTCGGATCATTTTGCGTCATTTACTGAAGAATAGCTCATCCTCATTAAGTTTAAAGAATAACGACCATTCCATTGTTACTCTGCCGGATTTACTTGGCCACCACAAACCCTCCTACTTACAGTTCGACGAAAATGTTTATAGAAAACGGGCGATTCTGTAAGTTGTATTTTTTACTGTTGCATTTCATGTCTGTCGATAGATGGGTTATCCTAGTTCAAGTTCCTTATAAATGAATATTTGAAATACACCTCGGATTGTTACCTAAGCCATCTTATATTCAGATAAAAATAAATGCAACTCCCGGGCTTTGACATAATGTGTGGTTCAGTTGGGGAATTCATGATCTATTAGTCCTTATTGTCTCTTCCTCAGTTTATTCCACTAACTTACCACGTCAGTCATCATCGGTGGTGATTAAAGATTCATTCTCAATCAAGTGGGTGTTTATTCGTTCACTACTTTTTGATATCAAAATCTATTAATTTAGATCAGTGGCTATATTACACAAAATTCTTGGTCTACTGAACCGACGTTCTAAACAGTATATTGGAGCTTTTAATGTTCGAACCTTGTGTCAAACAGAGCAATAGGCTTCATTAGCTAGGACCCTAGAATCCGATGCCGTCGAAATGTGTTGCGTCTCTGAAACGCTCATACGAGATCCGAGTAAAGTCATTAATTTGATTTCACTTTGTCCAGATAGAAAACCAACTCGATTTACTCTTTGTGTATCTGGAAGCCCTTCTTCTGCTTTCCGTGTCCTCGCTGGTGTAGGTGTAGATAGAGCATTAAGTCCTTGGGCAGGACTAGCTCTCTTAGACTAGGTCCCACCAGACAGTCGCTTACGCACTGTACGACTAAACGGGACAGTGAGGACTTGTACAGGTATTGAAACGCTGCTGCCCCTTCGTTGTGTCTGCGTATGCACCCACTGACTGCAGCTCGGATGATTTAAGAGATGAGTTTTACGGAAATCTTTGTAGCCTTCAAAAACTTAAACCCTCTGATATAGTAATAAAAGCTAGTGACTAATCCTCAAGTAGGTAGGCCAAGTGAAAAGGAAAGACACCTGGGTGGATCTTATGGTGTCGCAGCTAATCGAACAGATAATGGCGACCGTCTGTCGCAACTATGCTCAGATAATCGCCTATTCTTAGCAAACACTAACTTTAAGATTAAGGAAAAACATCTTTTGACATGGCAACCCATAAATTTGAAACCAATTAGGTCACATTACTATCAGTCATCAGTGGAAATGCTCTGTTGAAGACTGCCGCTCATTGTGGAGCACTTGTTTGGATTCAGACCATTCTCTAGTTCGAGCGCGTATTTGTTTGCTGCTTCCTGGATGTAAGAAAGTATCTCAAGGAAACCTCTTAGGGCTCTACTTGATGATAACAAAGCTAAGAATATATTTCAGGAACAATTAAAAGAAATTACGCAACGATGTAAGTGGTGCCCAACCTGAGGCAGCTTGGAATGTTATCCAAAAATATGTGGAAACAACAGTGATATCTGCTAGTAAGGTAAACCATGAGGTTAGGCAGGAGCGGTGGGCTTCAGTAGCATCTATCGAACTGATAGATGCTCGGGAACTCATCCCGTCTGGCTTTGAGTACGATAAGGAGCAAAGTCAGCTTAGGCGCAGGCTAATAAATAGCCTACGCAATGATCGTAAATAGTGGTGGCTAGCGAAAGCAAGAGAAACGGAAAAGGCAACGATGATCAGCAACAGAAGACAACTGTTCAGACTTACCAAGCAAACCGGAATTAGGAATCCGACTGTTAGTGGGAAAGGATGGTCTCATTATTCATTCTCGTTCCGGGAGATTGGATTAAATGGTAGAGCACCCGGGACTAGTTCAAGTGGCCTTCAGCCACACTTCGGTTATCCGCGATCTCCAGTCATCCTGAATGTCAAATCGATGAAAGTCCTCCGACTCTATGGAGCTGAAAAAGTGATAGGAAATATGAAGCGAGGGAGAACAGCAGCGCCTAACAGGCTAACGCCTGAGATTTTTAAGAATGGTGGTCCAGTTTTCGCAGGTAGATTGATTGAGATCTTAAATAAAATTGGGGAACTGAGCGTAATCCCATCTAACTCAATCATCGATTGTCCCAGTCTGTAAGAAAGGACAAAATTCCTCTTGTGAAAATCACAGGGGCATCAGTCTAACTAATATAGTTTCTGAATTATTAGCCTCGGTAATACTTAGATGCCCAACTAGAGCCGATGACATAGTCCTACTTGGTGAAGACGCCGACAAAATTCGGGGTCTTCTTACTACCCTAAGCAACAATCCAAGCATGTTCAAGATGCTGTTCCCCCCATCGGAACGCAAAATGTTGCTTAAGGATTGGGTTTCATCTGAACTTGAACTAGTGATAGGGAGTGAAGTAGTCCAGTATGTAGACCGCTTCACTTACCTTGGGAGTCTCATCAGTGCTGATGGCCTGGTAAGTGACGAAATCTCAGCTCGGATGCAGAAGGCTCGATTGGCTTTCGCCAACTTACGTCACCTGTGGCGCAGGCGAAAGATCCTTTTGCTCACCAAATGACGAGTGTACTGCCCAGCAGCTCACTCCGTCCTTTATGGCTACTAAACATGGCCAGTCAGAGTAGATATTCGTAGGTTACCAGTGTTCAATCATATCATTGCTCTTTTAACTTCGGATTATTGTGTAAGCAATGGTGTTGTTAAGAAACGGGTGCTAGGTAAGGATGGCAGGTCAATAAATGTAGTATTGAAACTCCATCATTTGAGGTGGTTGGTACAAGTGTTATGAATGCCCAACCACCGATTGCCTCGTCGAGTTATGTTTTGTGGTGTAGAAGTAGGTTGGAAGAAAGCTAGGCGCGGCCAAACCAAAACAGCACAAATCCATGAAGTCACTGACAAGTGGACTGAGTCATGTTAGTAGGTGTAGACTACCTGGTTGGGGTCCGCGAGATGTTAGTAACCGATGGTTAGAGACCTTGAATGACATGGCTCAAAACCGTTTGCGATGGTGAAGGCGCATTCATTCTTTACGCTCTCTCAAATCCTGACCTTCTGGATTCTTCATCATCTTTCTCTTTTTAAGTTTATTACATTAGATTACACTTCTTGAATAACATCTTCGAACCCTAATCTCTCCGATTACTGATAATACTTCTACTACCCCTACTACTATGGGATTTGGACTGACGGTTGCGTCTATGTGCTGTTGTGATATGGCAATAATGTACGCACGTACGAAGTTCTACGTAATGATTGACCGACTTACGTGATTCGTAATTGTGATTATATATATATATATATATATATATATATATATATATATATATATATATATATATAATGGCCCCAGACGAATTTTTGAGTTTTTTAAAAGAAACAATTTCAACATCATACTGTTATCCTATTTTTTACTCTTCACTGACATTCATTTTTCTTTTGTTTTTTTATCGCAACAGACCAGTTATTTCCCGCCTGAAGTGTCCAGTGCTCAGTCTTAAACTACGTCGTGCAATACAATCTTTCTTAGGCGAATCTAGTGTATTAAATCAAGATGATAAACAAATCATACAACAGTGGGATAAAGTCAGTCTTGAAGTTGTTGGCGATAAATTAAGACAAACACTGACATCTTGTTTATCTACGAATACCAATAGTAGTAATACTGGAGATAAATCCTCAAATGACGACAATGTTGTTGGTAAAACAGGAGATACTAATTGTGATTTGGTCGTCAGAACTGGTTCAGCCGCTTTTCTTAAAGTATGCTATTTACCCAAATTCTTGAAGTGTTCTCTTTTTTTCAATGATTACTGAGTCATGAGAAAGATTACAAGGGACGACGGAGTTTATGATTATAGGTTTTGTCATAAATTGCCATTTAAAAAGTAACTATGATGAGAAATCTCATGAATTCGCAGATTTTCTTCAGTTTCACTAACTGAAACTAATTCAATGTTTCTTCGTGTATAGTTTGGTGATGGCCGTCTTACTATGAAGTTTAACGTTCTTTGGATCGTTAAATGCGCTGATTTTTTTAATAATGTGTTACCACGTAGCATAAGTTCCTTCGTATCAAAAGGTGATCGAAATTCGAGATATTAGGTACTGTAGTGGTGGTTGCTAATCTAAAATATTCCATTTATAAAAATGGATAGATGCTATTTGTGATTTTTTCTATGCTGTCACTAGATTATAAATTTCTGAGTGGGTTTACGTAAAACTGATTGGCTATATGTTTTTATATTCCTCGTATCTTGCTATAAAAGGAAGTTTTTATATGACAACATGCATAACTTTGTTGCCTGGGATGATATACAACGGTTAGTAGAATCAAACTCGACCTAAATTCCCACTTACTTCGTCTGTCAGTTCTTAAAGTCCCTAACTAGTGATCCAACCTGTGTTAATAAGCATAGATTATCTGAATATGTTGTGGCGAAAACCGTTATTAATGGTTAGAGATATTGAAGGATTATCGTAGCATTGGTGTAGATGTATTGACTTCTCACCTTTCCCTAAATCTTGGGTTTCAATTCTACTACTCATGTCTTTCACTCTTCATATTTAAAGTTTCTCATTATCGTTGGTGTCAGTGTTATTTCAGCTCTAATGTTATCCATCTTTTTAATTGATCTCATTGTGTTGATGTGACGTAACTTATGTCGGACCTTCCAGTGATTATTGTGAAACAACTTTATGATTTCATGGGTGTAATTCAGATACCCCTGACAAAGCAGTTAGTTTTATAAACGAATGAGCATCAGAGCACTAGGTTCGCTATTTGACATATTATTAGTAATCCTATACTATGATTTTTGCTATGGATTTCTGCCATATTTTGGTTTGGCCGCACCTAGCTTTCTTCCAACCTACTCCTACACCACAAAACGTAGCTCGTCGAGGCAGTCGGTGATTGGGCATACGTAACACATATCCCAACTACCTCAACTGATTGAGTTTTACGACTTCATCAGTTGATCTGCCATCCCTATCTAGTACTCGTTTTCTAAGTATAGCATTGCTTACTCGGCTGTCCCAGGATATACGAGCAACGCTTCGAAGACATCTATAATCGAATACGAATAACCTACGGATGTCCTTCACTCTTACCAGCCATGTTTCGCATCCATATGGTAGGTCCAAGCGAACTGCTGCGCAGTAGACTCGATTTTTGGTTAGCGAACGGATATCTCGCCTGCGCCATTGGTGACGCAAGTTGACAAAAGCCAATGGAGCTTTCTGTATCCGAGCTGAGATTTCGTCAGTCACTAGGCTATCAGCACTGATAAGACTCCCGAGATAAGTCAAGCGGTCAATACGCTCGACTACTTCACTCCCTATCACTAATTCAGGCGCCGATACAAGCCAAACATTTTGCATTTCGAGGCGGAAAACCGCATCCCGAACATGCTTGCATTGTTGCTTAGGGTAGTGAGAAGACTGCACTTTGTCGCCGTCTTCACCAAGTATGTCATCAGCATGCTCTAAGTCAGCAAGCGTGTCTCCTGGGAGGAAGGTCCACTCCTGAAAAGTCAGACGATGATAATAATAATTCTAGAAGCATATCTACGACAAAGTTACGCAAGAATGGAGAGAGTCGATATCCCTGGCGGACACCGCTTGAAGTAAAGAATTCCGATGACAGTTCGCCATAAGCTCTCACTCGACCGATAGTGTTCAAGTAGAGAGCCTGCATAAGCTTGAGGTACTTCCTTGGTACATCTTTTAATGACGGACACTGCCACAAAATATAATCAAAATGATTTTTTTAAAATTTCATCCAAAGTCTGTTGGCTAATCTTATATACTCCAGAATTTTGTAATAATTAAAAGAAATGGAAATCACAACCGAATCATCAGTACTACATTTTTCGCTATTGCTTAATTGTGTCATATACTTAATAATTATTGAAACTACAATGTAAAGTATTAATTCCTATTCGTTTTCTTTTCCATTTTATTAGTGATGCATTGTAGTAGTACTAATGCATCTTGTTTCTCTTCTTTGTCTATTTTATTATCTTTTTGTGATTGCCTAATACGGGAACGGGAATATTTGGCTTGTCATTTTAATTTTCTCTTCTAAATCTATGATTATCAGTACTTAAGGGTTATAACCAAGACTAAAGTTGGAGAGAATGATAAGTACACTGAATTGTTAATCTTTAGATTGAAATTTTTTCTGTCATTGCGATACCACAATTTGTTTTTTTTTATTATTAAGGGAACTCAAAGTGCTAATCCACATAACGATTATTGTCAACATTTTGTTGATACTGGTGAACGACCGCAAAATTTTATACGTGATACTGGTACGTTTGAAGTTTTTTACATGTTTTACTGGCATGAAAAGTGACTTGTTTATCGACCGATTTCAACGTACGGATCGATCCATTTTAGAATTAATTGCAATGATTATAATGTTTAAGTAGGTGACTGCCCACAAACCCATGGTACAGCCGAGAATGGTTAAAACCCGCTCTCAAGCAAGTGTGTCCACCGTCGCAGAAGTCCTACTCACTGTCATTTCGTGGTACGCGTGATGTTTACGAACTTCAGAGGAGGAAAAGCTAACCTTCAGCGATGCATAAAACCGGATTGATGGGCACGTAAAATCTGCCTGTATGAGTTAGAAAACAGTGATTCCAATCGAATGGTGCACATGGGCTCCAGGATCTTGACGGAACAATTGGCCTCCACCTGTGTTCTCATTCACAACATTTGGTGTCGCTGCCTACGCAAAGGATGAAGATTCCATGGCCGAAGGAGTTTGAAGACGGGGATGTGCGGGGCTTCCTGAAGGAGTTTGAGGCCGTGGCGGAGCTGGTGGGGGTGAAGGAACCGAAGGCGAAGCTGGTGGTGCTGGGGACGCTGCTGAGAGGAAGGGCGAAGGCCGCATATGACAGCTTGGACGGTGCTGGCGGGAAGACGCCATGGGAGGCGGTCGTTGAGCGGCTGATGACCGAGTTCGACAGCCCGGTGGACAGGGAGGAGGCGTTGCGGAAGTTCCGGTTGGCGGGGCTGTCGGCTGATGGTGACCCGCTGGTGCTCGCTGTGGAACTCAAAAGGTTGCTGCGCCGTGCGTTGCCGAATATCGATGAGGAGTCGGAGGCACAATTGTTGGCGTCGCAATTTATTGAGATTCTGCCTGCCGCTGTGTCCCAGCAGCTGAGATTAGTAAATGCAGCACAACCTATGGACATCGGTGAACTGGCGAAGGTGACTCGTCAGCTGATGACACGAACAGTAGCTCCGGTCGGGTGCGAAAAGCAGGAGATAAATACTTTCGAGAAGAAGATTGAGGAGTTAGAGCGTGAGATAGCAGCATTACGAGTAAATCATAAAAGGAACGATAAATGTTACGCTTGTGGAGAGGCAGGACATTGGAAGATAAACTGTCCAAGAAGACGACGACGACGATATTTTAAACATTATAACGTGTTTTCTTTCCACCCTAGGAATTGGGAGGTTCTTGCACTAGTAGATAGAGGGGCAATTTATGCCAGAGTGTACATAAATGAACGGATATAGATTTATGGCGTTATCCGGGTGTTCTGAGTAATATAAAAGATGTGGAAGGAGACAGCCAAGAATACGCTGATTTTGCAGATGGACGTTTTTATGGTCAGATGTTTAGTGGTTATTTCCACAATACATTTTTGACGGTATACTTTTGTAGGTTAATTCTCCTAGTATTATTACGAATTAATTCCAGAATATTTAGAAAACCAGAACACCAGTTATTGAGGTTAAGGTGTATTATAAACGATTCATGAAATGTTCAAGACCCAGGAGAACCGAGCACACCAGAGAGTAAGTTGGTGAATAATAAGCGAGGGGCATGTTTATTTACTTTACAAACGTTACTCAATAGGTAGATAAAGTTATTGGCTGTCATAGTTCACAACCAATTAGAGAATAAGTAAAGAATTGAGGTGCAGACATGTGCTCAATTATACTGACACATAATGAATCAAATAAATGTATGATAGGTTTTTTATGTAGTACAAATAAATTGGGAAGGCTTGCTATAGGTGTACACTTTTTAGTTCGTAGATTATGTCTTCGAATAAATTGTGTTACTGGGACATAGACGGAATTAAAGCATGACTACGTTGCTGCGCGCTGATTGGCTAATTTCCTATCCAATCAGCGCCTGATCGGCTCTTGGAGAACAGGGTAGAAAATTCTCGTGTTGTTAGCTGCCCTCTGATTGGCTAAGTCTAATCCAGTCGATCACGTGAATCACTATCCAGAAGCTTCTCATGTAAATACTACAAAGAAACTAACGTTGTATCTATTTTGCCTCCGGCTTCGTATTTCCATTTAACCTTGCTATTTGGAATATAACCTTTTCCTGTTCAACCGTGTTTTTGATTCTTTGGAACTTGTCCAGTGTATTGTGGTCAGAGAATACTAAGCAATAGGATTTAGCTGTGAATTATCTAAGCAAGCGTTACAACAAATTGCTTACCCCGTCCTTGTTTATTACACTAACATTGATCCAGAGATTCAATCCACATGACAGTGAATTAAGGGCTCGAGTAGCGGCCTCCTAAGAAAACCACTTAGTTCGGTTTGAGCACCTGTACAGTATCCCAGTTCACATAAAAATTCAGTGATTTTTGTAGCTCACATGCACTTTAGCACCCCTTAGTATCATTGTTTATGTGTTCAAGTAAATAATAAAGTAGGTAAGTAAAATGTTTATCATTCAAATTTTCAGCGGATAACAACACAATTGAAATACACTTCCAGTGTATGGTTTAAATGCTTACTTCTATACATAATGTATATTGCATATTTCAGGTTTGAGAAATCGATTTGAAGAATATCCCAAATTACGTGAATTAATTCGATTAAAAGATCAGTACATTCAGTCAAAAGCTACACCTCCTATGTATTTGTGTGCAGACTTAAGAACATTTGATTTAAATGAATTAAATTCAAAATTCGATGTTATTCTAATTGAACCTCCATTGGAAGAGTATCATCGAATGAATGGTGCTGTATTTGATCAATATTGGAGTTGGGATGAGGTTAGTCTATCCGATTCATCAGTTAATGTACATGATCATCCTACATCCTACATATATATATATATATATATATATATATATATATATACAGTCTGTTAGTTGAATGATTAAATTATTCGATAATTATTTCTTAATAGAATACTGAAAATGAAACAATTTAAATCTAACTATCGAGTGTTGTTAATGATATATGCTGATACATTTTGAGCATTGTAAAATGTGTAATTAATCGGGCAAGAAGCGTTCAAACTTTGCAATAAATACGTCAATTTGAGCGGATTGACCATTGTCACAACCCGTCACATGTAACTCATATAGCTCAAAGTCAAGTACACAAATCTGTAACAGTAGATGTTACTGTGATTACAAACATTTCGTTGTAAAAGAAAGATAATGAAACATTTGTACAGACTGGTCCATCATAGATGGTAGTAAACAAACGTTGGTAATAAGCAAACAAAATCAACTATCTATTCCGGTTCAGGATTATGCTGAATAGTAGTTATGAGTGGTTTTAGCTTCTATCGTCTTCCCGAAATTCACATACTCTGTATATTTGTCAAACCAGTGATAGAGTCTACCAATTTGCTGTGATATATTGATTATCTCAAAATACCATTCGTACGTACTGAAATCACCCCAAACATTTGTTGTTATCAAAGGTATAATCACGACTCACCACACAAATTCAACATAAATATTTAGTCGTTCCTTTGTACCAATGTTTACTAAACATTGAAATCATCAATCAATCATTGTTAGACCACCATTAGAAACCTGGAAGCACTGGACGGCCGTTTCGTCCTGGTATGGGACTCGTCAATGGCAGTGCGCATCCACGACTCCTGCACTTCGTAAGATTCGAACTCAGGGCCTTCGATCTTGCGTGTGAACGCTTAATCTCTGATCCACTGAGCCGGCATCCCACGGGGTTAATGTCGAAATATCAAAGACTTCAAAATCTGAACATTAATCATTGGTATAATAAGATTGAAGAATTGAATTTTTCTTGAAGACTGCCATTCGTTTGGAAATATTCGTATTTAATATCATTAAGAGACAAAACATATGAACTGTGTAATAAGCATAGATTCCTTTTCAAAATTTCAATCCGGAAATCTTGTGATGCCTGGAAACTCAAAAACAAAACTCAGACTTTATCTGAAAACAATTCATATTCACCAGTATTCCAAAGTTGAAAATGCTTCTGCAAATCCAATGTGATGTTTAAGCTAAATTTAGATCGTTAGATAATTTGTTAATTCTGTTGTATCATTGCTTGTAATCATTGTATTAGTGTATGACCTAAAACCTTCATTCGATCCATTTACGGATTATGGTTGAATCTGACTTAATAGTTTGTAACTCGTGCTCCGCATCTGATTCATTGAGAAGCATATATTGATCAGATTTTAATTGTGATTGCTTAAACTGAATGAGAAATGATTTAACTCCACTGTTCAATATAATTGACATTTTAACATAAAAAATTTTGTTTTCATCATCATTGTCATAGGAAAATTTTTAAATTATGTACATATTATTTCCCCCCACTAATGGGTATAGATTGAACGTTTAGAAATTGAACAAATCGCTGCTACACGTGCATTTGTTTGGATATGGTGTGGATCAGGTGAAGGTTTAGACGCTGCTCGAAAAGTAAGTGTTTCAAACTTGCTTTATCCAATTATAAACCATAAACACCACATTAGTGTTAGGATATTTATCCAATATCCTAAGAGAATTATTGCTCAAATCCTATTGGTCAAAATTATGGTCGTTTTAACTGTCAAAGTCAAATACTTCAATGTTGTCTCTTATTGGTCATCCGGACTGCCAATGTCATTTCAAATGTTGTTTCTTATTGGTTGTCCTGACTATCAATGTTACTTCCTATTGGTCGTCTTAACTGTCAATGCCACAGAATTCGATCCTGTTTCCTATTCGACCAAAATGTATAAATACGCATTATCTGTAACACTTTATGACCACGAACAGGACCAGGGCTTAGTCCTGGTTCCCTAGTCCGAGATCCTGATTCTCCTCTGGATTCGGACCTCGTACTTTCTGGATGCTTGTAGAGTACATGTTCTACTCCATATCACGTCTTATTTTTACTAAATATGGGGGTTGAGATAATCAGATTTGAGTAGCATGTCGTGTCGCCGGATCCTCGATCCTCGCTCTCGTTTTTCCGACTATGTAAACTCGTAATAGTTCAAGTTTATCTAGTTGACGTGTTTACGTGCAGGCGTAACAATTAGTAATCCTAAGGTTATGCAATGTGTATTCGGGGTTAGTGTTGATAAGTCCATGCCTCAACTTTTCAGTAGCTGGAACATGTTTAACGAACATCTTCGTAGAGACCTCATTTTTCCATTTGTTAGGCATGTCTATTCTAATGCTCAGCTATACTATAATTTTTTTATGTATTAAGTCTATCAGTCAATTATCTCCATGGATCAGGAGCCTAACGCAGTTGTGCAATAACTCATACTGTCATAACACACTGACGTGATAAAATCGATCACGTTTTAAATAAATTAATAAGTAAACCTGGTTTGAAAGCACCATTGATAATGATTTATGCAACTAAAAGTAATTTATTCAGTTTACTTTTTTATTTTAAATAATATTTACCTACCTCATTGAATGTATTGATCAGATGAATTCCATACAACTCGTGAAAATTTGCATATGTTGTAAAGAAAAACATTCCTTCATTAATGACTTGTTTTTCTGACTCTCATTTTCTTTCATAGAGAATGATTAATGAATGCTATATGTGTTATACAAGTAAAATAATTCTCTAATTTTTTTTTTCTAGTGTTTACGTAAATGGGGTTTTCGTCGTTGTGAAGATATATGTTGGATTAAAACAAACATTAATAATCCTGGGCATGAAGCTCTTGAACCGAATTGTGTTTTTCAACGTACCAAAGAACATTGCCTAATGGGTATACATGGAACTGTTAGACGTTCCACTGATGGCGATTTTATTCATGCCAATATAGACATTGATTTGATTATTGAAGAGGCTCCTCCACAAGGTACATACGCTTCTAAAGATAAACCAACTGAAATATTTCATATTATTGAACATTTTTGTCTCGGGAGAAGAAGACTGCATTTATTCGGTCGAGATAGTACATTAAGACCTGTGAGTGAAATGTTATTATTATTATTATTATCTAAATATATAAACATTACTACAAAGGGACGCGTAATTATTTATGTGCCGTACAAATTACTGGGTTTGTGAGTAGGCTGGGATACCGACTAGCTGCCCAAACTGGAGCAGGTGGTTTTCTTAGGAGGTCACACTCTGAGCCTTTGACCAAAAAGTCTAATTCACGAGGTAGTGAAACAATATCAGAAGATGCAGCCTCATGATAGCTGGTGACTAACAGTGCTTTCGTACGCCATTCATTTCGTCAGGATTCTGCAGCCCGTGTGCACCAATAGTTTGGAATCAGGGTTTTCCAACTCCCTCAGGTAGGTCCTCCATAGCCCCTAATCCGGTTGAAGCTCGGGGCACTCGCTTTTCGTTTTCTCAATTTCGTAAACAACACCCCCACCACGAAAATACAGTGAGTAAGACTTCCCCAACGGTGACCAAATACGCATTGCCACATGAAAGCTTTTCGAGAGAGAGAGAGAGAGAGAGAACTGTGTTCCCTGTCGGTCGTACTAGGGCTCTTGGGGTCATTTTCTGTGAAATATATATACATAATGCTAAATATCTTCTAACGTCTTATTAGTTTGTTTCACCTATGAAGAAATTATTTTTATCAATAGGTTTCATCTTAAAGTGATATGAAATTAAACAAATATTTAAAACTCCAGCGTATTAGAGAACTAAGCTACATTTTAAAACTAATTCTGAAACAAATTAATTTGAATTCGCAAACAATTGTTTCCATATATGAGACTCAGTAAGTTCAAATTCAGGTCGCAAGTGACACAAAAATTTGAAGCCACTATTAAGCATGCGGTCATGCAAATAATCCCCGGTTAAAATAGATCTGTGAAAAAAGCTGAATATTCATGCTCTGCTGATTATTACTGTAGAATTATTAGTGCTGGTCATTGCATAAGTAAATATTCGTTTTATCAACAAATGAAGTTTCAGTTTCTGAATTGAAAACGTTTTTGTCACACACTTGATATAGCATGAATGTGAATATAGACCCTTAATATCAGAATGTGTCCCAACGTTAAAAAAATGCGACCGCTTGGTAACCATTGGCCAACAACAGATCCATATACGCCATTTGTTCCGTCAGGATCCTGGAGCCGATGTGCACCATTCGATTGGAATCATGATTTTCTAACTCATATAGGCAGATTTTACGTACCCATTAGCCAGCCCAGTTTGAGACACCACTGGACATTAGCTTTTCGTCCTCTCAAGTTCCTAAACATGACGAGTGCCACGAAAAGACAGTGAGTAGGACTTGGGCAAATCCAATACTGAACATGGCAATGGCCGAGAGTGAAACTCAGGTCACTAGATTCAAAGTTCAGAATGACCGCAACAGAACGGGGCTGTTGTTCCTGAATGTTTCTACCTGTTATTAATATTTAGATTTCACTTTCATTTCCAAATATTGTTTCTTTTATATTAGGGTTGGGTGACAGTAGGCAATGAACTTTCTGCATCGAATTATGATTCACGTATATATGCTAACAATTTTACTAAAGATCCTAATGGATTATTACTAGGAACAACTGATGAAATTGAACGATTACGACCGAAATCTCCACCACCACGTCATACCAATCCAAATACTTCCACTGGTGCCTCAAATACAATCTCTTCATTTTCAGATGTTATATCTAATCCACCGTGTTTGAATCCTGTTTTACCACCACCACCACCTACTGGTGGACATATACCTCATCCAATCGCTGTTTCTACATGTTCAATTAGTAGTAATTCGATTGTATCAAATATCAATTCTGTTCCGGGCATTTCTGGTAAGTATCTTTTTTTTCTTAAATGGAATGAAATACTATACTCTTTCAAAAAAGTTTGATATACTTTTTGTTAGTTCGACAGTAGAGCAATAAACATATCTATTTATCAGTGTAGGTTACTGAATAGCATATATTATTTGCTGGTTTTATTGTCGATCTTTCTAGATAGTTGATATGTTTGAGTTACATGACCATCATGTTATAAAGTGTATAAATTTAGTATATTGGAATCGTAGAATGTGTTGTAACGCTGCTATGTATAGCTCTCCAGTCCTAGCGGCGTCCAATTCAAATATCCCAATACGACCCGAAATGCTATTTCCAAATCTCCTAGATATCAGAACGCAACACCGTGGAAGGGAGTTGTTTATTGAGTCGAATAGAGAAGAGAGGTAGGCAGGGGAAACGGAATTATTAAGTCTTTCAGATAGTGCGTATTTATACACTAAGGTCGAATAAGAAAAAGCATCAACGTCTGTGACATTGACAATTTAGGACAACCAATAGTGTATAAATTTGGTATATTATAATCGGGAAATGATACACTGTTTGTGTCAATTTTAATTTTCGTACTTATTGTCAGGTTAAAGTACTTTTGAAATAGAATACAAATCCTAGTACTATGCATTCACAACCCTGTCAGAAATGAAACGTAGAATCTTTATTTTAGTGGAATTCTATGCTTCACATTTCAATTGATGTGTGATGTAGTAAAACAGTCATCCAATACCATTGGTTTGTAATTGCCACATTCCCGACGTGGTTGAAGTGGACTCCAGCCAGTTATAATCATTATAAGAGAGTAGCACAAATATGTGTTAACCCAAGTTGGCATACCACATTACCTTAACAAAGCGAATATTTTAGGAGTCCAACTAATAGTTGCAGTGATAATAGTGAGAGAAACTAGATGAGTATGGTTCGAAAAGATATAATGGAAGGATTGCTAAAACCAAAAACGTAGAGCAAAGTAAATAATGAATACACCTGAACCAGTGATCGCGGTTATGGCAACTAGAGCAACGATTAATGCAGGTACATGGAATGTTCATACATTTCGGGAGATTGGAAGAGTCATTCAGGTTGCAACGGCAATTGGAAGCTACAACCTGGTGGTGCTTTGAATAAGCGAAACCCACTAGAAGCAGGCTGGACAAAAAGGGCTAGCTTCAGTGTTGGGGATGTTCGATCACCGAAATTCGCTTGATAAATGCCTTATTTTGGTTTTTACGTTTGCGAGCATGGGCTAATCAGTTGACCTTGAGATTTCAATTCCCACCAGGAAAATCCATGGCTGTGATTGGCTGCTGTGTATTTTAGCGTTCTATTTTCACAACTGTCCCAAGGACGTTTCTATGTAGTATAAATAAACGAGAGTTGTATGCTTGATTGTACTGAGATTGCTGGGTTTTTTTAGAATATACTTTCTACGCTTATAAAGCCTTTTTACTCTATTTGGGTATTCAAGGTAGCCTACCTGGACGCTGGTAAAAGTCTCGTTCGCGTTTATCGACAAAGGTAAACTCTTAATAGCCTCAAGCATACTTAGTGACGAGCATAACAACTGGCGACGGTGGTTTTGGAAATATGGATCCTGCCAAACTTGAATTATTACTTGACCAGCAGCTGAAACTGATGCAGATGTTGACAGACATGAAGATTTCCCCTTCCACACATCCCAGCTCATCTAATGCAACCACAGCTCCATCGGTCGACGGCATCGCAAATAGCATATCTGAATTTCATTATGTTCCTGATGTAAATGTTACTTTTGATATGTGGTTCCGGCCTTATGAAGATTTATTTAAATTTGATTTCGCCAACCAAGATGATGCTTGGAAGGTTCGGCTGCTACTTCGAAAGTTGGGCGCAAGTGAGCTGGATAAGTACTGCAATTTGATCCTGCCTTTGAACCCACGAGATTGTTCATTTTCTGAGACTGTTCAGACTTTAAGCCAACACTGGCGATAATTCGTCACGGTTTAATACTCGATATCGATGTTTGAAGCTAATTATGAACGGAAGATGATGACTTTCTTACGCATGTGAGCATCGTAAACCGTGAATGCGAACGCTTTCGGTTGAAGTCTTTGTCGGAAGATCAGTTCAAAGCCCTTATACTCATCTGCAGCCTCCAGTCGAGTAAGTTCAGTGATATTAGAACAAGGCTACTATGTCGGTTGAAGCAAGATCCGAAGCTTACGCTTAATGACATGGCTCATGAGTACCAACGTCTCACTAACCTACAACGAGACTCAACTATAGTTCAGAGTGGTAGTTCAAGCCGATCTGAAGTTCATTTGGTACAGCAGCCACCCAATCAGAATAAATCTGCCTATGCTACACCCAGTTCATTCCGCTCCAACTCTGCCCGAAAATCCTAAACGAATCCCTCTGCTGCTTGCTGGCACTGCGGCTCATGGCACTATGTACGGAACTGCCCTTTCAGGCAGCATAGGTGCAGGAAGTATGAAGTTATCGGTCATAAAGATGGCTTTTGCCTACAGAAAAAGCCAAACTGATCCAGAAGTGCTAAGAAGCCTGTTCCTAGATCCAGTACCAATGCATTGAGCCTAATATCTTCCTGCCAAAGTTCATCAGGTAGGAGGGAATTGATTACTCTTAATATTAACGGGCATTTGTGTAGATTGCAAATAGATACCGCATCTGATGTCACTATCTCATGAACCCACGGTCATCAAGGCCTTCTTCAAAACAAAGAAAGAGGGCATTACAATAAACGTCATCTATCGCTATGCGCCTACCAAAGACTACTATGAAGAAGCTAAGAATCAATTCTACCAGAGGCTTCAGTCAGTCGTTGAGAAACGCACATCACAGTACTTGACCATTCTGATAGGAGACCTAGATGCCAAGGCTGGAATGGACAACACCGTATATGAAGATACAATGGGACGACATGGACTGGGAGAAAAGGATGAAAATGGCGAGAGATTTGCTAAAATATGTGCCTTCCACAAACTGGTCATAGGTGGCACAATATTCCCACATCAACGCATACGCAAAGCTACATGAATTTCACCGGATCACACTACGCAGGACCAAATCGACCATCTATATCAATAAAAATTTAAGAAGGACGATGGAGGACGTAAGAATCGAGAGAGAAGTTGGTGTAGCCTCAGATCACCACTTGCTGGCCGCCAAAATAAAAGTGAAACTCAAGAAACATGGAAAATGGGGCAGGCAACACCACAAAAGTTTAGTACGGCCGTTCTTCCAGATACTCCAAAGCTTAACGAATAGAAGATAGCCTTCAGCCTATCATCATCTACTCGGTGAAAAAGAAACTACCACAGAGAAAAGCTGAAAAGGGATCAAGTGAGCAATAACTTCAGCATGTCATGAGGTTTTGGGCCACAAGAACCACCATCACAAGCAATCGATCTCTGTGTATACTCTGAGTAAGATTTAAGATAGCAAAGAACAAGAAGGCAGCAATCAAATCAGCCAAAACATAGGCCGAATATACAGAAGCAAACAAACGAAAATATGGGGAAGATTTAGCACTGACGGCGGAAAAGGCTGCTACAGATGGAAACTTGAGACAATTGTACGAAACAACAAAGAAGCTCGCTGGAAACTATCGTAAACCAGAACGACCAGTGAAAAGCAAGGAAGGCAAAGTAATCAGCAACACCGAAGAACAGCAAAATAGGTGGGTAGAGCACTTCAAGGAACTCCTTAATTGACCAGCCCTACTGAACCCACCCAACATCGAAGCAGCATCCGCGAATCTCCCAATCAATTTTGCCCCACCAACAGTTGAAGAGATCAGTATGGTCATCAAACAAATCAAGAGTGGTTAAGCAGAAGGACAAGACAACATTCCAGCTGAAGCACTAAAAGCAGACTCACCAATAACTGCAAAGATCCTTCACATTCTAGTCAAGAAGATTCGGAATGAAGAACAAGTACCAGCAAACTGAAAAGAAGGATACCTCATCATGATACCAAAGAAAGGCTATCTTAGCAATTGTGAGGACTACAGATGCATTACTGTTCTCTCAATACCAGGTAAAGTCTCCCAAAGAGTGTTGTTGAACAGGGTGAAATATTCAGTAGACACCAGACTTCGAGATCAGCAGGCCGAATTCCGTAAGGATGTGCCAACCAAATTTTGACATTATGTATCAGTGTGGGACAACAAATTGGATTTATTGACTGCTAGAAAGCATTTGATGGAGTGGGCAGTATAATACTATGGTGGCTTCTTCGATGCAGTGGTGTACCTAAAAAGATAGTCAGCATCTAACGGAATTCTTATGATAGATTAAACTGCATAATCTTGCTTGGAGGGTAGCTCACAGATTCGTTCCAAGTGAAGATCTGTGTTGGGCAACCTTACCTGACACTGTTGCTACTCATTCTTTTCGTGTCTTTCTCTGTTTCTCGGCGTAATGCGTTTCTTGGCCTTCCTCTTTTCCTTTGACCTTGAGGGTTCCAAGGATAAATGCATATCATTGACTAAGAAATGACTTTCTTTTCTGTGGAAATGAATGCATTTATGTGGACGAGTATTTGTTCATATTATTCTGTAGTCAAATGAACTTCTTCTGCTCTTTGCCTCCTCTCTTAAACAAAAATTTGGAGGATTATAATTTATCTATTTTAGACCTCGGAACCACGCATCATAACAGATTCTTCGACAAAGTGCTTACAAACTTGCTGTAGAATATGTTGATTGACTTCTGTCACTGTTTTCGTACTCTTAAAAATATATTGTCTTTAGAGTTCGAAGTTTTGTAGTACATATAATCTCTTAATTCGGTTAGATTACTTACACAAAATTCAAGCTTGGTTGAAAACTTTTCACTGATTACTCCCTGAGCTAGTGCTTTTTCACTGTATTTTTCCACTTGTTCATTAGTGTTATGTTCAACATTGCTGATGAAAAAACGTTCTAACGTAGATTATTAGTCTTCATCGGTAATTTCTAGTCATAAAAATGTTAAGTAATTCTTTTATCTGATATTTCGCCGTACAAGTGATTCTTTTTGTGAAAAAAAATTTCGATTTTCAAAATATGCTAAAATCAGTTGATTGAGTTTTAACTCTCTATCACGAGTGTAAACGTTAGCATATCTCCTTTGCTGATTCACTTTTCAGTTCCCGTTTTTTTTCAGTAGACATTTATTTTATTCTAACTTGTCTGATTTTTGGTTCAATTGTTTTTTCTTTCTAGGCCACTCTTTACGAAGATTTAATAATGCAACTGTTATCAAACCGCTCAATTCTATTGGTTCATTAACTAATTCTTCACTTTTGGGTCTCCCATCAGTTTTACAAAGTGTCACTAATCGAATTGGTTCCAGTAAGTGATGCATTGTCATGTCACTATTTTGATGTTGTTGTTTTTTCCTACTTTTGATAATTCTGCGTTATTTATCCGGTCATTTACTTTCATATACTAATTGGTGATCATTCTAGACAACTATATACTGCTAATTATTTCACACGATGACTTGTTTCGTTTCAATGTGAAATACCTATAAAAGATTGGCTTTGAAACAGGGATTTCTTCTTTGAAATACAGTAAAATTACTACACCATTCATCAACTTTTTCATAGTAAGAAATCGGTTTTTTGTAGCGAAAGTCAAATAAATGGTTTTAATATTCAACAAGGATAATGGAAACAGGTTACGTTCTAGAGAAATCTGCGGAAGACTGACATCTCAGTTTCTTATGTTTTAAGATACGGTTCTTTAAATTTTTCATGACTTTTTTTTCTTTTACAGATATGAGGGTTAATCCACGAACACCGATTAATACTCTGCCAACTTCCAATTCCCCACGAGCACTTGCTGCATTACAAGTTGCCGCAGCTGCTCATCAAAATTCTCTTCATCATCCACAGGATTCTCCTTTATGGTCAACTCCAAATAATTTTGCAGTTGCGTTAGCTGCAGCAGCTGCTGCAACGCGTAATTTTCCTCTTGCCTCAGCTTTAAATTCATCAAATTCAAGAACTCCGATTTCTGAATCGCATTTACCCACTGAGCTTACTAATGCTGGTAAATTGAATCCAGCTCTACTGGCAATGTTAAACTCTTCAAATTCCATAGGACCAGCAAGTCTATCATTACTAAGTAGTATCATTCGAAATAGCGTTTCTGGAAAGCATCCTAACAATCCGTGGCATTGATTGCTGAGTGATATTAACTTTTTGTACAGCTACTTTTTTCATGTATATCCTAACTTAATTCCCTACCATACTTGTTCTTTATCAAATATTGCCTTACTAATTAAGAGTGTTATGTTATTTACTGGAAAATAGCTAGTTTTAACTCTGTTAAAACTACAATTTACATTTGCCAGTAATATCCATAAATCAATTGTATATATTCATGCGACGGAAGCATTTTAATATCTCTGAAGAAGGATTATAGTCGTTCAGATGATTATGTCTAAATTTGGGGAACATTATATTCACTGGAAACATCCGTTATTTGAATCTAGTCTGAAGGAGTTAAATGGAAGAGGCACTATCAAACATCATGCTCAGTATCTGCAGTTAGTACGATCTGCTATCAAATACATAAGGCCAGAGGAAGTTTAGTGGCTGAGATGAATTCGATGCAGGGCTCACCACATTATTGACCCGCGATCTGATTCCGATATTCGTAAACAATTGAATATATTATGAAATAAATTCGGAGTATTGATTTGGTAAATATCAGTTGGAAAAAAGTGTACATCGAGTGCTTAAAAATAAGCATACTGTAGTGAACGAGAACACAGGTGGGGCAACCGAATTGTATTTAACGAAAATTACAGAGTTACTCAGTAAAATCGGAAAACCATATCGTAAATCGTTAATTTGCAAAATATCAGTTCATCATATCGAACTGGACTGTTCCTGTTGCAAAACATCAATCCATTGTCACTATTCATGCGTTTCATACAAATTCCACTGTGTTCTAACTCTTCCTTTCTTGATCTTCCCCCATCTTCTGCTGCCAGACATTACGTTGACACTCACGTCATATACTACTTATAAGTAGCTCGCACCACAATACTATAAGGAATTAAACATTTACATACTTTCATAGCCCAGCTTATCTATATGATTACAAAGGGACAACTTCTTCATAATCTTGAAGGCTACTTTCACGAATCACACGTAGTTCATCTAATGCACCCGAATAATAATAATAATTTGTAAGATTTATAAATATTACACCTGGATTTTAGAAATGAAGGGCAAATTCATTTGTTCTATTGTGATTTGCTAGCTATAGAACACCTGCCGAAAATTTCACCAAGAAACTTGCATTTAACCATATGGGTTTCATTATGACCATTGGTAATGCTTTCCTAATTAAATTTTATCCATCTTATCATATTTTCGAGGCAGTTTGTGATTTATTTCGCTGAGCACATGACCTAACCATTCTAGGCTCACAAATTATTGGTTTCCCAATCACTTGGCTTTGAACTTTGCAACATTTCTCATTTGGCGATCCTACCACTTATGAGCACCACTGTAATCGATGAATATCGTGTAAACATAATCAGTGGATTTTGCAGCCGTAGTGTTGCAAAGAAAGATCATGAATGGAGGTTGGTTGCGAACACGAGACATTGAAAACAGTTGAATGTCAGTTGATCTACAATTATTTGACACTGGTAAAAGGACTCTAGTGAAAAGGTACCAATGTGTGCTATAAACATCAAATGACTGGGATGTCACTCTTTGAAACCGTAAATCCACCAATCAATATAGATCGGTTGAAAGCAGTCTATGAGAACACTTGAGTTTAAGCATCAATATTAGAATTTGTTTGTGAGCCACACTGACCTTTACTGAATATGATTTAGAACAAAAATCATTATGTAACTTGAACTCATTTCCAGAACAAACAAACTGACCCTAATTCGATAATGGACACACGCATGACTTGAAGAAGGTTGGCAAGTTTACTTGTAGCATCTAACCAGATAAATCTATAGGAAGTCAGATCGAAATATTGCTAAAAATAGGTTAGAGTACTACGGAAAATGCTGAACATCGGACATGTGTATTACTGGAGGTAACTTGAGTGTCAAAAGAACAATTATTTGTTTTGTTAACTAGTGCCAAACGTCAAGATAAAACCGAGATTTGAGCGAGACCTGACAAGTCTCTAGAAGACAGAACAGAAGGAAAGGCGATCCTGGCTAAACTAGAAACAGAATGGTGAGAAAAATCTTCGTTCAAAGGGTTTCGGGTAGTTAGGTCTTGGTAGCAAACACTACCAAGATCTGTGTGGATGTCATTACTTTCAGGGGTTCTATATATAAATGTTCGCAGTCTAGGAAACAAATTCTGTGAACTATGGGTATCGATGTACGAATTAAAGCCAATCATCAAAGCTGTGAACAGAACTCGATGTCACACCAGAATTATTGGAGTACAACTACCTAAGAAGTGATAGGAATAGATGCAGAAAAGGGTGTGAGATATTTAGATTCATAACTAGCAATAGAGACTGCCGTTTATTTAGTTGTGAATCCCATGTCAGTGGAACTTGTTATGTCACAAGTTGTGAAGCCACTTCTGAAGGTTGAACATTAATACTCGGTGTCTAAAATGCCTAGTATTTTGAAGCACACTCAGCTATGGAGTAAAAATATCCCGTTAGTGATGTTAGATTCTAAGCCACCTAGTGATAGTTGAACAGAGTTGTCAAATGGAGAATCTGAAAATTCTTTTCATATTACTTACTTACGCCTGTTACCCCCAATGGAGCATAGACCGCCCACCAGTTTTCTCCAACCAACTATGTCCTGGACTTCCCTCTCCAGTTCTGTCCAATGTTTGTTCATTCCGCTCATATCTTTCTCTACTTCTCGGCGTGATGTTTTCCTTGGCCTTCCTCTTTTCCTTTTGCCTTGAGGGTTCCATGTGAGGGCTTGTCGCGTGACGCAGTTAGGTGCTTTTCGTAGTGTGTGTCCTATCCACTTCCACTGCTTCTTTCTGATTTCCTCCTCCACTGGAATCTGGTTTGTTCTCTCCCACAGTAAGTTGTTGCTGATAGTGTCTGGTCAACGAATCCGAAGTATTTTGCTTAGATAACTATTCATAAACACTTGTATCTTCTGGATGATGGCTTTGATAGTTCTCCAAGTTTCCGCTCCATACAGTAGATGTGTCTTGATCTCGAAGTTGGACGTCTACGAAGTCCTTCATTCTGTTTAACAATACTCTTTTGAATACTTTGCCTGGTATTGAAAGAAGAGTGATGCCTCTGTAGTTCTCACACTTTCTGAGATCGCCTTTCTTTGGTATTTTGATCAGGTATCCTTCTTTCCAATTTGACGGTACTTGTTCCTCATCCCGAATCTTCTTGAAGAGGTTGTGAAATATTTTCGCAGTTGCTTCTACATCTGCTTTCATTGCCTCTGCTGGAATGTTGTCTGGTCCTGCTGCTTTGCCGCTCTTGATTTGTCTGATGGCCATACTGATTTCTTCAATTATTGGTCGGCCGAAATTGATTGGGAGATTAGTGGATGCTGCTTCGATGTTGGGTGGGTTCAGTGGAGCTGGTCGATTCAAGAGTTCCTTAAAGTGCTCTACCAACATATTGCGCTGTTCTTCAGTGTTGTTGATTACTCTGCCTTCTTTGCTTTACATTGATCGTTCTGGTTTACGATAGTTACCGGCGAGTTTCTTTGTTGTTTCGTACAATTGTCTCAAGTTTCCTTGTCTTGCAGACTTTTCCACCGTCATTGCTAGATCTTCCACATATTTTCGTTTGTCAGCTCTGATTCTCTTCTTCTGTGTATGCAGCTTGTGCGGTAACTTTCTCTGCTCTTGTTCGGCTGACGTTGATTGCTGCCTTCTTGTTCCTCCTCTCTTCAATTTTTGCAAGAGTATCAACAGAGATCCATTGCTTGTGATGTTACTTCTTGTGACCCAGAACTTCGTGACATGTTGAAGTGATTGTCTCCTCAATCCCTTTCCAATTGTTCTCCAATTTGTGTCCTCTCCATTTTGTAGATCCTGAAAGGCCTGGAACCTATTGGTGAGGGTTATCCTGAATTCGTTCAGCTTTACAGTATCCCGAAGAAAGGCCGTATAAAACTTGTGTGATGTTGTCTCATAAATTAGATCACTTACTTACATACTTACGCCTGTTACCCCCAATGGAGCATAGACCGCCCACCAGTTTTCTCCAGCCGACTCTGTCCTGGGCTTCCCTCTCCAGACCGGCAGTAGCCCCGAAGGTTCTACTGGCGGAGTTCTTTTCATATTAGGTTCTCGATAATTGCAATATAGCATGTATTAGTACAGCATGTATCTGAAACAACACGTGGTTCAAACCAAAGATTTTATTTGTTAGATTTAGTATTCAATCGTGAACCTGGGATATTGCCTGTCTAAATATTCTCTCACCATTAGATAATAGCGATCATGCTGTTTTGTTATTCGTGCTTAGGGACTGTAAAATAGTTCGAGCTCCTCTAAATTAATGGAGAGCAAACATTATATCCATCGGGCGAAATGGATTGGTCAGTAAGTACTAGTTCATCAATTGAAGTGACATGGTCACATCCTCATTTCCGCCGTGTTCCGTGCGAAAGAATAGAGACAGTGGAGCCAAAATGGTAGCAACACAAACAGAGGTTTGCACGAACGGAGTGTAATAGATGAATAGTACAGTTAAACAATCACTGGTACAATTGGTTATAATAAAGAATGTTTCCATCAAACCAATCGCGCTGTCTTCGTAAAAGTGGATTTTCTGCAGATCCATAAAATATAATGCGGATTGGAAAATACTACAGAAAGACCTAAATTCACTAGTTGGGTGGATGTGCTAAAGGTCGTTGGAGGTAAATCCTAATTATGTATACAAATAGCTGCGACGACTCATGCAACTACGCAATAAGTTAAATGGTGTTACTGAATTACATAGATTATAAAGATATGGGTGTGAAACCGAGCAATAACATAAGAAGTGCAGCTACTGCCAAAGGGTTTCGGTTCTTACAGACATTCGTAAGTAATTTTAATACTCGGACGAGGAAATTTGTATCATGCTATACCCGACTTTTGTGAGGCCGCATTTGGATTACGGGATTCAAGCTATGAGTCTTTGTTTGAGGAATGAAGTGGATATATTAGGTCGGCGGTGTCTTACAGTAAGTGAAACTTCACCTGACCTCGCTTATGAAGAAGGACTGAGATGCCTCAACCCATTTTCTTGTCTACACGTATGTTACAGGGTGGGCTATTACTGGCTAGAATATACTGAACGATGAATTGTGTATGAACTTCTGAGTTCTTCCACCCAACTAGGACTAATCATGTGAAGAGAAATTAGAAGAAACGTCAAAAACCAGAATCGGATCCTTTACTTCTGCAGTTCTCTTACTCGGATCCAGTGTTGATTTACATGAATCCTTTTCCAGAACTCTTTCAGAAAAAGAATCGAACGAAAAGAAATAAGTTGATCTTTATCAGCTCATGAAAAAGATACTGGATTTCACCTCCTCATATTGTAAATTCGAATTTAGATCCTATCCTGTCAGTACTATAAATTACAGAGATCAGTAAATGTCAGTTGGTCTCCTATCCTTTCTACTGAGGGCTGAAAATGGACATCGAAGAATTGATGTTTTAACGGTTTCAAACTAGTGCGCTACCAAATCCTAAATTCGATTTTAATTTTGTCGTAGACTTACGCATGTGTTGTTGCTAATTGTCTTCGATTGTTCTCCTCAGTCAATGTAAGTGTATTATATATGCTTGCCTAATTAGCTCTCATTTTTGTCTTGCTCTTCCCTTCTGTTTATCACTCCTCACACCGTAAGATGCTTCACTTGGATTTACACCGGATTTTACACTTCTTGTGGAAGAACAAATCTTTCGGCCTAAGTAATCTATATAACAGGCGAAAAGTTGGCTTTTTGCTTACTTTTCCGCCACGTTCGTGTATATTTCCCTATTCTTGTTTGTTAGTAGGTACACAACGTAACTTTAGTCTAAGAAAGAACTTAAAGACTAAACGTCACTTTAAATATTCGTAATTCTTTTTGTTTGTGATTTTATGGTAATTTTGCGGTGTCATGACTTCCACACTATACGCTTCATTAGGTTTGTCCTTTAATTCATGCAGTTCTGGGGTTACTTAATATTTTTTAGTAGTGTATCAAGCTTGTTTAATCCTAGCTCATTACTCTCTATTGAAATTACAGTTTTAGAAAAGTTATAGTCATATGGAGTGTTAACTACAAACAGACTAAAGTACTCCAATTGACGATAATCATCTGCCATTGGAAATTATTCCAGCGATTAGATAAAAACTTGTTGAATACTTTTGGTTCTGATACTTCACAAATGCGGAGGTTTTATGCAGGTTTTAATGTAGTCTTAATTTATACTTGGTTATTACTAAACAAGTGATAATTGTTTAATTGGTTGTTACAGAAGTCTGTGAATGTTGAACTTAGCTCCTTTTAAATTAAAACCTTGCACTAGTGCGGAATACCAGTTTTCTATCAGACTTTTCTGTTTCCACTTAACTGACAAACTTTCCTCAAAATTGAGTTGTTATTTTATAATTTGGAAGTGAGATCCACTGTTATGTTCACTACTTGTGTTCGCAACTAAAACTCTACTCCTTAAATCATATTCACCTAATTTCTGTGTTTTGCCTGTCAATGCATTCACTAAGTGTATCAGTCAGTCAGTTAAGAGCGACGTAAAATCTGGCACAGATGTTCACCTGCCAAAGTTGCCGCTCCATAATGAATTTAGATGACGTTGACAAAGTGTGTGACGAGGTTATGCTAATTTCTTATTATTCTAATTGTAAGCTTTAGTGAACTATTGACTTATTAATCAAGGCTTTCGACATCCAACCACGATGTCCCAGCTTCAGACCCCTCAACTAGATGGTGTCGTTAGCCCTAAGCCTTCTGAAATTAGTAAATAAAAGTAAGTACTGTTACTTATAAGTTGTAAGCAGTTTGTGAGACTCGAACTTTCTGGTTTTTAAGAATAAGCACTAATGACGTTTTTCAAATCCAAATTCAGTTTGACTTTGTTTTGTTTAAAGCCTACCGTGTGGGTTTTGTCTGACGGTTTTTTCTATCTCCTTTTTTAGATGTCATTTAACACTACGATCGACAGATTTCGTCTTTCCACTTACTCATATAGATTAAATACTCTAACTAATTGGCCTTATGATGGAAATTCACTTTGTACAGCTGAAAAATTGGCTATGTCTGGGTTCTACCGTCCAAATCCAAACTATCCTACTGTTACACAATGTTTTGTTTGTATGAAAGAATTAGAAGGATGGGAACCTGATGTAAGTTAGCAGCAGTTCTTCTGTATTGGATCATCATAACTTTTCTCGCGTTATACATGATATTCAAAATGTTTCACACTGTTTTAATCTATCTTTCAACATCAAAACGGTTACTTACATACTTACGCCTGTTACCCCCAATGGAGCATAGGCCGCCCACCAGTTTTCTCCAACGAACTCTGTCCTGGGCTTCCCTCTGCAGTTCTGTCCAATGTTTGTTCATTTCTCTCACATCTTTCTCTATTTCTCAGCGTAATGTGTTCCGTGGCCTTCCTCATTTCCTTTTGCCTTGAGGGTTCCATGTGAGGGCTTGTCTTGTGACGCAGTTAGGTACTTTTCGTATTGTGTGTCCTATCCACCTCCACTGCTTCTTCCTGATTTCCTCCTCCATTGCAATCTGGTTTGTTCTATCCCACAGTTGGTTGTTGCTGATAGTGTCTAGTCAACGAATCCGAAGTATTTTGCATAGACAACTGTTAATAAACACTTGTATCTTCTGGATGATGGCTTTGGTAGTTCTCCAAGTTTCCGCTCCATACAGTAGAACTGTCTTGACATTTGTATTGAAAATCCTGATTTTGGTGTTGGCTGATAGTTGTTTGGAGTTCCAGATATTCCCCAACTGTAGAAATGCAGCCCTTGCTTTGCCAAACTGCGCCCTCACATCTGCATCGGATCCACCTTGGTTGTCGATGATGCTGCCCATATATGTAAAGGTGTTAATGTCCTCCAAGGCATCTCCATCAAGAGTGATTTGGTTGGTGCGTGTTGTGTTGCATCGGAGCATATACTGTTTTACAAGCAAAATGGTTAATTTTTATTGGTGCCGATGCCTGTAATTAATTGTTACCCATTAATGAATGCGTGCACTAGATTGTATCACTAATTAATCTCAAACCGTCATATTTTATGTATTGTGTTAAATATATGAGATTTAGGGTGAAAATTCATGTTTTGATCGACATAGGCAGAATTTATTACATTAAAGCTCACTTTAGCCGTTGGTGTTATTTAAGATGCTGATCATTTCAGATTCCGAAGAAAATGTATTTTAACGTCTGCGACTTTGCATTACTAATGCTAGTTAAAAGTTTTTTCGCTACTCATAAGCGATTAAATTAACAAAAGGAAACTTTGTTTCTTTTCATTTAAGTGCTTACTCTTATTTCATTTATGAGATGTAATTACATGTACCTTGTCTGTATTTTTAATAGTAATGAGACAAGTTTCGCCCATCTGGGATTTTCCCTTCGATATTATTCACGTACATGATTCTCTCAGCATGTGTGTTTGTTAGCAGTTTTCCTTTAACAAAAAGTTATAATGTTCAGTTATATAGAAATGAATGGACACGCTTTGACATAATGGACTATGTTGTCTCTCATGAAAGATTTCATAGAGAAAAGATATATCTATCTATCTCATGATCACATTCATTATTCATCAATGCATTTGACGTTTCCCTATTCATTGACTGCCTATGTTACTTCATGATTGGTTTAGCAAACTTATTTAATTACAAATTTCCCTTTATTTTTTACGAATTGAATAACATCTACATGGTTTAAAGCTCCATTTCGACATTATGAAATTGTTTAAAGTGTTCCGTACAGTATAAAATTATTTGCTTTTATAACATCTAATCCTATCATATGAGATAAAGAAGATGAAGAAGAAGGCAGTTGTTCTCGATGACTAAAAAGTACATTCATCAAATTAAGTAGCATTGTGTTAGCTAATACAAAACTATGTAGTTTATGTTAAATTGTTTACAATGTTCATTTCGTCGATAATCATAAAAACATCGAAGTTAAATTTAACAAATAATTATTTCCTTCAGAATCATATATTAACATTTAAATACGATTTCCTAGTATTATTACGGCCAAAAGTGTTATCTCACCATCAAGTGATATCATTAATCTAGGAGTGATAAAAAGACTGAATAAAAAAACAATTTCATTCAATGAACAGAAGTAGAAAATTTTACTATGTTAGATAGCAGGTCAGGAGAAGCGTAGACTTTTGACAGACAGACAGATACAACACAGAACTTCGTACGTACGTACATCAGTTCAGGTTGCCATACCGCATTAGCACACAGACGCAACTGTCAGTTCAAATCCAAGAGTGATAGCAATAATAGAAGTATTAGCAGGGTTCGAAGATATAATTCAAGAAGTATAATTCAGTGAGGTAAATTTAGAAAGAAGAAGGTAGAGATGAAGGAATGCACAAGGTTAGGATTTGACAGAACACGAAGAGTGGATGCACTTGCGCCATTGCAAATGATTTTGAGCCATGTCATTCAAGGTCTCTAATCATTGGTGACTTTCGTCTCGCGGATCGCAACCAGGTAGCCTATATCTACCATCATGACTCAGTCCACTTGTCAGTGATTTCATAGATTTCAGACATGTTTGGGTTTGGCCGCCCCTAACTTTCTTCCAACCTACTCCTACACCACAAAACATAGCTCGTTGAAGCAGTCGGTGGTTATATGCATACGTAGCACATGTCCCAACCACCTCAACAGATGAAGTATTGAAACTTCATCTGTTGATTTGCCATCCCTACCTAGTACTCGTTTCCTAACATTTGAGAGTTTTATATATGTTACTCAGGTTTCGTTTCGTCAATGTCTGGGCAGTTGGGTGCATATAGTTCAATTTGTTATCACATCTAGCAAAAAATCTCAAAAAAACATTCCCCCAAGTTATATTCTTTGATCGATTCTGGGATTATTATTGTTCATATATTCTGTTGTAAGTCTACTTGTATGTATAATATTTGTGGTTTTACACTTTGGTTTTTGTTTTCAGGATGATCCAGATAAAGAGCATAAAATTCATTCATCAAAATGTCCTTTCCTCAAATCGAAACAATATGAACAATTGACTTATGAAGAAGGTTTAAAAATGGATGTTGAAAGATATTGTAATTATCTTTCTAAAATTATTTCCGAACAATATGATACTCAAAATGTTCAAAAGGCATTTAAACTGTTTACCGAAATTGTTTTATGCAAACTACCAAAACGAAATAAAAAAAGGAAATCGGACAGTAAAGCAGCAAGCTCAGTCTTGTCAAATACAAGTAGTATCAAGTCGACTAGGAGTACACGAAGCAAACGAATATAAATATGGTTGATTCTTTTTTTTTTTTTATACAAACCTTAATTATGTGTATAATTTGTACATTAATACTTGTCTTTAGGCATCTTATTGCTTTTTGTTTTGATAGTGGTAAATAACGGGGAGTTGTTTATAAGTGTTCTTTATTTAATTAATTGATGGTGGTTTTCGCTCTATCCTAGTTTGTTGGTAGCATAGTTCAGTCGATCCTATAGATAATCATGCTTATTACTAATGAATAAGTCCTCTTATTTCTAGTGAATTTGTTAGACCGTCTTAGAGGATACAGTCAATCAAATAGAATTGATGAATAGTAGCTAGAAGTGGAAATCAGGACTCGTGTTTCATTTTATTTGATACTAACCAGCTGGAAGTACTTACATCTCAATGTGGATGTTTGTACATTGAGACAGTATCTTTAGCGCTGAATAGTCATGTAAATATCGTAACGATTGCTCAAGTGAATGGCTGTCTAATCTCACTAGTTTGGTGTTTGAAACTACAGGCACAGGAATCGAGTCCTGGTGTGGACATTAGTACTGGTAGCTAGGTAAATCCACGTAAAAAATCCCAGATGTGATGAGATGCGCCTCCAGGATTCTTGTGCTAGTGATAATCCATTTGTTCTATTAAAGCGTGCGAGAAAATAACTATATCGAGGCATGTTTTGTACTTACCAGGGCACATCATTAAAGTGTCATATGCTCTGACTCAACAAGACATGTCAGTACAATAATAGAAATTGATTTTGTGTTGATGCTATACAAGTCGACAACAATTATAATCGAAACGTGAGCTGTGTAACATCGGAAGAATTAACTGTTAGCAAAAAATACTAGTGTATGTACAACGTAAATGTGATAGAATCATGGTGCATAGAAATACGCATTCTAAAGTAAAACATTAAGAGAGCAAGATTTTTCTTGATAAGTTAATATCAACAAAACACCACAAGTGGTGTAGCACGGTAAAATTAATGTCACGCTTTGATTTTTGTAATGTTTTTCGGTAGTAACCATTAATCATACATACACTGGTACTAATAGGCACCAAAGTTGAATTTGTTGCATTCGGAGGTCAACACATTTGATTTTTACTACCTTAACAAGTGCCTATATGATTCAATGTATGTTACGCTAGACTTTAAGCCTATTAGACAGTATACTCATCTGTGTTTGGATATGTAGTTTTCTCCTAATAACTCATTCGATAGGAAAAAGAAAGACAAGACAAACACATACTACAATGACATGTTTTTATTATTATTCTTATTCTTATTACTAGAGCACCATTCATATTTCATCCTGAGATTGTGATTCTCTTTTTGTATTCTTTGAATTTGTTTAAATCAAATAAATAATAAACAAGACGAAGAAAAAAAAAATGAAAAAGAAATGATGATATGATGATCATCGTCATCATCAAATGATATGAAGAACAAAGTAAAAAAAAAAAAAGAAAAGGGACAGGACACAAATCTATCCGATGAAATATAACAAACTTATCGTCTGTTTACGAAAAAAATGGAAAATCCTACATATATGTATATATAAATTACAAACAAATTAATTATCATCTTATCAATGATAGTATATATATGTATATATTCATTTGATATCAGAAATGAAGAGTAAAACATAACAGGATACATCAATATGTATATCTATACTTATATATGATAATTGTTCATCTATGATCATGAAGAATTAATTCATTCAACAGTAAAGAAAGAAATCAATGTTTATATTATGTTCTACTCTACCCACTCGAGTCCGTTGGGATGAATCCGATTCTATGGATGGATGATTGATTAGTGGGGTGTGAGTGTGTGTGTGTGTAAAACAAATGAAACTCTAATTGAAGAAGAATAAGAAAAAAAATGTTTTCTTTTGCAACTCATTCACATTCATTATTTCTATCGATTGAATAATTTAATCTTTTTTTTTAAATATGATCAATTATAATAATACATACACTAGAAAAATATCAAAATGTGTTCCTATTAATAAGTTCTAAAAGTATTCAAACAAATTTGCGCGGGAACGATAATTTTCTCTTCCTGTTACCCTTGAAATTAATAATCATTAATATAATATTACCTATTGTCATTGGATCAATGTAAATCAACTAATATCAATGCATTTAGGATGAAAAGAAATCTACAAATTAGGCAACAACTTGTTTGTTGGATTATGAGAAAAGTACTTCATGTTCATGGCAAAATTCCTTGTTGTAGTGATTGTATGGTCATTGCTTGTAGATGATATCATGAAAGGAATACTTGAAAATGCATTCAGAAATAAAGCAATAGTAACATACGAATAAAGAAGAAGAAGTTGTTGTCAGTGTTAAATAAAATCTACTATGAGTTATACACAATATTCGGGTTGTGCAATTTTTAAAAAACGGTACAAATCATTCTGTTCCAATTGTAGTCACCTGTACAAAGAGACACCGGGATATGAAAAAAAAAAGATCGGATTCCTAATAGGAAAGAGAGAAAATTTTGTGCAGTGTTGCTTTCCTTGGCCCTGATTATCAATTGTCTGTCAATAAACAATCGGGTCTATTCTCACATGGTGAATAATAATGATCAATAATACAAGGCACTTTTATTAAATTCATAAAAAAAACTGAATTCAATGTTAAATAAATGAGATTCTGTCATTTTAAATTGAATCAATGAAATGAAATGACAAGTGATGAAATTAGATGTGGACTAATGTAAATGCTATATATTGCAGTCGTAGGAGTACTACTACTACTAGTAGTAGTAATAAGTAGTATATACATTGACAAAATTGACACTGATATTGTTTAACACATTTGAACTGTACAAATAGGTGGTGGTGGTGGTGAATTCGATAACTGTTGAGTGGTTACAGAATTTCTATCAAAATTATGTGCCAGAGGATGGTCATTTTGATGACTACGTTGATCATATAACAACATCGGCTGACCTTGTTCAGATTTCTTTGTAGTAACATGTTTATTATTATTATGACCATGGAACAATGGCATATCGTGAATTTCATCATTATCCGCTGGACGATAAGATAATTCTGACGATGTGAAATAATCTTCAAAATAATTGCATAGAAATGCAAATGTCGGTCGACATTCTGGTTTCGCATTCCATGTATTTAACATAATTTCATAAATTGAGTTGGGACAATTAATTGGACAAGGCATACGATAACCATTTTCAACTTGTTGTAATGTTTCCGTGTTATTCATTGATGGAAATGGTACTTGACCATAAGTGATAATTTCATAGATAACAATACCAAATGACCATACATCGGATTTAATGGTGAATCGACCCATCAATGCAGCTTCTGGTGCAGTCCATTTTATAGGGAATTTAGCACCCTAATTAAATAAAAAAGATGAAATAAGTGTTTGGGTTTTTTTTGGTTTTGTTGAAAAAAAGAGAACACTTCCAACTGGGATAAATTCAAATGATTATATATATATATATATATATATATATATATATATATATATATATATTGCCCTACAAATTTTGTTTTAATCACAACCAATATTGATAATCATTTATTTTGTGGATTCAAAAATAGCCTTAATTTTTAATTACATAATTCAGAATTCAAACAATTCATTTATAATTACATTAAATAGGTCTACAATGTTAAAGGTTAACTTCAAACTATAACTTTCTTTTTATAAAACTTAGTCAGTTGCAACGTAGAACTTCGTACGTATGTACATTAAGTTCATGTTGCCATACCACATCAGCACAGAGATATAATTGTCGATTCAAATCCAATAGTAGTAATAGAGGTAGTAAAGGTATTAGAAGTAATCGGAGAGGTTAGGATTAGAAGATACTACTCAAGAAGTATGATTCAGTGAGAAAAGTTTAGAGAGTCGAAACTAGAGGTGTTGAAGAATCCAGAAGATTAGCATTTGAGAGAACACAGAGAATAAATGCACTGGCGCCATTGCGAACGATTTTGAGCCATGTCATTCAAGGTCTCTAACCATCGATTATTATCATATCGCGGACCCCAACCAGGTAAGTCGACAATTACCGACATGGCTAAGTCCACTCGTCAATGACTTCATGGATTTCTGCCATGTTTTGGTTTGGCCACCCCTAGCTTTCTTCCAACCTATTCCTACACTACAAAACAAAGCTCAACGAGGCAGTCGGTGGTCAGGCATACGCAGTACATGTCCCAACCACCTCAACTGATGAAGTTTCAATACTTCGTCTATTAATCTGCCATTCTTACCTAGATCTCGATTCCTAACATCATTGCTTACTCAGTTGTCCTCCAATACACGAGCAACGCTTCGAAGATACCTTTGATCGAAAACCAGTAACCTATGAATATCTTCTACTCTCACTGGCCATGTTTCACAGCTATAAAGTAAGACGGAGCGAACTACTGCGCAGTACACTCGTTCTTTAGTCAACAAACGGATATATCGCCTACGCAAGTTGGCAAAAGCCAATCGAGCCTTCTGCATACGTGATGAGATTTCGTCAGTCACCAGGCCATCAGCACTGATGAGACTCCCGAGATAAGTGACGCGGTTGACACGCTCGACTACTTCACTCGCTATCATTAGTTCAGGTGCCGATGTAACCCAATCTTGAAGCAACATTTTGCATTTCGAGGGTGAGATCCGCATCCTGAACATGCTTGTATTGTTGCTTAGGGTAGTCAGAAGACTCTGCATTTTGTCAGCGTCTTCACCAAGTAGGACTATGTCATCGGCATATTCTAAGTCGATAAGCGAGCCACCTGGTAGAAGGTCTACTCCTGAAAATTCAGACGAGGATAAAGTTATTTCTAGGAGCATGTCTATGATAAAATTAAAACTACTGTAAAAACAATTGATTTATGAATAATTTCAGCGTAAACTAAATAATTTTCTGAGCTTGTTTTAATTAATATTAGGAAGGAATTTTAAGGTTTGTATTTAACTTTTAATTCTTGGTAAAAACAATATGTCAGAACAAAGATTAGAGCAGAATAAACATGAATTCATTTGATTATCTTTGGTTCTCGTCAACTGTTTACAAACTTGTAATTCATTTAAAAATCCTTACTAAGAAATAGAATCATATTGCTGACATAAAAAGAGTTCAATTCAAGAAAGATGAATAAATATTCCTTTTATTGCATTATAAAATTTTCAGCTAATTACATTATCACGCTCTTATTTCGAATGCTTTTTTGTTAGATAAGTAATTTTGTTTTAACTAACTGGGCATCATTCACTTGAATTTCACGTATTATCAGTGTTTATTTATTATGTAACCACTATTTAATTCTAGCCCTCGAGACTTTTGTGATTATTGGAGTTTTGTAGAATGTTCCTTTACACAAGGCATATATTTCTATTACGGGGTTGTGAAGATTGTTAAGTTACATCTGTGAAACCAAGAAATCGATCAATGTTAGACCATCATTAGAAACCTGGAAGTACTGGACGGCCGTTGGTCGAAGTTTGAAATTAACACCGCACTCTTGTTATATAATCTAGTGCTAGGTGATTACAGCAACTTTTAACTCTAAGCTCTTTCATACAGGTAATTCGAACTCATTTTGTATTGATGATCTTAACTAATACAGATTGTAAGTAGCTGATGAGAACCAAACAAGATTCAAGAAAATTCATGTTACGGAAAATGAATTCATAAGTTTTCTTTTGCAGTAAATTTTCAAATATTCAATCAGTTATAAATAAAAAACTATAATAGAATTGCATTGAAAATTTTACTTGTTTCGCTGTATATGTTTCATTTCCACTGTCAATGATTCGTGCCAATCCGAAATCAGCTACTTTCACTGAATTATTTTCACCGACAAGTATATTTCTTGCTGCCAAATCACGATGAATATAATGCTCTTTTTCTAAATAAGCCATACCACTAGCAATCTACGAAGAGAGAACAGAATTAATGGAAAATTGGTTAACGATGTATTAAAGTGTTTGACAATGTGTAGTATTAAATATCACAAGGTATTTGAATGATTCATTTTGCCTCTAGAACAGCCAGCAATCTCTCAATCAGTGTTTGATGATTAGGTCATTTTGACCATCATCTTATTAACTTGATTCCTTTCATAGGAAATTATGACATTCAGCATACAAACACGTCTTATTTTCATGTCCTTATAGCTCGATGTGTTTGCGCGTTGTGTGTATGCTTGTCACTCATTATTTTATTCAATGTCTATCTCATTGTCACGCTACGCATTATATACTTTCAGCTATGTTAAGGCTTGTAGTGAGTAGTGTAGGGCAGTTGGCATGCATGTGTCTGTGTCATTTCAACTTGTTTCACTGTTTCTCATTTTTAATGTCTTAGTAAGTGATTACTTGAAATAAACTCATCCAACCGAACTCGTTTTCCGGCTTCTTATTACACTGTCGTCTCGCAACCTTAGCCTAATTATGATTTACGGAAGAAAAAGGGAAGATTTATATTCATAGCAAATTGAGGTCAGATAACAGGCCACTAGAAAATTGAGCACAACACAATCAATATTAGTTAACCAAGTTTGACTTTAATGGCAGATTAAAAAAGATTCTGTACAATCTAAATTTTCATTATGAATCACAGTAAGATCTGCTGTTTTTGGTGATAGTATTTTTTCTAAGCTAAACAGTTTAATTGTGAAGTTTTCGTTGTCATTTTTGAAACAACATATTTAGTATCAACTTCATGGTGAAGTGAACTTTTCAGTTGTTCCATAAGTGTTCTATCAGTAGTTTGTTCTGATAACTAGGTTTGTGAGCGTCTGTAGATTGTTTAGATTCATATTGACCAACTTTATCTTTAGTATGATTAACCTCTTCCGTGTGAAGTTCACGTAGGTTAATGGTTTCCGAAGCATTGCTCGTATATCCTGGGACACCCGAGTGAGCAACGCTGTTATTAGGAAGCGGGTGCTAGGTAAGAATGGCAGATCAATAGATGAAATGCTGAAACTTCATCAGTTGAGGTGGTTAGGACATGTGCTGCGTATGCCTAACCACCGACTGCCTCGAAGAGCTTTGTTTTGTAGTGTAGAAATAGGTTGGAAGAAAGTTGGGGGGCGACCAAACCAAAACATGGTAAAAATCCATGAAGTCATTGACAAGTGGACTGAGTCATGTTGGTAGATGTAGACTACCTGGTTGGGGTCCGCGAGATGATAATAATCGATGGTCAGAGACCTTGAATGACATGGCTCAAAATCGTTCGCAATGGCGCAGGTGCATTTATTCTCTGTGTTCTCTCAAATCCTAATCTTCTGGATTCCTCAACACCTCCAGTTTTGACTTTCTAAACTTTTCTCATTGAATCATACTTCTTGAATAATATCTTCTAATCCTAAACTCTCCGATTACTTCTAATACCTTTACTACCTCTAATACTATTGGATTTGAATTGAAAATTATATCTGTGTGCTGACGTGTTATGGCAACATGTACTGTTGTACTTACGTATGAAGTTCTACGTTGCAACTGACTGACTGACTGACTGTATGAAGTTCACAGATTGCATCTATGTCGGTAAGACTATTGAGAAAAATGTCATATCTATCAGATCCTTCTTCTTACTATTGGTCGAATTCTATCAATCAAATTGTAATGTAGCCCTACTAATCTTGATAAATTCACAACGCGTGCATTGTTGGTTAAAATTACTATTCTGTTAGGTGTTTTGGATGGACTTTTTCATTGAAACAAATTTTCATTTCGTATCATATTATCTTCGTTACATGATAAGAATAATAATCATAGGAAGTACATTTATCATATCAGTCAGAAATTGTTAATTGTCTTTTAATATGATGACAACAGGACATTTTTTTTCTCAATCATTGTTATTGATTTTTATGAAAATTTCTCTTACAAAGTTATCCATAAAAACAAAAGGATAGCACGTATTACTTAAAAAGTCACAAGTTCATATTTATGTGTCTTGATTGTGATTACATCGACGTATTTCAATCTGAAGCTCGAAAACAAAAATAACACTTAGGTTTCTGTGCTACGTCTACAGCCTAAAACATCTTATTAGACATTGTCGTATTTTATTATATCATGTTGTGTGAGTCATGCTACTCGAAACGTGATTTGTGCATAGTATACACAGCGTAGTATCGCAAAGAAGAGAAGAGTGTAGGATCCGGATGTACAGCGTGATCAGAGGTTTTTCTAAGACTAAAAGACGTATGGAGGAACACGGCCAATAATCTACTTGTTTTGCAAAAGGAAGTAGTCTGAAGATAAAATGTAGTAGTGTAGTGTTCGGTTTAGTAAACTGTGACATTGCTTCAATAAATCGCTCATTCCAACGGGTCTTAACCTGTTTTGTTCATTGCAGTAGGAATATATATACGTATATATATATATATATATATATATATATATATGTGCATTACGGGGTTGTGAAGATTGTTAAGTTACACATTTTTGAAACCATGAATCGATCAATTTTAGACCACCGTTAGAAACCTGGAAGCACTGGACGGCCGTTTCGTCCTGGTATGGGACTCGTCAGCAGTGTGCATCCACAACTCCTGCACCTCGCAGGATTCGAACCCGGGACCTTCAGTCTTGTGTGCGAACGCCTAACCTCTAGACTACTGGGTCGGTATATTTATATATACCAAATTAATGAAATACATACAACAAAAGTATGAAATAAATTTTACTACTTTTTCCTCCCCTTACCTGAGCCATCATATCAATTAATGATTTTAATTTTAATTCTTTCCCTGGACCATCACGTAAATATTTCAATAGACTACCATTAGCCATTAATTCAGTAATAATATAAATTGGATCGGTTGTCACTACAGCATATAAACGTACAAGTCGTGGATGTTGTAATTGTTTCATAATACGTGCTTCTTTAAGAAATTCCTCTTTAGTCATTGTACCTTGTTTTAATGTTTTCACTGCAACTTCAATTGTTTCATTCCATTTTCCTGTATTAATATTAATATACAGATATATAAGTCATTATTATTGAATTAAAGTGATAAAATTGAATGTTTAATAAAGAGAAGTATATTTAAAACAAAGAAATTTTGCATTAAATCACTTTCACATAACGATCAGAAAGACAAACAGATACAATACAGAACTTCGTATGTGCATAGATCATTTCAGATTGCCATACCGCATTAGCACAGAGACGCAACTGTCAATTCAAATCCAAGAGTGACAGCGATAGTAGAATTATTAGCAGTGATGGAGAAGATTAGGGAGCGAAGATATGTTTCGGGAAGTATAATTCAGTGAGATAAAGTTAACAAGAGAAAGATAGAGATGATGAGGAATTCAGAAGATTAGAATTTGAGAGAACACAAAGAGTGGATGCACCTGCGCCAGTGCAAACAGTTTTAAGCCGTCATTCAGGGTCTCTAACCATTGGTGACTTTTGTCTCGAGGACCTCAACCAGATAGCCTACATTTACCATCATGACTCAGTCCACTTGTTAGTGATTTCATGGATTAGTGCCATGTTTTGGTTTGGCCGTCCCTATGCTCCTTCCAACCTACTCCTACACCACAAAATACAGCTTGTCGCGGCAGTCGGTGGTTATAGGCATACGCAACACTTGTCCCAAACTCCTCAACTGACGAAGTTTCACTGCTTCATCTATTGACCTGCCATCCTTACCTAGTATTCGTTTTCGAACAACGGCATCGCTCACTCGGTCGTCTCAGGATATACGAGCCATTCTTCGGCAGCACTTATGACCGAAGACAAGCAACCTACGAATGTCCTCTACTCTCACCGGCTATGTTTCGCATCCGTGTAGTAGGATGGAGTGAACTGCAGCGCAGTACACTCATCCTTTCGTTAGCAAAAGGATCAACCCAACGGTAGTATGAGAAAAACTTTTCTCATTTAATCAGTGTGTGAGTGTCTATAATGATAAACACTGTGACTATTACTATTTACAAATAGATTTTGAATGAAATCAGTTTTTTTTTAAAAAAATAGAATTGATAATAAATGAAATAAAATAATCAATAAATTATTGGTTTCTGAACTTGAGATTAACCTAAAGAGATACGTCTAATATGGTAAAAGTATAATATATACTGACAGTCTTGAGTGAACCAATAAGAAGTAAAATAATCCCTCATTAATTTTGCGCGAAATTTAAAGTGTAGCGATAACTAACTTGTATGTTCTTATGAACAAAGTACAGATTGGACATATATATCACCTTTAAATTACTTGAAATCAGTAAAAATTACTGTTACAAGACTGACAGTGAATTTAAGATGGCTTTTTAAGCTAAATTATTAAATATAACTGCTTTCCAGGCAAATTATTAGGTAAAGTACTTATCATGATTCGATGTGTTATCAAGAATGTTCAATGAAGTTGGACAGTTTATCTCATCCGAAATCTTACTCTCAATCTCAACTATATGTCTTTTTGCAAAACGGAAGTGACAAAGTATTGTTTCATAACTGATGCTAGTTCATGATGAAAACCTTAACCGGAACTCAGAACTCCAATTTAACTTTAAAAACCTAACTCTAACCTTTTAGCATTACAGTTGGTTTTAGTCGATAACGAAAGCTTAGTAGGATGATAACTCTAACTCATAAAACTAACCCGACTTTTAATAGGTGAATATGATCTTTTCCTTCCACTACAAGGAATAATTCGACATGTAAAGGTTGACTATACAGACGAATACTATTGCCCCGTCGATAATTTGTAGCTTTCAGCTGTCGACTGTTCTATAACAAGGCAGTCTCCTGTGATTGGTTGATAGGCCGCTCAACGTCAACGATATGTCGTACATTTCCTGTCCTGTAATCTTATTTTTATACACATTGTGTACGTCTGTTTTCTCTAAATGCGTATTTTTTCAACTCGTTATTGGCTTCTTCGTACATCCCATTGCAGTAGTAGTTGTATTAGCAATAGTAGTATGGGGTAAGTTGATTTGAGGAACTTTGTACTCAGCCAAATAATAATCAAACTAACAAATCTCAAACATTCTAATCATGTATTTTACAAACTGGTCAGTTGCATATTAAGATCAATAATACATGGTGATTATTACTGATCAGTAATTATTTAACTTCGATTAATTAATTATGATAAGTTTATTCTATTTTGCAAAACTTGACCTTTCTGAATATCAATTCTATGGAAGCTTGGTGAGGGTGGAAGACCTTTAGGCAATGCGAAGGTGACCTTGAAGATATTCACTTACTTATTAAGGTTGAAAGGTTATAAACTAGTGTGAAGAAATGGCAATAGAATTTAGCGTTGGATGTTAGGGTTAAGAGTGAGAGTTGAGGGTTTGCATCAAATTAGGTATAATGACAAAATGTTATTAAACCCTTTGAATGGGTATATTTCGCGCCAAAATCTAACGCTATACTATCTTAAATATGATAAGTTCGTCTATAAATTATAGCCTCGTTAGAAACCTTATTTGAACGTTGTAGTACAAGGTGTAGATGTGTAATCTTTAAAAGAAATAGATTAGTGATATACATCTACAAATCACGAAACCAAAAACTACCTATAAAAAACAAGAATTTTCTAAAACTCAAAGCATTTTAAAACAGTAGAGTTATTGAATTTTAGATAGTGAGATATGATGACCAAGTGTGCCCTTTCTGACTAAACTTCATAAAAAAGCAATAAGTTAATGCTTAGGGGTTTCTTTGATCATTATACTGAACTTTATTAACAGTGAACATATAATATACATGGATATGTTAAGAATCGTTTTGTTGTTTCATCAGATACTTTGCTAATTTTTAGTGTATTTTCAATCAAACCAAACCTATTTTGTAAACGATTATTTGACTACATTGAAAGTTTAGTTAAAAACACGATTAGATCCACTAAAACAGAGGTTGAATTTACTTGAATAATGCGCCCGACATCTATTTAAGTCAGAAGTCGATCTTGATTATTCCGAGATACTTATATTGTACATTGAAACCATGAATCAATCATTGTTAGACCACCATTAGAAACCTCGAAGCACTGACAGACGACCGTTTCGTCCTGGTATGAGACTCCTCAGCAGTGCGCATCCACGACTCCTGCACCCGGCAGGATTCGAACCCAGGACCTTCGGTATTGTGCGCGAACGCCTAACCACAATCTTCACAACCCCGTAATGCAATTTATATTATAGTCAAATAATGTGCGTTGTTCTATAATGAGTTTAAATTTAGGCTTACATTCAAGGTGATAAGACAACAGCAGTAAAAAAAAGTCATTCGTGACGCGTTCAAAATGACTGTCTATGTAGATGTTTCAACCAATAAGAGCATAGCCAGTTTACCGATAACTAACATAATTAATGAGATACAAGAAAAAGTGGAGATGAACCCTGACTACTACTAATAAGTAATATAGTCATAAATAAAAAAAATTTCACAGACACTACACAATTGATAAATTTACAAATTAAAATGTAGTATAATCTATGTAGAATTTACCTTTCCAAACTTCACCAAATTGACCAGCACCTAATAATTCAATTAATTTAATTGAACAACGTGAAATTTCCCATTGATCTCTTGTTAAACGTGATAAATCAGTTGGTACAGGCGGTGGTCTTGGACATGAACGTGTAAGACAACAACATAAACCATCGGATTGATTAGAATAATGTAGAATTAATGCTTTTAAATTAGGAAAAATTTGTTTTGTTGTAATATATACATCACCAGTTTCATAGGATTGTTTAATTTTATAATGTTTAACAATTTCACCTTTTTGTTGTTCTGTATCACGTACTGACAATGAAAGTGCACCTTAGAATAAATAGAAAAAGGGAGAAGAAATGATAATTATCAACCACGAAAATTATTTAATGCTGAACTGTTTTATTCTACAGTGGTTCAAATATTCTTACAGCCCAGCTAGCGGGAATCGAACCCCAAAAAGACATCGGACCACTGAGTGAATAAGTTGATGAGTCACATACCAGAACGAAATGACCGTCCAATGCTTCCACATCTCCAATGGTGATTTGTCATTGATGAGTTCATGATTTTAATGAGAATCGAGTGGCAAAACATAATTAAAAAGTAGGTATCATAAGTCATGACTGCGTCTGAAGTCATTCAAAGATTACGATCGGGTCCTAAGTCCAGATAAAAAGAGAAATTCTCGGGGTTCTAGTTGTGAAGACGTGACCAATGGAGTTCAACCCTGTCGGGTGTAGGCAGTAACTACCAAAGACAAATGGGTGAGGTCGCGCAAAATCCCTAGATCTATCAGAGTTAGACATTAACACCGTTAGATGCCGGCCTAGTGGTCCGATGGTAAGGCATTCGCCAACAATGCCGAAGGTGCCGGGTTCGAATCCTGCGAGGTGCAGGAGTCGTGGATGCGCACTGCTGATGAGTGCCATACCAGGACGAAACGGTCGTCCAGTGCTTCCAGGTTTCTAATGGTTGTCTAAAAATGATTGATTGATGATTTCAAATGTGTAAAAACGCAAACCTCCAGAACTCTGCCCCCCAAAAAAAGAGAAGAGGTTTTGTCGTGGGATGATTAACCAAATCTCATGACAAAATAAAATAAACACTGACCACAAGAAATTATTTATCATCAGTAATAAATATATACAAAGGGTGAAAGAAACACTTACCATTAGTTGTTTCACTAGCTCGAACCAGAAATGTTCCACGAATATTTCCTTTCAATAATAAAAGACGTTCTGAATCTTTTCTTGATATACTTCGAAAGTACCAACTATATATTTCAGAGACAGGCAGAAAACAATTAAAAGTAAAGTAAATTAAGAGTTAATTGAAAAAATATAGTCGTACAATCAGCGTAAAATGATATTTACATACAAGTTAGTCACAATCCATACGGTGACTAGCACAAATATTTCATGTTTTAGATTGACATTACTACATTAACACAACAGAATACAATTAACAGGATGAACAGTAAAAGGAGTTGGAATAATAGCGTAGTGAACGAGAACACAGGTTGGGCAACCGAATTGTATTTAACGAAAATTACAGAGTTACTCAGTAAAATCGGACAACCATGTCGTAAATCGTTAATTCGCAAAATATCAGTTCATCATATCGAACTGGACTGTTCCTATTGCAAAACATCAATCCATTGTCACTATTCATGCGTTTCATACAAATTCCATTGTTTTCTAACTCTTCCTTTCTTGATCTTCCCCCATCTTCTGCTGCTGCCAGACATTACGTTTACACTCACGTCATATACTACTTATAAGTAGCTCGTACCACAATAGCAGTAATAGTAATAGTTAAAGATTAAGTATCAAAAATATTGTTGTCAAAGATAATAATGAGAAAATCAGTATGAAAGAATCCTGAAAATCAAATCAAATCAACTAAACCATCATGATTGATTATAGCATCGAATGGCCCTAAATTACTTTGAGGTAGTTAAGGCCGAAAAAAGTTCGCCCCTCCCCTTCAACATCCTTCCATGTGACCAGCCATATGTAGCCAGTGAAGTCGAGAGGACAAAAATCAGATGTCTGATTAGGGGCTTAAAACAGGTTGCTTGCAAAACTCTCACTTTAAACCAAAGGTGTACGTACATGTTGTCCAAAATTCTGAGGTAACAAATGAAGTATTAACCTATTGTTGGTTAATGACAAATTGCACGTTTTAACATTGATCCACAGACTTGTGGATTAAACCAATAGGTCAAAGTCCCGGTTTGAGGACCCTGACAATATCCAAGCCCACATACATTCAATCGTTTGTGTGGAGCATAAATATCCAGGTATCCCTTTACACCGACTTTTTTGTTTCAACAAAAACCACTGGCCGCAGTTATTATCAGTATCCGAACAAGATAGTTGTTTTTACCAACATGATTCGGACAAACACTCAGTAACTTCATGAACTTATGCCGTGACTTTCAGATTTCTAGCCTCTATTTTTCTTGGGGCGAACACTTTTACACCAGCTAACATCAGCCAAGGAAGAAACTACTGGTTAGCTACATGTAACATTTATACATATGGTGAGCCAGATGAGTATATGTATATATTATTCTGTGGTCAAATAGACTTTTTCATCTGGTTTTGCTTTCTCGCCCAATTATCCAGTTCGGGGGCAGTGGTTAGCAGATGTCTCGATCAGATCTCAGACACTACACATCATAACAATATTGTAGCCAGATCAGTTGATGAGGATCCATAACTTCAGTGACTGATTCGCTAACTTGGTTTAATCCCTTCGATTGAGAGTGAATTACAATTCCAAATTTTCAAAAAAAATGGTTTTACTAGTATTTGCTTGCTTTTGTAAAGTGATATTATCAGAGAATTTAAAAGAACATAAAGAAACAATAATTTCTAAGTATGTATGTATTGTCGAACTTTTTAAAACAACTAAATTTCAGATAAGTTATATAGCATAAATAAAGCTACTATCGTTGAATTGATTTACTACAATTTTTACGTGTTAAAGCAAACACATGTTTGTTAGAATTTTACTAGTCAAGTTAGACAGTTTAATTGTTTTTACAGACAACATCAATATAAATATCAGTTGAAAGTAAGCAAACACAATTGACTGACATGAATATTTTTACTTATGATTACTTTGAACTTGACTTGTTAGATTGGTAAAATTCTTTTTTTTTTTCTGGAGACAACAAAAAACTAAAATCATAGAGAGTAATTTGTGTTCTACACTGTGAAATTTATTTCAAAACAATAATTGTGATATTAATATTAATCAATAATATTTTAAAATAAAAATTGGAATAGTAGTTAATGGACAACACAATGGCATTTGAAGAGAACTGAACTGCACTGGGTTCGAGTCCCGGAGTGAACATCAACTCTGTGATGCAGGTACATCTAACTGACGAGTCCCAAAATAGAACGAAATGCTTTGAATAAATGTTTTCTTTATGATTAAACTAATTAGTTTCAATGAATTTTTTTTATTTCATTGGATTGTCTTAAAATACAAGATTATTAGGTGATGATTCATTTAACTGTGAGTCGATAATTCTTCCAGCTCACCACTAATCATGATGCCTGTCATCAAAGTTATATAATCTAATATCAATTAATAAATTATAAGTGTTCATGATAAAACAGATGAGTATATGTTTAAATTATAAGAATTGAATCGTTAATTCAACAACACATTATCTCATTCAACATTGAACACAGAATTAATCAGAATAAAAATTCAATTAAAATTCAACATTTTTTTGGACAATTCAACTCTTGACCATTATTAATTACGAATGAATGAAATAAGATAATGAAAAACGGTTTTTTTTGATAAATAAATGAAATAGTATTATATAATAGATTAGGCAATTTATCAGTAAAAGATTGTGGAGATTGTTGAATTTCATTGAAACCATGAACCGAGACCTACGGTTTCGCGCGCGAACATTTAATCTTTTGACTACTGCTGAGCCGGTATCCAATGTCTTTAATGTCTAACATTGTCTTCAGTTGGTAACTACTTCATTCTGGAAGCAGTTGAACTTGCAGGTTCATGGGTGCGCACTGTTGATGAGTCCTATACTAGAGTGAAACAGCCGCTCAGTGCTTCCATGTTTCTAATACTGACCTAATATTGATCAGTTCATGATATCAATGTGTCGCTTGATCCTACCTACTGTAAATTTAATGCTTCCTTAATCATCATTCAAATTCATTGAAAGTGAACATTTTGTAAAAGACTAGACAATGTTGAAATGAATAATTATTGGTCAATTTCCTCTTTCTCTCTCTCACTCTCTATCGTTTTAGACTAATTAATCAAAGAAAAAAAAGAGAGATGTATTTACACATATATGAAAGAGTAGAAAAAAAAACTGCCAAAAAAAAATTTTTTTTTTAGACAAAAAATTAATTAATTTTCAACGGTAAACATCACTAATAAAAAATTTCAGCGAAATAAACAATGTTACTAGCAAGAAACACCATTATTACTACTAATTATTATTATTATTACGTAAATGTTAACTTGTAGAATCATTTTGTGTATAAGATGAACAATAATAATAATGAAAAGAATAAAAAAAAGGAATTTGTGCCAATAAAAAATAATAAAATTAGACATTTTTAATTATCAATTAATAAGGAAATTTTGTCGATTCAATGAAAGTCATTAATTAAATGTAATCCTATAAATCATAGTATGTTTTAGTGAAAATTCGAAAAAAAAGGATTGGCTTTTCCTGTTATTTTTTTAACAACATCGTCATCATCACTAGTTCATCAAACGAACATCAGGTTGTTGTTAATGAGAAAAGAAGAAAACATGAGGAGTTGCGCAAAATAATCAGACGGACACATAGATACGAAGCAGAACTTCGTATGCACGTAAGTACATCAGTTCAGGTTGCCATACCACGTTAGTACAGAGATGTAACTGTCAGTTCAAATCCAAGAGTGATAGCGATAGTAGAATTATTAGCAGCAATGGAGAAGATTAGGGAGCGAAGATATGATTCGAGAAGTATAATTCAGTGAGATAAATTTAGAAGGAGGAAGATAGAGATGATGAGGAATTCGGAAGGTTCGAATTAGAGAGAACACAAAGAGTGGATGCACCTGCAACATTGCAGACGATTTTGAACCATGTCGTTCAAGGTCTCCAATCATCAGTTAGTATCGTCTCGCCGACCCCAACCAGGTAGTCTACATCTACCAACATGAATCAGTCCACTTGTCAGTGACTTCATGGATTTCTGCCATGTTTTGGTTTGGCCGCCCCTAACTTTCTTCCCATCTACTCCTACACCACAAAACATAGCTCGTCACGGCAGTTGGTAGTTAGGCATACGTAAGTGGTGGAGTAGAGAAAAGTACAAATTGAAAAAGTATTTCCTCTGGCAGAAAAATGCATCAAACAAACTACACATGTACATGTATGCACATGACGATGCTTCTTTATGCTTAGATTATAAAACTATCAGGCATGAAAGTGGAGCGTAGTGAAACGATAACATGTATAATCATAGGAAGCGAAAACAATAATTTCATTCATTTACCAAATGTCATTTAGTAAGTGATTAATTAAAACAAACATATTGTGTTCAACTGAAATGTGATTATGTATAATTGTTAATGTAATTATATTACAAGTATTTATATATATAGAAAATGCCGATCAAAAGTACTTGTTTCCTAATCCATCCCCCACCCCTCCGTCATCCGTTTCAAAGTCTACAGCCGACAATATCAAACAATTTCATCATGCAGTGTGTTTTTCCTGGTGCGGACAATCAATTGATAAAGTCAAATAATTACGTTAACGGAAAAATGATATGATCGGATTTGAATACGTTAATCATTAAATTCTTAGCGATTGTCAAGAGACTGAGCTTACTTACTTACTTACACCTGTTAACACCTGATAGAGCATAGGCTGCTGACCAGCATTCTCCAACACACGCTAACCTAATCCCTCCTTTTCAGTTATTCCCCATTGCCATCCTATTCTCGGCACAGTGTGTTCTTTAGCTTTCTTCATCTGTTTCAGCTATGGGGATTCCAACTGAGGGTTTGTCTTATGGGGCATTTGAGTGATTTCCGCAATGTGTGTACTATTTACCTCAAGCGCTTCTTCCTGATTTCTTTGGCTGGAGGAATCTATTTGTTCTTGCCTACAGTAGGTTGTTGTTGATAGCCTCTGGTCAGCGAATTCAAAGTATTTAGCGTACACAACAGTGAATAAACACTTTTATCTTCCGGATGAATGGCTTTCGTAGTT